AGAGAGACTCTCGAGCGCTGTGCACTGTCCATTGCACGGGTCCGCCCTCAAAACGCAGTAACCCTCCCTCCCTCTCTCTCTCTTACGCAGTGACTGGATAATCAAGTGCATGGCAGCCTTGCAAATCCATGCATCCCCAATTCTTCAACGGTCCTACACGAAACACCTCCAACTGTCCACATGTTTGTAATTTTCCCAGCGTGGGCCCTAAGTCCTGAAACTCTTGTAACAGTGTTCGAGTCTCCAAAGCATTACCCGTTATCGTTATCCGGCGCAATCATTTTTTGATTACCCCTTTTAATTACCCACTTTAATTACCCATTTTCATTTCAATTATCCATTTTCACGTTCATTTTCATGTTCACCCTAATATCAGTCCCAAATCCCTATCTTCCCATCCTATCTTCCCATCCTATCTTCCCATCCCTATCCACTCCCCACCACCCTAATTATTCTCACTGACACTCCCTCAACCTTACGTTCGCAAGCTTTACATTACCAAAGTTCCCCAACGTTCTCTGCTTCTCCACCAGCGGAAAAAAATTTTGCCCGGGCCAGAAACAGCAAAAAAAAGCAGTGCGCACCGGCAACAAAAAAAACTGCAATATTTCTCAACTGTTGTAAACTTTTTTTTAATTTGTTTATTTTTGTTTTTGTTTTTTTTTTTTTCTTATGGCCACGCTGTGCGCTCGCGCTCTCTCTCTCTCTCACACACTCTGGCTACGCTCTTCTCACACCGTTAAGCGGCGCACATAAACAAAATTATCTCACCTTCACGGGCGTGGGTGGTGCCACCCAGGATCGGGAATCGCACTTCTATAAAAGAGACCCGTTGCAAGCGCAAGAGAGAAGACATATAGAAAGAGTAGCCGTATGCATATATCTTAACTCAAAGAGCCAGGTCTCTTACAGACGAGAGAAGTGGGCAAGAGATAGGGAATAGAAGGAGACATAATCTCTCACACATTCATACACACAGCATATCATCATATCATGAATGGCTCGGGAACTATGACCATGGCTCCGAACGCCAGTAGTGCGACGGCCACGAATACGAATGCAACGACAAATACTTCAGCCACGTCGTTTGACGACTGGCTGTTCCCGGACTCGGCCCGCATGGCCGAGTACGAGTCCGGAAGCTGGGCTGCGGCGCTGGACGGCGGAAGCGGAAGCGGAAGTGGCAGTGGCAGCGGCGTTGGAGCAGCAGCTTCCGCGGACCCGCAGCAAATGCCGCAGGTGCAGCAGCTGCAAGGGCCGGCCGATCCGGCAGGGTCCGCCGGTTCGTCGTCGGCGACCTCGTCGGCCGGGTCACCGCTCGACCAGTTCAGCTCGCTGTTCGACTCCCACGCGGTGCTCGCTGGCCGTAACGACGGCAGCGGCTGCGGCGGCGGGTCCGACTCGGACACGCTGCTGACCGCCAACAACTCGGCGTCCGGATCGCCGGCGCTCGTCAAACACGAGGACGTGGATGTCGACGTGGATGTTGACGTGGACGTGGACGTGGACGTGGATGTCGATTCCTACGGCGAATGCGACTCCACCCAGTTGCCGCTGGCGGCGTTAGACGGGTTTGCGGATCTCGAAGAGGCCGTGGGTCTCGGCGCCGCGTACGGCAACGGCAACGGTGCCGGCGCCGGTACCGGCAACTTCAGGGGCGGCCGCTTGAGCGGGGGAGACGCCGCCAAGGGCGGCTCCTCGAACGACGACTGCAACAGCAGCAGCAACAACAACAGCATCAGCGGCAACGGCCGCAATTGCGGAGCGGGTTCGGCAGCCGCCGCCGCCCGCAAGAGACGCGCGCCTCGCAAGAGACTCACTGCGCACCAGAAGGAGGCTCACAACAAGATCGAGAAGCGCTACCGCATCAACATCAACACCAAGATCGCCAAACTCCAGCAGATCATACCCTGGGTAGCGTCCGAAGAGACGGCGTTTGAAGTGGGCGAAAACAAGGCCGCTGCCGCTGCCGCTGCGGCAGCAGCAGCAGCAGCAGCAGCAGCAGCAGGAGGTTCAGGCGCTGCGGTCTTGGCCGGTACCGGCCCTGGCTCCGGCTCCGGCTCCGACGGATCCGACTCCGCCGGCACCAGCGGATCGGCAGCCGCGGCGGCTAAACTCAATGCTGCAGAGGCATCTGCAACTCCGAAACTCAACAAGAGCATGATCCTCGAAAAGGCCGTGGACTACATTCTGTACCTGCAAAACAACGAGCGGCTATACGAAATGGAGGTGCAGCGTCTCAAACGAGAGCTCGAACGCGAAAGACAGCGCACTTAGCTTAGCCTTCGCAAGCCATCGCAAGCCATCGCAAGATTAAGAGCACAGCACAGCACAGCAGCAAGGCTAGGCGTGCGGCGTGCGGCGTGCGTGTAACGAATATTCCAAAGCATTTTCACAACTTTCCAGGCTTTTGGATGGTCATTTCGCGAGCACCACACACACACGCCTTCGCATGATGATAGACAACTACAGGGGTCCCCACGCGCGACCCTTTTTTTATGATTTTTTTAAAGCGCGTATGTGTCCTGGTATTTTCCAGCCACTGCAGCGGCAAAGCTAATGATACAAGTGACGGAGCCGGCCACATACGCCAAAGACACAGTTGACGAATGACACGACAACAGGTATAACGTTTATAGAGTAATGAAAATGGATGGGAATGAAGAGATTGGACCGTGAGGCATTGCAAAAATCTCTCGCGATTGCGGTATAGCTAGCACTCAACAATATCGTAACGCTATTTAATATTCAAAATGTCACTTTGTACTTGTATGACGCAGGTTTTTTCGACACCTTCCTTTCCTTCCTTCTCTGGCATATTCTTGTCCAAATAGCCAGATATTTACCCCGTGCTGCTCTCTGCCTACTGGGACATGTAGCAGGGACTTCCCAATAGTTATCGGCGACGCAAGCACATCAATCAATCTCAAGAATTAAATCTTCGTTTTCTGACCTACTCGCACTTCAATTGACCGTAGTTTCTCCACCACTTCCAGATATTAAACTGTGTTTGCGTTTCCCATTACGTTCGAAAACAAAGTAAGGACAATATCACAGCAGAGATACATGTCTTGCTCATTAGCCACCGCAAACCTCAATACGAAACTTTCGAGCACTAAGCCTACACTGTAACAGCGAAACATGAGTATTTCAGCGCATCCAATAAGCACAACTGGAAGCCATACTAACGGATGCTCCGAAACCCCCATAAATAACTCAAAAATGCCATCTAACACGGGCTCCTGCGATGTCGGTTTAGTACAAAGTGACATGAAACACCCATGAGAAATCACCTGGGGTTTTATTCTATCTTTCTAAACACTGCAAACACACTGTTCCATATCGTCCTTGTCGAGCTAAATATCTTCACAAGAAAGTGCACATTACTGATGGAGTAAAGGAAACAAGACGAAACTCATGACAGGTAAAGACAACACACAAGTACGCCTATGCCCATCTCATGGTCCTACAACGCGAGAACCCAAACCTTTGTTTTTCACCTTTTAGAACGTCATTCGATGTTCAACATTATTTCATTTGCAAGTCTCTGTTCCCCCGCCTCTTTCCATCTCCATTAAAGTTTTCTAATGAGGAAGCCATCGCCAATTTTTTTAAACTCTAAAAAATCTTTTTAGCGCTTAACCTCCTGCGAATTGCGTTGAATCACTACTGTCGCTAAGTTAGCATTCCTCTAACCACTCAACTCATACACAAACAGCGCAGGATCTGAACAGTTACAGAATGTCTTTTCAAAATCAGTTCGTCGTGGCGTCCTGTAAAAATCAACTCATACCCCAGCAACTTACCAATAACGTATTTTTCGGACCACTGAATACCCTATCACAGCTCGACTTTCTGCAAACCCACAACATCAAGTTTTTCGTTGCCGTGGGGATTCCCACGAGCCGCGTAGCTCAATACTGCAAGTCCATGTCAGCGGAACATTGTTTGGTTGTGAACTTCGATTCCGAATTCAGCCCTCAAACCATGCTTTCACAGTCGGACTTAGACTTAACCTCACAGTACTGTCAAACGCAATCTATGTCCTTGGAGCTACTGAGGTCTAGAGTTGCAGCACAAACTGCAACCTATTACAACTCCGATCGTGGTTTGACACCACAACCGGAGTTAGATCAAACATTGTACCACAGCGCGAACAACTACAATTGCAATGTGATCACTGCGGAAGGCATCAGCAAGTTTGAGACTTTCAACGACTTGCTCACCTTGTTCAAGCTATCAAACTCTGGAAATGTACTGGTTTTTTCTTCCAGTGGTAATGACCAAGAACTCGTAGCTTTGCTTATCTCGCATATTCTGCAGAATAACACAGAGACGTCACTCATGGAGGCTTTCCAGTATATCAGATCCTTAAGGCCGTCGATCGCATCAATCCAGCCAGATTCAATATTTTGGTGTCAAGGTCTCACGGAATTTGCTGATAGAATCAGACTACAAACAACGTTTAGCCAGAATAATGATAATTCCATGAACTTAAGCGTTTCCTCCAATCCAGGATCCATTGCCGCTAAGAGGCGAACTTTAGTATCTTCTGATGACGAAGATGACTATTCCGATTCAACAAATATCACAGTTGGTAGTTTTCAACCGGACCGGTCTGCTTCTGGGACACCAAAGGCCAGGAAAATTGGCACACGCCTCCCGGATATGTATTGAAACGTCATGAAAATAGGTAATGAAATAGGCGGGCAAGCACGTTAAGCTAAAAGATTATACTTTTGTCTTATGAGTTTGACGCGGTGATTGGCTGTCGCACAGGTGAAGTCTTCGATGAGCTTCTTTGTAACTTGATAGGTCAATTAGTGTATATATACAATTAAATGGGAATGATATGCAATTGTTATTAACCAACCTCTCAACCATTAGAATTGAGAAACTGGAGAAAATGAGAAAGGTGGAACGGTTAACATTTCTTCAAAATGGTAACAACATCCTCATCTTCCAATATGTGACTCAAACCGACATATTGCGGTTGATGTTTAACACTACTACCATAGACCAAGGCGTTCCTGAACTCGTCGACCAAAGATTTGTGAATCTGGTTACAAAAATCACGAATAGAGCATCTATCGGACCTTAGCACCACAGGATCACTGAAATCTGGCATGACACCCTTTGGCTTTGTGTAAACCCGAACCAAGTTTAATCTGTCCCACATGACTTGCAGTAACTCATCCAAGTTCCACTCTCTTCCTGATGAGATTGGCACCGCATTTGGAATACGATAAAGCAATTCAAGTTCCTGAAGTGATAGAGAGTCGACTTTGTTGAGGACGTAGACGGCGGGCATGTATCTTCTAGTTGGTGCTTCCAAAATATCAATCAAGTCATCAACGGTGGCGTCACATCTGAAAGCGATTTCAGCACTGTTGATTCTATACTCACTCATGACAGCTCTGATTTCATCGGGCCCCAAGTGGGTTAGAGGAACAGTGTTGGTGATGGAAATACCACCTTTTTCCTTTCTCTTGACCAAAATGTCTGGAGGCTGCTTGTTGAGACGAATCCCGACACCTTCAAGTTCTTTTTCGATGACTTGTTTATGATGCAGCGGCTTGTTAACATCCAGAATGATAAAAAGCAGGTTACAAGTTCTGGCAACTGCGATAACTTGCTTACCACGACCTCTACCGTCTTTGGCACCGTCGATAATACCAGGCAAATCCAGCATTTGAATTTTGGCACCTTTATAACGGATCACACCGGGAACAGTAACTAAAGTGGTAAACTCGTATTCGGCAACTTCAGACTCCGTACCTGTTAACTTGGAAAGCAAAGTTGATTTACCTACTGAGGGAAATCCGACAAAACCAACAGAGGCGACACCTGTTCTGGCTACATCAAACCCGACACCACCACCACCAGAACCTTGCGTAGCGGATGTGACAATTTCTCTTCTTAATTTAGCCAACTTAGCCTTTAACTGACCCAAATGGAACGAGGTAGCTTTATTCTTCTGAGTACGGGCCATCTCATCTTCGATGGCCGCGATTTTCTCTACAGTGGTCGACATGATGGAGAAGAGTGTGATAAAGCTTCAACAAATGTGGAAAATAGAGAACGACGAAGTATTGTGCGCAGAAGAGTTGTACCAGTCGTGAGAAGCTTTTTCTTCAATATCCTGTTCAGCAAGAAAAATTTGAGATCATCTTTAACGTATGTCATTTTCAGCTGATCATGTAATCAGAATCGTTTTCTACGCGGAGCTTTGCTGCGTCATTAGTGACATCAAATCTAAATCTTATTCGATGTCACTACTGACGCCACTGAAAATTTTCTTACTGGAAGGATTCCGCCATTCTTAAAAGTGACAATACAATTTACTCTTGATATCTTAAAACAGGATAGTCTATAGCCTCTTCAAACAATTACTATACTAGTTATGGCGAAGAAGTCTAAGAAGCAGCAGCAAAACTACTGGGATGAGGAAGAAGCCACTCCCGAAAACTCTGCCGTGGAAGCAACTGTAGATGAAACTTCAGTTGGGAATACTCCCGAAGCTGAATCAATTGCCAATGGAACTACCGAGACCGATGAGACTGCCGAGACTGCTGATGCGGAAGAATTGGAAGCGGATTTCATGTCTGCGCTAAAAAGCTCCAAGAAAAAAGCCGACACTAGGGAAGAAGAGCAGGATGCTCAGAAACCAGTGATTAAGTCCAAGAAGGAGAAGGAAAAGGAGAAGAAAGAGAAGGAGAAGTTGAAGAAGAAGGAACAGGCCGCCAAGAAGAAGGCCCAGCAACAGGCTCAGAAGGAGAAAACTAAAGAGCTGAACAGACAACAGGCCGAAGCGGCTGCCGACACCAAGAAGGCCAAGAAAAGTGGACAAGACGAAGCTGCGGCAGAGTCAGATGCCAAATCCTCCGGCGCCAGCAAAAAGAATGCCAAGAAAATTCCAGCTGGTCTAGCGGCTTTGAAACGTCAATTGGAACTCAAGAAGCAAATTGAGGAACAAGAACGCATCGAAAGAGAAGAAGAAGAACGGTTGGAGAAGGATGAACAGGAGCGCCAAGAACAACAACAGTTGGCCGAAGAAGAAGGGAAGCGTGAAAAGCGCGAAAAGGAGAAGGCCAAACGTGAGAAAATGAAAGCTGAAGGTAAACTTTTGACCCGTAAACAGAAAGAGGACAAAAAGCTGCTGGAAAAAAGACGCGCCGCTTTATTGGCATCTGGAAACATTACAGTTGCTGGCTTGGATAGATCTCAGGATGCCGCGGACACTGATAAGAAATCCAAGAAGGTAATCTATGGCAAGAAGAAGAAGAAGAGCCAACAAGAAAAAGACGCAGAATTCGCCGTAGCTGGGGCCAAGAAAGCCACAGAATCTGCTGAAAATGCTGATGAGGCGGAAGAAGAAGCTTTGGTTGATGACTGGGAAAATTTGGCTTTGGAAGATGACGAGGAAAATGAAAATGGAGAAGCCGTTGAGCACGTCACTAACGAAGAGGAACAAGAAGAAGAAGAAAAAGAAGAAAAAGAACCTCAGCAATCTAAGCCTACATCGGTAGAGACCGTGAAGCGCTCTGCTCCATCAGCCGTTTCGCGCGTTTCGCGCGCTTCGCCTGCTCCATCCACGCCATCTGAAAAGGACCTTCGTTCCCCAATTTGTTGTATTTTGGGTCATGTCGACACTGGTAAGACAAAATTGCTAGACAAAATCAGACAGACTAATGTCCAGGGTGGTGAAGCTGGTGGTATTACCCAGCAAATTGGTGCCACATATTTCCCTATTGACGCCGTCAAGACTAAGACTAAATCTATGGCTCAATTCGAAAAGCAAATCTTTGATGTTCCAGGTTTGCTAGTAATTGATACACCAGGTCACGAATCGTTCTCCAACTTGCGTTCGAGAGGTTCTTCCTTGTGTAACATTGCGATTTTGGTCATTGACATTATGCATGGTTTGGAGCAACAAACAATGGAGTCTATCAGACTTTTGAGAGATAGAAAAGCTCCATTTGTAGTTGCGTTGAACAAAATCGATAGATTGTACGACTGGGAGCCTACGCCAAATGATGCCTTCAGAAGTACATTCCAAAAGCAAGGCAGGGGTGTGAAACAGGAGTTCGCCACAAGGTTGGAAGCCATCAAGGTCGCCCTTGCTGAACAAGGTTTGAACTCCGAACTATATTTCGAAAACAAAAACTTGGCCAAATATGTGTCCATTGTACCCACATCTGCCGTGACCGGTGAAGGTATACCCGATCTGTTGTGGTTGCTCCTTGAATTGACTCAAAAGAGAATGTCCAAACAACTTATGTACTTATCCCACGTTGCTGCCACCATCTTAGAAGTTAAGGTTGTGGAAGGTTTTGGCACCACCATCGATGTTATTCTATCCAATGGTTATTTGAGGGAAGGTGATCGTATAGTCCTGTGTGGTTTGAACGGACCTATTGTAACAACAATTAGAGCCCTACTAACACCTCAACCACTACGAGAATTGCGTCTGAAATCTGAGTACGTGCATAACAAGGAAGTTAAGGCCGCTCTGGGTGTCAAGGTTGCAGCTAATGATCTGGAAAAAGCCGTTTCCGGTTCCAGATTGTTGGTTGTTGGCCCTGATGACGATGAGGAGGAAATGATGGACGACGTAATGGACGACTTGACTGGTCTTCTGGATTCAGTCGACACGTCCGGTCGCGGTGTCGTTGTGCAAGCGTCCACTTTGGGTTCTCTTGAAGCTTTGCTAGATTTCCTTAAGGATATGAAAATTCCCGTGATGTCCATCGGTTTGGGTCCCGTCTATAAGAGAGATGTCATGAAAGCAACTGCAATGTTAGACAAGGCTAAGGAGCTTGCTGTCATGTTGTGTTTCGATGTGAAGATCGACAGAGAAGCCGAGCATTATGCTGAAGAACAAGGTGTCAAGATCTTTAACGCTGATATTATTTATCACTTGTTCGATGCATTCACAGCTTACCAAGAGAAACTTTTGGAGCAGCGTCGCAAAGATTTCTTACATGAAGCAATTTTCCCTTGCGTTCTAAACACATTACAGATCATTAATAAGCGTGGTCCCATGATCATTGGTGTTGATGTCATTGAAGGTTCCGTTCGTGTTGGGACTCCAATCTGTACGGTTAAAATAGACCCCGTCACCAAGGAAAAGGTGGTTTTGTTGCTAGGTAGAGTCGTATCCTTGGAGATCAATCACACAGCTCACAACGAAGTAAAAAGAGGTCAAACGGCCGCTGGTGTTGCGATGCGTTTGGAGGACCCATCTGGTCAACAACCAATCTGGGGTCGTCATGTCGATGAGAAAGACACTTTGTACTCGTTGATCACCAGAAGATCTATCGATACTTTGAAAGACCCAGCTTTTAGAGATCAAGTTTCTAAATCTGACTGGCTGCTGCTACGTAAGCTGAAGACTGTTTTCGCTATCGAATGATTAAAGACATTATTCATATTACGGTAAGAACGGATTTTTGGACTCTTGTATTTTAGTAATTCAGCATTTTTAACTTTAGCAGTATACCTGGTCTTTTAGTTTAGCCGAAGCCTTTGTTTGGGGTTTGTAGTAAGCGAGCGTGTTGTCGTATTTTGCTACAACTGGGGCTGGATACCAGGTTCAAATCATTCAAGATAACTGTATAGATCGTGTTGTCCATATTTTGCTTGCTTGATTATCCAAGGATATTCTCCAACTTAATTTATAATTTACAAGATATATGATATATTATATTATGTCTGCGTAAGTATTAATGCGATGCAGGAACTTTGGCTAAAACATCGAAAGAGCCAGTACCGACGTTGTTGAGTTTACCCAAGACGATTCTCGCCGATGGACTCTCTAGTTGTTCAGAATCATTGTCCAGGACGGCCTTCGTCAAAAATTGACAAGTTGTTTCGTAAGACATTTTCATCAAAGAAGATGTTGAAGTTTCCATGCCCTGTCTATTAAAAGCGAGATAGGAACCTTGCCTTGTCATCATGTCGGCAATCAAATCCAAATGACGGAAGGATACCGAAATTGCATAACGAGAAAACACGTTGTTGATTTCATTAACGATTGTGTTTCTTGCAGCTTCAACACCATAAGTTTTTAAAACAGAAGCAACATCGTTTGAGGTTATCCCGTTCACATCAACAAACGCATCTTGGTCCCACATTTCCTGGAAGTTTACGCCTTCCGTAACCAAAATACGTTTCCCATTCTCAGGTTCGGGGTGAACACAACGGTCAATATTTTTGACCTCTCTAATGACAGATTTGCGACATATATCCTCAACAATGTTGACCATCAGTAGTTTCTCAGTATCGGCAGCCAACTCAATGTTGAATTGGCACCATTCTCCACCTTCATCATCGAAGTTGTATTTAGTGATGAATCTGTGAGACGATATGATGGCAGATTGTCTATCACGCTGTGACTTGGTCAAACCATTTTTCACCTTTTCAGTTGCAACTTTCTCATCGCTATCGTCTTCTGCGTCAGAATCTGACGTATCAGAATCCATCTCAGAATCCAGTTCCTCATCTGAAGACCTTTCAGCCTCTCTCATTGTCTCCACTTCGTCGTCGTCAGGTTCATCGTAGGAGACCGCTTGTTTCGTTCTTTGGCGAGATTCTTGTTCGTCATTGTCCTCATCGGATATTTTTCCGCCTTCTCCGGAAGCTATAGCCGACTGTGATTTAGGAATAGCAACTCCAATTTCTGAAGGCGCGGCTTTCTTTTGTTTCTTGATCTCTTTAACAATGGCTGCCTCTAATGCTCTCAAAAACTTTTCAGCAACAACTCCCTGCAATTCTTCCTTAGAGACGTCATACTCCTCACCATATTCGTCGCTACTGAAAAATTTCATATTGATGAAGTAAGAGCGAGAACTTGCAGTCTCTTCAGAACTGCCTGTAGCTTCTGTTACTTCTACCTTATCCACTGCTTCCGAAAGCATAACTTTGGTAATCGATTTACAGAAAGTGTCGGCTTGAGAATCCGTGACATCTGCCAAAATAGGCAGTGTCATTTGAGGAGTTTTGATGGCAGCAGAAGCTGTCATGATAATTTCTCTCATACGTGGAATACCCAATGTCACATTAGCTGCACCATGACCAGCAAAGTGGAATGTGTTCAATGTCATTTGAGTGGAAGGCTCACCGACAGATTGAGAAGCAATAATACCAACAGCTTCACCTGGGTTGATCAAAGAGCGCATGTATTTTAGTTGCATTAAGGCACGGAATTTCTTCTCATTCACATTATCGTCGCTCTTGAAAAAGTCGCTGTTGGAGTCAATGTAACCTTCTAATTTATCTTGGAAATTTTCGGAGACGGACCCCAAGTATTTTGATGGGTTGAACTTGGAAACGACAGGATCGTATCTAACCTTTTGGGAGTAATGTGGGATTTTAGCATTCTTTTTTCTGTTTTTGAGCGCCTTCTTGGAATACTTGAGAGCGCTTTCGACGTCAAGATGTTCTATCAGAGCTGATGGATTGTATTTCTTCAGCAAAGCATCATAATTCTCAGCACAGAACTTGAATTCTGTCATATGAGATTCTTGAGTGACGTCAACTGCATCACCACCGTACAAGAACTGAATCAATGTTCCATCGGCATCCCTCACGGAGTTGTCGTATGAAATATGGACACCCTCGAGCTGCTTGGTCAAACAACGTTGCAAATAACCAGACCTTGATGTTTTGACGGCAGTATCAATCAGACCTTCACGACCAGCCATACAATGGAAGTAATATTCCTGAGGTCTAATACCAGAATAGAAACGACCTTTGATGTAACCTCCAGCCATGGCATCAGTATCAAATGCTTTGAAAGACGGTAAAGTCTTACCAGAAACCATGACAGGTACTCTTCTACCTTCCAAAGCTTGTTGTCCAAGTAGACACATAATTTGAGAAACATTAACGTTGGAACCTTTAGCACCAGACAGAGCCATTGCTTGCATAGAGTTTTCTGGGAACTTCTTCATAGTACCATCAGGTATACACTTGGAGACAACCTGGGAAGTAATGGTGTTTACCTTGGATGAAGTAACTGCATCCAGAATACCCAATTTGTTGTCATCTCTTAAAATCTCCTCTAAACGTTTCAACAGTTCGGGGTCACTTGCACTAACCTCGCCGTCTAAGTTCGTGACTTCTGCTGCTGCCGCACGGCCAACATCAGTAGAGGTCTTCAAAATGTCAGTTCTCCATTTATTTCCCTCGTCTGTTAAACGAAGATCATCCATACCACAAGTGAAGGCAGTAGCTGTAATATAGTTGGTGAAAAGTCTTCCCAGTACTGATAAAACTTTCGCCGATACATCTGGACCATACACTTCGTGTAGCGAGTGTACAATACCGTACTTGGAAGCACCGTACTGAGACTTATCCAAAATACCAGAAATCAGTTCACCGTTCTTGAACACAACGTCATTTTCGGTGGAGCCCTTACCCCAATAGTCGCTTTTGATCTTGTTAGATGAGAATAGATTTATGCCAGGCATATCAGCAGGGGTAACATTGAGAAGGACGGTTGTTATTATCTGCTTACCAGTCCAGAGTGGTACAGGCTTCATTACTGCAGGAGGCACGGTTACCAACTTATTTCTTGTAGCATGCCCGTCTTCTGGGCGGATGCAACCGTAGATATATTGCTGATATTCTTCTCTAGTGAAGAAGCTGTCTTTGCTCGTTAGCCATACACCAGCTGAAATGTGATCTTGAATCAAACCTCTTACAGGAGCACCCGACGTTGGAGTTAGGTACTGAGAATCAGTATTCGCGAGGTTGAACGCTTCGGCTCTTGCGTTTTCGTTTTGAGGAAAATGCATGTTCATTTCATCACCATCAAAATCAGCGTTGTAAGCACCAGTGTTTGCGTAGTGCAGCCGCAAAGTCTTTTCTCCGGGCAAAACCCTGACTTTGTGACCCATCATAGAAGCTTTATGTAGAGTCGGTTGACGATTCATAATAACAATATCTCTGTTTTTGATGTGGCGGTAAACTTTCTTGTTCAGAGAGTGGGTGGAACTATGGGAAGATGGAGTCAAAAGAAGGTTTGCAAGGGCCTTACGCTGTTCCAGTGTCATTCCGACTAAGGAGACCAAAGACCCATCTTCATTCTGAATTTGAGTAGCGCCTGGCCATTTGTCTGGACCATTAATAACAGCCTGTCTAAGTTCGGCTATGTTATAAGAAGTCACGGGCTCTGGGTAAGTTAACTTGGTAGCAAATACCGGTGGTACACCAATTTCGTTAGTTTCGATATTGGGATCAGGAGAAATAACTGATCTAGCAGCGTAATTGACACGTTTTCCCATCATGTGTTTTCTGAACAAACCTTCTTTCTTCTCTAAGGCTTGCTTGACACCTGGAATAGGAACTTTCCCGCCAGTACCTCCTTGAGCTTTGGTGGAATCGATGAAGGCGTTAACATCATTTTGGATAGTAACAAAAGCGTTCATGAGCCTATTGAAGATTACTTTTTTGTCCTCAACTGAGACCTTGTCTTTCTGAAGTTTCGACATTTCGTCGTTCAAATCTCTAATGAGCAGAGAAGTTGTTAGCATTTTGGACAAGAGCTGGTTTTGAGTGTTTTCGTGAATTTCCTCTCCAAGCTTGGAGGGTAAACGGAAGCGAGTTGGGGGCACGATAACAACCTCTAGGAAAAACATATCAGCCTTTACCAGTTTTTTAGCCAGGTTGGGCCTTGAATGGAAGACGTACTGTAAAACCTCCTGTTCTTTTTTGAAAACGCTGCGCAAGGTGTTACGGACATCTGTGGACAAAATGTAGGTAGATCCAGCTTTGGGTCTGGAAGAAGCATCTCTTCCGTAGCCAAATTCCTCGTCTACATCCATTTGATCATCAGATGTTTGGTTTTGATCTTCTGCCAGCTTGCGGCGTTGTTGCTGTTTTTTGATGGCGTCAGCACGAATTAAACCTTTAACTCTGTTATTGGTTTGTTGCTTCTCGGTCAAAGCGGTTTCAAAAATTTTGGTGAATCCATCTTTTCTGAATTTGGGCGAGAACATGCCACAGTTGTCACACTTAGGTCTGGACAGCAGTCTCTTGTGAAAGTCGTGGATCAGTTTCTTTCTCTCGTCGCTAACAGTGGCAGTAAAAGTACCCTTGTGACTAGTACGTCCTTCGGAAATTGCAACTCCTATACAGAGCTCAACAAATTCTCTGCGCTTGACCTTCAATTCTCTTAGCAAGGCTGTGTCGAGATGCTTGGATGGCTGCTCCTCGCTATCGTCTTCTTCGGCCTCGTCTACAGCATTTTGCAGTGTACCCACGCGAATTTCATCAACCATGTAGCACTCATCAATGAGTCCATACTGCAAGAGTTTGAGCTTGCAAGCGTAACGATGCACTTCTGCAGATTTCAATCTGAAATTGTGACAGTACAGACACGAACTTCTGAGGTAGATATACAGCTGACTGAAGAATAACGGGTTGTAACAAGGAACTGGCAGCTCGATGTGACCTTGATGGCCAGGACAGAACTTTTCGTCCAGGCCACAGGTGGCACATAGGTTGCGCAAAAAGGCGCCCAGGGCTAGGTCGTACAAACCTCCGGAGATCGGATGGCCCAAATTGTCGAGAACAGTAGGGTTAGTGATCTGCATGGCAGACACATTTCTAATGTCCAGTGCGGTCATTACGCCGAAATCCACCGAAGTGATTTCCGACCCGACCGGCTTTGAGATGTCCATTTCGTCTTTAGCGTAAAGAAGCTAGATTGAGGGAGGACAAAACCTATCGGTTGGATCAATTATCGACCAGGATATTTGAGTGTGCACAAAACAGGCTCGAGAACCTTCAAATTGACAAATATCACCGAGTATCAACTCTGAACCTAGATGAGACGACGGAATGCTAATGTTTTCAGACTTTTCACTTCAATTATACCTGCGATGAGATGAGATTTTTTTTCAAGCATCGGAAAAATTTTTGGAAAAGAAAAGACATCCGTATTTAACGATGCTATGGCTTAATGGTCACATGTGGTAATAGAATCAAAAGACACCATTGAATCCAATTTGATACTTGATTGAAGTGCACAGCTCGTCTTTCTCCATAATTCTACCACATCTTGCTTTGCTGTTCTTGAAGCGCGTGTGATACTCTGCTAACGGTGAAGAGTTTTCTTGTTCGTAGGTATTCAACGATTTAGCCGCCCAGCTTTACGTTGAAATATAGGTGTTTGAAAATGGATATGAACCACGGGTCTTCAGGATAATTCAGTTTGATGCTTATTGAAGTCGGTAGAGTTCTGTTTCTCCAAGCTTTGTGAGTTTTCGGCTCATCAATTCGAAAAAGATTAACAATACTCAGTAGATGTAGCTGTTCGGCAAAAGCAGCATTTCCTTGCTAAGTAGGTTTCTGTACAGCATGGTACATCCCGCTTGTGGTTCAAGTGCTTGTGAATAGTACCGATCTTTTGCGTCAGATTTCCAATGTCGTAAGGCAGAGCAACGTTCTTTACCGTGATAAACAGCATAGCTCATTCCCATAGGTGTTTGGCAACATGGCAATTGCGGTGGCAACATTGATCTTCTGTGTCCATATTCGGTCAAGAAATTATACCGAGAATACGTGAAAGAATGCTGTTTTGTGAGACTCGACCACAGACATATAATGAAGAGTTTATTGTTATTAGGACGCGAGCGTGTCGATTTATAAAATGACAGAATAGTACAATGTGATATGGATTAAATCAGTGCGCTTAATGACATTTGGCAGAGGCTGGACAAGCGGTTTATACTACCTAAATACTCATCAATCCTCGAAAGATATGAAAGGGCTGATATGATTGCACCTCCCTTCTCATTTTCCATTCACAGTTCAGAGCTATATCATTTAAATGTCATAGTGAGAGAACAAAAATATTGTATCTGGCGCCTAAGAAGTAAAGAGCATGTTCAGATTCGCCTCAGTGTTGGACCAATAAACTGTACAGGAGCTAAGCAAATATATCGGCAAGCTTTCCATTGCCAAATCACACTCTTTCGATTAGTTTCTCGTCGAAACATATCGTCGGTGCTCCAGGCGTTGAGATTTGAGTGAAAATCTTCTAAACGGCGTTCCACATTTCAAAAATTATATAACGGAAATCAAGACGTATTGAGTTGTTAAATGGGTTTTTGGAGGCTCGTTGAACCTACGCTGTTTTTCCAACTTCTGTAAGCTTCGAGTTGATCAAAAAACTTGAAGCAAGGGTGTTCGTATGTGGTGCTATGAGATTTGCCATAAAATTGCCATTGGTTCCATAGCCCAGATTTGTATATAAGGGGCGACCATATCTTGACTACCCAATCTAGGGTCCTTTAACACATAACACAATCTACAAGAACTAAATTGACCTCTAACAATGCCAGAAAAGAACGCAGAAGCTCACGATCAAGGTAACATGGCAGGATCGATCGCAGGATCGGTGGCAGGCGCAGATTTAGGGAACAAACTACACTTGGGCGCCATTGGAGGTATCGCTAGTAGCGTTTTGGGCTCTGGTCAAGGCAGCAAGCTGGAAAACAAGATCAAAGAAAAAATGGATAAGTAACGTTTTTTAATCGAAGTTAGATGAATTATATGATTTCAAGGTAATAATAAGTGAGTAGCAACTCGTAGGGCAGTTCACGTAAACATCTTGCCTTAACGCTTCATCAATACCAAAACTACCCTTTGACGTTACCGCAAGCTTTTGAATGATGCTAAGTGCTCTTCTCTTCCTTTCTTTTCTTAGTGAGTTTAGTACCTCTGTTCCAGCCAAACTTTATTTAACACTTTAATGTCATTGGTTGGGCGGTATAAAAAAGAGAATCAGTTCTATTACCATCTCATCAATAGGAACAAGCAAATACAAGCTTCCGTGGGCCCAGAACTATAGTCTATGAATGCGGAGAGTACTGGTAAGTTGTTACGGTTGGAAGCTGTGAATTTCGTCGAATTTCAGCGTTTTGATTGGAAATCTTTATAACTAACGAACGAAGTATCGTAGGCATGCTCTCGATGCAGAAAACACAAGATCAAATGCGCACATAATGGCCAGCCACCTTGTAGCTACTGCTCTCAACGAAACTTGGATGATGAATGTGAACTGAGCTTTCCGGAATACAAGAAACCAGAGAAAAGTTATGAGCAAAGCAAAAACGAGTTCAAGGTTTCAAAGCCTAATCTGACGAATGAGATTCCTGTCCCTTTAGCTTTCACTACAGAAGTACGACCTTCAATGAAAACGTTGTGTGAACCAATTCATATCGCGCAGCCAGAGACACAGGCGGCTCTGAGTAGTTCTACGATTTTTGACATCGTTCCTCTCATACCTGCATACGTGATCCGCGATGCGATATTGAGGATGTGCGGATCATTTCCAGAACTTACCTTCTTTCACTTGCCAACAGCTCTTGAAAGACCCGATAGCTTGCATCCGGTTCTCGTTGGTGCAATCCTATCTCATACCTCATTCTTCGACCCCTACAAGGATTCAAATGGGAGATTATCTTCCGATCAATGGCTTGGAGTCTCTTGCTATCAAGTAACTCACTGCGTTTATGAAAATTTGACGTTACAGACTGTATTTAACAACTACCAATTCTTGCTTGAACCAAGTATCGATGTTGCTCGCGCTCTCTTAATACTCTGTGTGGTGAAGTGGGGACATAATGAGTATTACGCTGCTTGGATGCTGCATGGTTGTGGAGCACGTATGGTTCAATCTTTAAATTTTGACGAATCATTTAATTCGAGGTCCAAACAATATCCACTACTCAGGAAAATCAAAGCGAGAGCCTATTGGTGTGCATTTGTACTTGATAAGATCATTTGTACTGGCCAGAATAAATGTTTCGCATTATCAGAGTTTAGCGACATACCACTGCCAGTAGATGACAATGAGTTTTCTTTCCCGGCATTTGACTACCGGCAACAAGAAAAACTTAAATACAAAGTGGGCTTCAACCTGACCTTGAATAACTTTTTGGAACAATGCCGCGATAATCCAGACTTGGTTCGGGAACTCCCATTCACCGTTTATGTTTACCTGTGGTCTCTATGGGGCAAGCTCAATAGACGAACCATGAGGCCGGACAGAGAAAGTTTAGAGCTAGAATGCCCATGGGACTCAACAACAGAAGCTTATAAATTCCTCAGGGAAATCGATGAATTATGGTCATTATTACCAAACGAGTGGAAATGGTCCAAGGACAAATACCTGAGATATGATCCTCCTATTGTGCGAGATAATTTAATGATCACGATGAACTGCTTGTATCATATCTCCATTGCATTCTTCAATCGTGAGTTTTTGCCTTTTTTACCTTACGATGTGGAACGACCCGTCGGTCCCCCAGACACCAATTTTCCTTCGCGTCCTAACAATGATTATTGGATTGAGTCTGCGAGAAGCTGCTTCAGATCTGCCAGAGATTTGTCTTTGCTCTTGGGCACACTGTTGAAAGAAGAAACCGACAGGCCGGTTGGGGCTCCTTTCCGTAACTCCGTATTGGTGAGCCCATTCTATTCTTTTGTAGCATTTACATGTGGCGTTGTTACAACTTATGGGGCAAACTTTCACTGGATGGACCCCGACAACGCTTTGTACAAGGAAGATTCGGATAATCCAGCAAACTTACGCAATTGCTACAACGTCACAGTCAAAATATTGAAAGCCAAAGAGGATGATTTTATGGCAACCAAAAATTGGTTGGGAGCGGTTCTCAAAATAGACGAGATCAATAGGTTCGTGGCCCAGAATCGTGAAAAAGCGAAACATTTGGATGGGGATCGGAAGAGGTCAAAAGACTTAAAGCGTTCCCTAATCGAGCCGAACGTGGATGCGAAACATATAGAAAAAATGTTCCCAATACTACCGCCGCCTCGTCCTAGTAGACAGCACTCTGTCGAGCACATGTACCCTTCGCCTACGGCTGACTCATACTACACTAAAGTGGGGCTCTTTCCGCATCAAAAAGATGGAGAGGGAAGAGCGCTGTACCATTCGAACCTACAGCCGCGGTTCATATCTCCCGCAATTCGAGCACACTCGTCACAATACGGCTTTCCGACAAACGCTTTGGACTTATCATATTCAAGACCTTCGTCGAGCGTCCTACCTCCTGCAACGGCATGTGCACCGTCTCCAAACTTTTTTCCGACCCAACAACCACAAATACCAGGGTTGGGTGGACTTACTGAACATCCTAACGTTCCCTCCCCATTCCCTCATAAAACTCCTGTGAATCCAGCACAAGGCAGCGCATTTCTGAAATCTTTTACCCACTTCCCGTATGGCAATCATCATCATTCATGCCAGCGCTCACGAAAGGGCACGCATGTATCTGAGACAATGCACACGACTCCTAATGAGATCCGCGTCGAGCTGGATACCGACAAGCTAAATCTGTTTTTCAATGACCACGAGCTAGATCTTTTGCAACAATTCAAAGGATAGCGCAAGTTCCGATTGATCATCTCAATGACAATGAAGACGATAGCTCAAGCTTTTTCACCTCTTATGAGATATCAGCATACTGAAGGATTCTCAACATTTCAAGACCGCCTCTACAGTGGCGCAAAGATATGTGACCAGTTAGCCGAGCTCTTTTGACTATTCGTTACGGTGATTAAAAGAAAAGCAACAGCATTCAAGAGATGCCACCGACACCAAGTTTTGAGCCATTTTAAAATCAACTCCTGTTCTCAGCATCAAGCCACTGGAACCAATATGTAACCATTAATGACTATATTCCTTTATTCAAATTTAATATGTATCATAGCTATAGAGGGCAATAATGACCTCAATCGTCGCAACACACGTAATATTTAGCCGCTGAATAATTTATCAGAATTGATAAAAGAACAAAAATTTGTGAGACAGAAGAATGATTGGTATGATGCTTGTTAGTACAGAATCTGCTTCGTGTTGTAGCTTTCATATGTAATAGTGGTTTGGTGAACAAGAAAGCGGGGTCGAAAAATTATAACGTTGCAACTAACTCCCGGTTTCAGACAGAGATAAAGAAAAGACGTAGTGAATCTCCCAATAATGAATGGAAGTCAGATTAAAGTTGGCGGTGTCTACACAGTATTGTAGACAAAGCGAGATCAAGTCAGTATTTATTGAAAATCCTGTCTTTCCTCCAAAAGAGACTGCCATAGGTAAACCACCAACATCTTCGACAGTCAGCAAATATAGTTCTCATGAAGGACTAGACTGTCGTATGAAATGGAAGGCTATTCGAAAGAGTTCACTCTGCTCACACTGCCTTTTAGGCACTTTTAGCGAAACAAGCGAAGACCGGCAAGAGCGTCGAGCTCTGTATTCTGTGGAGTTGAAAAACACCAAGATTGAGTTTATTTGCTGCTCATTCGAAACTTTCGACAGGAACTACAAGCTTCGCCTTGAAAACTACTTCACTACCTAAACAGACAGGCGCTCCTGAGTTTCAACGATAATATTAACGAGTCTTAAAAAGCCTCCGAAGAAGTCTTCAAGGTTCTGTTACACTCAACCACATCATGGTCCTCAATACGGCTCTTTTACTGATACTTCCTCTTCAACGGTGATCTTGATTTCTTTAGACCTCATCCATATTTGAAAAATTTTTTGACGGGCAAGTTCACAGCTCATCTCATCACTAGAAGAGCTGAAAAGATCGAACCTGAACTGGGTCTTACAATCAACATGTCGAGTATCAAAAGACGTTCGGAACCGCAAAGGAATGTCGAATTTGTGAAAAGACATAAAAAAGTATGCAAGAACCCAGTGGATGAAAGTAGTGGGGTGTCGAAGTGCATTGTTCAAGTGCCAGTGTCAATGTATGTTTCTGTAGCTCCAACTTACTTGGGAGAGCCCAACAAAGGTATCAAAAGGCAGCATTTGAATCCAATGATCATGAAATACAGTAGCGACGTTGGAGGTGTGGTATTAGGTTACGAAAATTTGGACATAAAAGACGCTAGTCCCGATGACGAGGACCAAAGCACTAAGCTAGTCAAAATGACCCCAGATACTCCGTTTGGTTTTACGTGGTGCAGCGTGGACCTATATGTCTGGCAACCCCAGGTCGGCGATGTGATAGAGGGCTGGATTTTCATTCAATCTCCTTCACACATTGGGCTACTTATTCACGATGCCTTCAACGCCAGCATAAAAAAGACCAGCATTCCTGCGGGATGGACCTTTGTACACAACGAAGATGTCGATTCCAACTCCGACGGTGACAACGGTACTCCTGGCCAAACAAGATCACTGGGACATTGGGTGGATGAGGACGGTCAACATCTCGAGGGCAAGCTCAAGTTTTCCGTGAGGAACGTTTACACCACTGGTAAAGTGGTGTCTCTTGAAGGCTCGCTGCTTGACGACCAAAGTGGACAGGCGCTCTCTCAAGCCGAGAATTTGCCAGTCGTGTCTAACAAGAAGATCATTTTCGATGACGAAGTCTCTACGGAAAACAGAGAAAGTCACAAAGATCTAGACCTTTCAAAGAGGGTAAAGGAAGACAACGGAGAAGAAATTGTTTACGAAAAGAACTCCAGTAGCAGCGAGTCAAGCGACAGCGAATAAAATTGATAGAGGTAGGAAAAGTGAACAAGTTACGAAGTAGCTAGTCAAACTTGTAAAATAACATGTATAATCATAATACAAAAAACTGCATTGGATAATATGGTAACGGTTACTTCTGGCTGTCCTTCTTTAATTTTTATGAACGCTCATAATTTTAAGAAAACGCGTTTCTTGAAAGTCCAGATCAACAAATTAAATCCCAGCAACAAAAGGCTTAGGTGCTGTCTAACTTTACAATGTCGGCCCCTACTATGCGGACTACACTGCTGCTTACAGAACACCTAGGTTATCCGCCTATCTCGCTGATTGACGACATTATCAATGCGGTCAACGAGCTAATGTATAAGTGCACGCAAGCAATGGAGAAATACCTTCTGGAGAGACAGTCAATTGCGGGCAAGGACTATACAGATGAAATAAAAGTGGGAATCGCGAAGCTAGAGACGTTATGGGAAAATTCTGTGGACAGAAGCTTCGATAAACTTGAACTGTACATTCTGCGGAATGTTCTACAGATTCCTCAAGAGCTGATCGAAAGTGGATCTTTCAGGCTGCGGCATCACGATTTGCTGGTGTTAGAAGACTCCACTCAAGAGAAACAACTGGTATCGGACCTTGAAACAAAGATGCAACAACTACGAAAACAGCTTCAATTGCATACGGAGCTTCGTAGACAGTCTCGAAATGCGCAAAAAGTACTAGCTAGGGTTAAAAAGTACAAGAAACTAGTAATAGCTCTACTACAGGACGAGGCTGCAACAACTGATGAACAGAAAGCCATTCTGAATTCACTCACACCTGTGAATGAAAGCGTAAAGTTTCTCTCCTCTCAAATGCGAAGCTTATACCTAGAATCGGATAACCAGTGCTCTTCGGAACGGGTACGAAGCATAGTATCACAGCAAGAGGTACTCGCTACGGACGTTTCCTCAAGAACCGGCTACCTCGCTCAAAATACCCAACTGGAGCTCCAAAATATTAGTAAAATCCCAGGAATTTCTGATACACCTACAGAGCATACGTTCACATCGCAATCGAACCCTTCAGAGCAGTCCTTGCAACTCATAAATCCAGATTGGTCGTCGTTAAAGGAAGCCACGTGACTACTGCGTGGTAACCACATGACTTTTTGAATATCCCGTTTTGGTAGAGTTAGTGTTTGTGTTTTTTCACTATTCAGTGCACATCCAAATGGAGACGTCGACCACTTAACAGTCCAAGCTTTTGTGTGTTATTCAAGCCAGTATTAGAACATTGCCATACTGTGGTATAGATCATTGATTGATTATTTCTGATTCTCAGTGATTCTATTGAAATCCTGACTGCAAATATTCATTTTAGACTAGCATTATGGAAGGTAGCTCAAAATCTAAAATCCCTGATGGTCATTCGGTAGTTAAAAGACTGCAAAGCGAGTTGGTACAGCTGATGATGTCGCCGTCGCCTGGGCTGAGTGCATTTCCTGAAAGCGAGGAGGATTTGACCAAATGGTGTGGTATCATTACAGGGCCCGACGGTACACCGTATGAAGGGCTGCGGTTCAAGATAGCCTTGGATTTTGCTCAGACGTACCCTTATGCTGCTCCAAAAGTGCGTTTTGTAAGTCCTATGTGGCACCCGAACGTGGATATGAGTGGCAATATCTGTTTGGACATTTTAAAAGATCAATGGTCGGCGGTCTATAACGTTCAAACGATCTTGCTTTCGTTGCAATCGCTCCTGGAAGAGCCGAACAACAGCTCACCACTGAACGCAGTAGCAGCAGAGCTGTGGGACAACGACATGCAAGAGTACAAAAAAAACTGATTGCACGGTATGAAGAGATTGAGGATTAAAAATTAGACGAGGGGCTCAAAGTGCGCAACGTCGTCAGGAACTGCATATCGTGTTGTTAGACAAAACTATTTAAACAATCATAATAATCATAATAATAACGTAAGGTCGGGGAGATCCTGCACGCTAGCAAGACGAGTCCTGAGAATGCTTTTGTGTCCTTAAATACCACGAACATAAATTAAAGTAGAATACGAATATATGTGAGATCGTGCCATAACACTTATAAATGTTTACCAAAATTCAACGGAAAGACAATACCGTTTTTACCAAATTACCCAAATACCAAATACCAATTATCACCAATTCGCCTTACCTTCCAACTCACAAAAACTTTTCAAATTTATCGTCTTGTAACCAACCAATTCTCTCGTAAGCTGCAAAAAGCCGAGAAGCTTTGTTCACGTCTATCCGACAAGCTTTTTGAGCGTCCGTTCTTCTGAAGGCCAAATTTTGTTTCATTCTATGCATTTTCTCCAAGAACAGCCTTCTCTTCGAGTCGAGGTAAAGATCACAAGGTAATCTTAAGATTTGTGCCAGTTGCAATTCAGCTGGGTGTAAAAACTGCTTCAAAGGATCATCTGAAAGGTCCATCGAGGATCCTTTCCATTCAACTTTCAGACACTTATTGTTGTTAGGTAGCGAGGACAATGGGGGGCTGTAGTCGGGTAGCTTTTCCCAGCTCATATTGGGAGCAGAAACAGCAGCCGCAGAGGCCAATGGAGATGAAACAGTGGTGGTTTTGCGATGCCGACTCGTGGGAGTCGAAGGTCTTGGAATCGGCGTGGAATCGCGCGAAAACTCGAGAGGGCGGGGCCTCGAATGCTGGTGACGAGCACCGTTGCTCACACCTCCAGCACCACTATTACCACCAGTAACACGCCGCGTGCGGTATGTTCTTTCAAAATCCGAGTTCCCGGAGTTCATGGCCGGGGACAGTGTGTAGTTGCGGGTGCGGCGCAAAGTCTTGTTGGAGGCGTGAGTGTAGCGTTTGTTGGAGCGGTTGAGATCTAGGCAGCGGTACTGGGACAAAAAGCCATGCGTCGCAGAGCGATAGCGCCGGGGCGAAGTATGCGGGTCGCACAGAGGCTTGACGAGAATCGCGTGCGCCGCAGATTCCGGCGGCGAGAGCGCCAAGGGCGCCACGATGTCGCAATCTGCGGTCATTTTGGGAGACAGCGGAGGCGAAGGGATGAGTTGCTCGTCCAGCACGCTGTCGAGGCTGGCTTTGTCGCCACGCTGCGTCGCGGACAGGACCTGCTGGTGGAGCGCGGCCAGAAGCCCGGACGCGGCCTTGGGGTGGAGCACGACGCCCAATTGCGCGTGTTCCGGCTGGGGCGAGTTGAATTCCATGCGGTGTGCGTTTGTTGTCACTCGTGGTGCAACTGCTATGTCGTTTGACGTTTGCGACACTTTTTTATATGTCACGGTGTGGAAAAAGCTGGTATCTGACCAATTGATGTCCTTCTGAAGCCAATGCTATCGAGAACTGCGCTTGCTAGCTTAGAGTGTCTAGTGGAGCTTTGCGATATCTGAAGATGTCTGGCGATGTCTAAATATGTCCACTTTTCTGTCTGATATCTGAGTTGTGATATCCTATATGGCTCATCGCATCTTCACATCTCATCGCATCGCATCGGTTATATATATCTCTTTTCTTTTTTCAAATTGCTGTTTCCCGGGACGCCGGTTTTGTTTCTTCTTCGGTGACCCGTAGTTACTTTTCGTTTTTGTGGCGGAGTCACAAAAACGGTTTCTTTTTTGTTACTTCTTCTTTTGATTTTTGTTTTTTGGGAGGTGGGAGGGAGACGCGCGCGTCATGTGATCTGGACGAATTGAGAGACTCGCTCTCTCTCTCTCTCTCTCTCTCTCTCTGCTGGTTGAGGGCAGATGGTGTGGGATCCAGGTCTTGCTATGACTAATGCTAGATGCGGGTGCTTGATATGGGTTCTGGATGGGTGAGTTTCGCTGAGTGTCATTCGGGAGGAGATGGTTTGTTTTACGTTCAAGCGTCACGCCGGAAAATCGGAGGGCTCTGTAGCTTTCTGTTGCATATCTGCGTCAGCAACATTTGGCTTGCCGAACTGGTCATTCGAGTCGTGCATGTGGTGTGTAATTTGGAACCCTACTTGGCTCTCCGTTGCTTGAGCTTCTCCTCATTTCCTCGTGCATCTCTCAGCTAGGCGGTTGATCCGCCGGTATTTATATATAACCTGACTGAGCGTAAATAACATCACTCAGTCTAGCATAGTTTTCCGGTCCCTCGCTCGGTACAAGGCGCAATGCCCCACGAGCCGTTACAGTATCATCGGATACTCGTATTCACTTCGAGATGATGCATGAGTATTCTACGAATAATCTATCGACGGCTCTTATTCGATTTTATCACTATGTACTATTATGTCACTGTTTTTCATTATGCAATTTACGCCTTCTAGCAAAAGCACTGCAATCCTGACGAATTCGTATGAGGATCTGGGACTCTATATGTCCCTCCCCAGTCTCGCTAGATGCAAAGAGTAGGAACTCATTATTGAGGCAAATCTGCGTCAGTGTTAGTTAACTTACTAAAGTGGTCATTTAAGTCGTTCATGATGTATCAAACAACTCTTTTGGGAATCTGGGATTCTACTTATCTCTCCGTAATTCACTCGAATCTGAGGATAATTCGTCGAGTGGAGTAACTGGTCGGTATATATATAAAAATCGGCTGGGCATAGAATCTATGACTCAGCTCACAATAATCATACGATACATCGTGTAATACGTTAGTAATATCCAACGAGTCATCAATCAATTATCAGACCACTATAGGACATCGTCTGTTACTTGTTTCCAGTTTGAGAAGATGTATCGAAAAGTTCATCGACTGATCAATGTTCGATGATATCACTTTGTACCATTATGTCATTGCTCTTCATCATGCAATTGACTCTATCTTAGCAACAGCACAAATATCCTGACAGTACTATACCCGAATAATCGGTATTGAACAGTTATTTACATTACGGGCCTTGACAATGAGATGTATTCTAGATTCGTGTTTGGTGTAATATCTTCCGTTCCCCGGACGCAATGAAATGAGAGTGTTGAGCAAAAACACTACTCAACATCAATGTCTAGACCCCCGCATTTTTACTCACCATCTTAATGGATACGTTGAATAAAATGTATAGCGTTGTAACTTTGTACTATTCTGTCATAGCTCATGACTTCTGTTGCGACGTGTTCTGATCTACTCCATTGTGCAATTCACGATCAATCAATAGCACGGGGATTTCCAAAAAAAGATGCCTTGCAATTGTGACCGATCTTTGCGGGGTTTACTGTATTCGTCATAGCCCCCCATAGCAATTTAGCGGTGGCTGGACATATTTCTCTCCGTAGTTTATCTAATCGAAAAGTGTCGGAATCTATACCACGCCAGAAGTGTACGAAGTGATATTGAAGATATTGAAAATTTCCCATCATGAATGGACTCCACTCGCAAGACAATACAACAGCAGTAAGCCAGAGATACCTTATCAGAATAGGCACAATTAGTTTGCTTAGATGGATTGATGAGACTGGCACGCCCGGCCGATCAAGAAATGAATACATATTGATGGTTTTTTAATTTATCGAGATTACATTCTCATGCAGAAGATAGCGTAGGGGTGAAGCTTACTTACTAGTGAGAAGTACTTAATCATGTCCGTTGACAACGTTGCAAGCAATCTGAAAGACTTAAACTTGGTCGAAGGAGACCAATCTTGATAAAAAGCTTACTGGTGCTTTATATCACCCATAGTCAATATATAAGAAGCTTAATATGCTGCTTAAACCAAAGTAAAGCCCTGTTCATTGCCTCTGCATCACGTTGGCGGGTAGATTCAATGCCGTTTGCAAATTTACGTGATATCTGGAATATCACATTGTACTATACTGACACGTTACAAGCTCCTACAAATGCGCCACACAACAAAAATCGAGGCATATCTGCGTCAGTACTAGCTGACTTGCTGAAGCAGTCATCAAAGCCGTTTATGTGTCTCACTAATTCTTATTAGGATCTGGTATTCTTATCTCTCGGTGATTCTCTCAACTATGAGGTTGATCCTTCGAGTCAAATAACTTGTCGGTGTTTGTGTAGAAATGACTGGGCGCGAGAAATATTGCGCAGTCCTGAAAAACCACACGATATACCGAATGATAGATGACCCAGTGCCCAACAAGACATTGGCCGAGCATCATCTGACACTCGTCTTCAATTTATGATGATGCATGAATATTCTACGAATATTGAATTGACCGACAATGTTTGATGCCATCACTTTTTAGTGTTATGTCAGAGTGCTTATTTTCGTTATGATTCTATTTTGATCTATATTGTTATAGAACAGACGCTGGTAATAGGACAGGATCCTGACATCAAAAGGACATGTTTTCACCAGACAAGCTCTTATACTGCTAAGGTGCACGATTAGGAATGACCACGGCTACTCATATATAACATGTAGCGGTAGAACTTGGAGCTTGCAATACAAAAGTGACCAAGTCTGTTGTTGACAAACGGAATATGAAAAAAACGTAAGAGAAACATGATCTAGTTCATGTTCACATAATTCTAACCAGATTATTAGGGGCGGTAATCACTGCAGATATCATCTACAAGTTCAGGTTCCTTTGGCTCCCAGTTTAGTTCGGAGCGAGTTATTCCGCTGGAGACGGGAATGTTGGCGGAGAAGAAATCGGCCAAGATATCAAAGTGACCTTGCGCTTTTGCTGAATCGATTGATACTAGTGGTACATCAAGAAGCTCACCAATAGCCTTTGCGATATCGTAGGTTTTCACCGCTTGTTCAGCTACTCCATGATAAATCCCTCCAGCACGCCCTTTTTCCACGACAAGCTGGTAGAGGCGTGCGGCGTCATCCCGCGCCACGGCAGGCAAAGCGTTTTGTCCTACTTCAATATAGCCAGATATCCCTGACTTTTTAGCAATATCGATCAACGCAGGAACGAATGCATTATCTCCTTTACCATGGACAATAGATGCCAATCTGACAATGGAAACTCGGACGCCTTTTTCTCTGTATATTAGAGCGGGATCTTCAGTCTCGGCGCGGATAGCGGCAACCCCACTAGGTTTTTTAATATCCGTCTCTTTACCGAGTTTTCCTCGCTCGAGAACTAGAGTACCATTGGAATAGATAAAACCCTTGTGGCTTCCTTTCAAAGAATCTAGCATAGCGAGAGTGGCTTCTCGATCGATGTAACAAGATTCGGCAAAGTTTTTGTAGTTCCGAATGAACCCAAGGTGAGCTACGCAATCAGCCTCTGAGGCCCCTTTTCTCAAAACATCTAGGTCCTTGAGTGACCCACGAAGAATTTGGATATTTTGACCCAGAGCTATAATCTTTTTCTCTGATTCTGCTGATCTGGCAAGAGCAACAACTGTATGATTTCTATTCAATAGTTCTCTAACCAAAGAAGTACCTATAAAGCCGGTAGCCCCTGTAACAAAAACTTTCATGATTTTATTGTAGTCTGCAATGTGGACTGTATATGAACGCTTTCTCAAGATGCAAAAGCTTACGTTTTCTTGAGACTTTATCATCTTTTCAAAGCTACATTAGGCTTTGGCCTCGTCGATCCCGGATTTACGCAAACTCGATAGGTAAACGAGACGGCTAAGTAAGTCTACGTTGACACAACTATGTTGTAACCCTTCTAGTATAAAGGTCGTCCGCCGCAATTAAAAAGATATAGAAAGCTTTTATAGGACGTTGGGTACACGAGATAGACAGGACATAAGAAGTGAGAAAATCAGGAAACTCAAAGAGAAGGTTGTGGGGTTGTCATACGATATAATAGTGATGCAAGAAAGGCCATACGATTCTTGGGCAATATCGAGGTGCAAGTTAGTCGAAGTTTGGCTTTTTGACTTTCTGTATACATGCACCCCACGGGTTTTTGAGTGTGAATTCTGTGGAATTTGAACAATGACACATTAAAATAAAGTGACAACTTCTGTATTATATTCTGGTTGTCGTGCCGGAAATGGCTAGCTGGCACAAAGACCTATGCAGTTGAGAATCTAGAAAGAGTATCAATGTTCAGCTCTCGTTGAGTCAAGATTTTAAAAAAAATCGGTGGTCTTTTGCTCGGAGGGGTATACATCGCCGAGTTCATAAAGAAAGAAAAACCAATTAAGTGATATACTGTAGAAATAAGGTCAACCTTACGGAACTGACCTTGGGTGGTATATATGCAGAAAGCAACAAACATCAGGCGGCGCCACTTTTCAGAAGAATAAGCACACGAGAGTATATTAAAATGAACCCGCCAGGACCATAGGTTTGCAATTTCAATTCAAAGGGAGGATCCTTATAATCGTGCAAGTAATTGAGCAAATAGGTCAAAAAAAACACACATTTCCATGAGGTACTCAGCTATGCTGCAACCGCAATCAGCGAAACATTACAGCTTCTTTGCATAACTTTCATCTGGGGCAAACGACAGGTGCTCGTTTCGTGGATTCAGTTACGACTGAAACAACGAAATAGTTCGAAAAAAGGGAAACAAAAGCAAAGCTAGCGTATGCCCCTTTAGGATGAGAGTGTTATTTCCCTCCATTTATTTTCACTCAAACTACTCGCACACTGTGCTCTATAAGAAGTTTGCTTTAGAGATGAGCCTGTATCGTGGTGGACCTGTATTGAGATGTGAGTGATGATAGTAACAAGTTGGACCTGTATTGAGATGTGAGTGATGATAGTAACAAGTTGGATATTGACAGAATAGTATAAAGTGATATGAAGTTGAGAAGGGTGCAAGATAATATGTGCTAGCTCCGGACTGAAAAGTCTTACCAAGTAATCTAAAGCTTACCGAGAGCATAAGACTGCTTTGAAGGAGCGAAGTGGTCGATAAAACTCACTTCATACATTCAGTTCTTATTCACATCATAAAAGTATATCAAAACCAGGGTTTGTTCTGGGGACAAGACAGTCATCTTGTACTGGAAATACCATATACAGGTAAGAGCAAGCTCAACCTGTTAAACAAATAAACCGATCGATTATGGAAGAGATGAGTAGAGCTATTAGCGAGCTTTCTGTCACTGGATAAGACTCATCTAAGTGTTTTGTTTATTGAAGGCACCACAAATAACCTCACCGAACTCGCCTTAGGTGAGAGATATCTAAGGAAAACCATTTTTACGTTTCCTCGAGCGACTGAGAGCACGTACCCCCGTTACTCAAGAACGTGTAAAAACCGATTACAGCTATCCTGATAACAGAGAATTGGTTCAGTATCGTGCATAAATCGTTCATATTTGAAGGCCATTTGGACATACGTGCATCTCTTTATACTTTTCTGAGACGGTATGAGTCTGGATAATGTAATCCTAGGACAACGCCTTACAAACTAGGCTTGCACCCTATCAAAATTTGCGAGTGTTGAATCCCATGCAAATGTTGCGTGAAGTGGTGAAAAATACAGATCCCGCGATCATCATTACTGAAGAATAGATGATGAACTTGTTGTAACCTGCAATTGAGCCCGATCCAATAATTGCACCTCCCACAGGGATTACTGGAACAGTCATTATGGCCTCTAGCAGGTAAGCAGTGGAAAAGCGCTTTCCAAAGTCCGTTGTTCTGGAAATTTGACCAATGCAAACAGGACCTAAAGAAAGAATAGAACCCGAAGCAAAGCCGTAGAGGACGGAATATGCCCATAGAACTTTCACGTTGCCCCCAAATGGTAGCCACATTGCCAAGTTAAAAAGCGCTGCCAAGGAAACTGTGACTATGACCATATTGAACCTTCCAGTGTACCTGTCAGCCACTTGGCCAGAAACATAGCGTCCTAAGATTCCAATGGCATTAGTGCTCGCAATTAGAGCATATGAGATTTTTTCAGAATTTCCTTGCGCTAGAGAATAAGACGCGAGGTAAGTGGAGGAAGCTGTCAATGAATTTTCAGCGAATCCCATGCCCAAAGCTGCAAATAAAAATTTCCAATCCAGGAAGTACTGCCAATTCAACGCTGAGCTCAAGTACCACTTGAATGCTTCTTTCTTAGATTTGAATGGCTCGACTACCGGTTTTTCCCGCTCGGACGCAAGCGCAATTGAACACGAAAGACAAACAAAGCACAGGAGTGCCAGGATTCGCAAAGCCCAATCGAACTCCACCTTATCGTAAAGGCTTCTCAGCATCAGAGGAAACACAACACCACCGAGTGACCCACCAGTTGTGGCAACACTCGTAGCAAGTGCCCGCTTCTTGACAAACCATGTGGCAACGCAGCCTACTAAAGGGGTCATCAAGATTCCCGAAGCAAGCCCTCCCAGTATAGAAAATGCCAAAATAAATTGCCAAACTGTTTTACAACTGGCAGTTGCGACAATCGCCGCCGAGAACATTATCGTTCCCACAATTAAAGGGGCGCGCGCCCCATTTCTATCAAAATAACCTCCAGCGAAGATACAGCTTAAAAATGTCATGGAAAGATAGATAGAGAAAATCCAAGAAACAATCGACGACGATTCATTGACTAATTGGTTTTTAGAAATATAGGACTCGATAGCTCCCAGTGAATTTATAATACCAAAAACGGGGATCAATCCCATAAAAGATCCGAATACAACCAGCCACGCCTGGAGTCCGCCCTCCGGTAGTTCCAGTTCCTCGATCTCCTGCACATCTTCCTTCAATGGATGCTGGGAGGCTCGCAACCGCACACGCTCACCTCTTACTTCAGCACTCGTCGAGTTTCGTGTGACTTGAGCCCTATAGCCAGAACTTGGCTGAGAATGATGATCAAGCTGCTGTGAGTTGTGATCATGTTTTTGAAACATCTCATGACTTGACATCTCCAAAAATCGGCTGCATTCTGGGCCAATTTCCTTCTTTATCTCTGTTGATCACCGTGGAGTTTATATATCCAATTCATGAGACTGCTCCTTCGCATGAGTAAAAAAATTATTAATACTGGAAAGGAACCTGCAAATGTCACCAGACCATTCGAACGTAAGTGTCATAGTAAGCCAGAGTTATTACTGTAAAGAATACTCTTGCGGAAATTCTTAACAGCTCACATCAAGCGGAGTTAGAATGTTGTCGAATCTATCAATCACAATATGTCGCAAGTAACACCAATTGGCTCAGAAGATGGAAACTCACTGCTTTCCAACCATAGAAATATCTTTTTAGTTTGGTCGGAGCACACGACCTTGCAAAGTCGTTCACTCAAAGCAAAAGCCTTAACCAACGTACTGCACCAGGATTCTGCAGCTAAGAGAGTAATTGGCAATATGTGTTTGATACAACATTGAAATCGGTTCTCATACGGTAATCGAAGGAATATAATACTACCCATCAATTAATCTCAAGCGCACTATAAAAGGTAGATATGTTAGCTGTTGAGGTAGAAATAAATGGGACACGGTCCTCTCACTGCTGGTATTCAATCGTGTTTGCCAAAAATTTTGTTCTGCTGCAGGGTTTTGACTTTGATGTTATTTGCTAGATGCATAGATGTAGCTGACTCGCTGCAAGCGACGGAGTATAGATTTGGTTGCTGGTCAGAGTGAGCACCATAGTGACATGAGCCGACGACAAGTCCGTAAGCCTCGAAAAATTATCATTCTCATCCTTTCTTTCATTCTTTCACCTGCACAAATAATTGAATATTATTGATTTAAGGTGCCTGGCGTAGATGCTTAAACTTATAGTAACGCATTTAGTTGCCCTAAAATACTATTGGTGTCTCTTGAGGAGTTGAAATAGACTATTTCTTAAATACAACTATGTATGTGTCTAGGACTTTCTAGAGTGCTAAAGTGGTGGCGCATTCGAGCTGTGACGATAATCGATCCTGCTCTTGCAGCCACTATCTAATTATGGCTCGCTATAGTAGCTTAAAGCTTGGTTGCATTACTCGTCTTAAGACGCACGCTATCTATTCACCTGGCACCCACTTATTGGTGCCAGGTCCTTCAGCGGCGGAAACAATATTAAACCGAATGACTTGGATTGAAAGACCAGCTTTCAAACCCAAAGACCTGTTTGATTAACAGGTCAATTTCATCACTTAACGAAAAATCATGCGTGTACGCAAGATTATTAAGTTGGTTAATGGACGTTGAATCGTTATCAACTTCCGAGGCTGGCTCATCACGAAGCCTACGCGGCAAATCGTAACTCAAACTGAAATTTTGGAAGACCTCGGTATAGAAATTTAGCTCATTGATGCGAGGCTCCAAAAGTTGCCCCGACCCTGTTTCCGGTGGCATAGTTGTTAGTTTTCGAGAGCATGCCACCGACAGCAAACAGCTGTATAGTTGATAAATGCTTGCCTTTTCAAAATTCCCAAATCGTGTTTGGAAGTTTGAAAATAAAGTTTTCAGCTCACCTAACACCTCAAGAACTAAGATCTTGGATTTCTTACTGTCCTCCATAAATGGCTTGTTGAATGTGAGTAGCACAATGTAATAGTGATACCAAAAATAAGAAATGGTTGGGTCAGTAGCGCTGTCACGATTTTTAATGACACTTTTTGACCATTTTAAAAAATCGGGCAAAGATTGCCTCCACTGATAAACTCTTAAGTTAAATTTAACGAGATATTCAATGCGCTGGGCTGTAGTGCTAGGTTCAATAAAGATCTTGGCGGTGAACACCTGAACAATTCTTGACAGAATAACAAGATTTTTCAACGGCAAAGACACTTGCAAGACATGCTTGCTTTTAAAGCGAAATTCTTCCGTACCGTTTACTTCCGGTAGTTCGTCACTTTCTGGAATTGTAGAGTTAGAAACACTTAAAGTAGACGTTCGTCCTAGCAGAAGACATATAAAATGGTCTGCAATATAACAACCCCAATAAATTCTGCTCCTTATCTCAAGTTCACTTTGTGAGAGCTCATTGGAAGTTGATTCGTCTGTAACCCACACCCTGGGGTCAAGTTGGAAGCCCATATCGTGTCCCACCCGTATAGCTAAACCCGAGAAATACCAAGCCAGTTGATTGTTGCCGTTGCCGAGTTCATAAAATGCCAGACAAAGGAGAGCTTGAACTGTCGTGATTTTGGCAATGCTTTGCTCGTCGAAAACAATTTTGAGCAATTTCTCTTTGGCTTTCTGATAATAATTATTTGAAAGGCCTCGCATGTCAGGAGTGAGCCTCGCTCCTATGGCAGCAACCGCATAAATTAGTTCCTCAGAACAGTACTGTGAGTTTTCGTAGTTATCTTCATCATGATCAAAAAACCCATACAGGAAACTCTCTCTATGAACAAAAACAAAATGACCCGGGTATAGCCAGACGTAAAAATTAGATAGACTTTTCAAAATTTCCTTGTTAGCATTAAGGGCCTCGCCACCCTCTTTTTTATTCCTCACAATTACAGTCGTTTTCAAGTCCGCTATTCTTTGCTTGGGTTTCGGTATTGAATGCTCAGGTTTCTTCGGCTTGTAGCTTGCTGGGCCCTCGGGATAGATGCTTCCTTTAACAAAGCCTTTTTTGCGCAGGCTGTCATTTACTGAGAGTTCTGGTGCGCCAAAAGTCATAGTAGAAGGGGCAATCATATTTTCGCTGCTTATTGTTACGTTAGAATAGTGGCCCATTGACGAGCTTCTGTGATCATCGTCAATTGAACTATTAACACCTAGATCCATATCTTCTACCCGAATGCCATTCAAGGAGCTGAGTTTCTCGGCTAGTTTTTTTAATCTTGTCTCTAAAGATGCTACATGAGACTCTAAAGTGCCCACATAATTTGCAGTGTGTCTCTTCTTTCTCATATCCTCCATGTTAACATTGCAGTCCAACTTCAATCTCACACAATTACCACAGGGATAATCCAGGTCACACTTCTTACGCCGGCGTCGACAGTTGGAGCACGCTAGTCTTTTACGTCCCTCCAAAGGGCTTGGACCCACAGGCTCTCCCTCGTTAGTCGCATCGAAGTCCTTTATTAGCCGCTTTTTCGATCTGCTATCAAGATCTTCCTCGACATTCATAACCTCGAAAGCGCTCCGAACAACAGACGCCGTTGTCTCCGATAAGTTCGTTGTCTAACGTTGCTGCTTGTCCTCTATTCTTTTACGTCTTGGGCGAGGAACCATAAAATTTCCAACGTATGTTTTAAAACTATTAAAAAATCAGAATAAAAATCATCGATCACATATAGCTAATCGAGCTACTCTTGTATATGTTTTCCAGTGATTGAACTTCTAGCAAGGTACGCATTTAGAAGTTTACATTGCGTTCACTATAGCTGATCAAATAAGTTGATTTTAAAACTATGAATATCACAATTTGAGCTTGTGCTATGATGCTGCGCGCGATCAAATTAAGTTGAACATGTAGTGCAGACCGAGAGATCCGGAATACATTTTGGGAAAGCACAAAAAAAAATATCCGATAGCGGCAATGCAGCGCTTTGCAAAAGTCCATATAATAATATTATTAGTCCCGAATTATCAACAGGGTGCAATACCAAATTGCGTTATCAGCCCGAGATCAAGCCCTCAAAAGAATAAGAAGATGAAAGAACGAACACTAACATGAGATTTTTATGAGCTAGCACAATTCCTAATGGAGTATAAATCCTGAGGTGAACGTGTTTCCGCCCTTGCCATTGAATGCGTTCTTCAATTGGGCTTCACGTTTTATATGCTCAGAGTCCTTCCCCATTCGCGTTTAGTCACTAGTTGAGACTGGTTTTGCCAGGTCTCTGAACTCCGTAATTATGGCGGCCTTTCGAGAAGTCAAATATTCCGCGATGACAGGACACGCCAAATAGTGAAAATAGGTTAGGTATCACAAGTTTAATCTTTTCCGTATTTGCCATTAGACGACTTAACGTAAAAAACTGAGAAGTGTTATAGGGTAATTGGAAATGATAAAGTAAGATGATATTGAAGACCTCTTACAAAGCCTATTTCATTTCTTGTCATGTGTTCGAGTTTACTCAAGGTCTCAAAACAAGTGAATGACTTTATTTGCAATTCCACCTTTCCGTTTCAACATTTGCTATTGTGCCTCGCTTATGCTTCTTTTGCATTTGAGTACCCAAATAGCATATATCTCCCGGCTATAAAACACCGAAATAACCGACCATCACAACTCATCGTGAACTATTGGCTCCTTTTGGTCTTCTTTGGAAGTCGCTCTTTTTGCTGCCAGATATTTTTGTTCAAATGAGTCAAGAAATTCTTCGCTTGGTGATTCCGAAACAGGGACTCTTGCGACCAAGCTTTTTCTCAGTGTCGAAATTGGAACTCTTACTTGCATGTCATTGATTAGATCTTGGTCGAGTTTAGCTAGAAAATTGATACCTGCTGACAGACGCTGGTAATGAATCCGAAGCTTGTCACCAGCGTGATCTTTTCTATACTTGGCAAGATCAACAATAAATGCAGGCTCAATGGCGTGAAATTTTAGGTTGTGCTTAGCCAAAAAGTTTTTCCAGTAGCCTTCGTTCCAGTAAGGTGTTCCACCAGAGTGATAGGCTCTTGGTAAACAAAACACAGAATCAAATTTAAAGTGCCAGAGCGCCTTTAAGTCTTTGACCCTAGTATCGGGGCTCATGTAAATTAACTTTTGGACTCCAGCGGGGAAAATCAAATCTAGCATTAAAATCTTTGCCGCCGAAAGCTCTTGCACCAAAAATCGCTGCGGTCTTAGCCAACGCGGCCAGTCATAATAAAGGAACTCAAAAGTGACTTTGTTACCGCTTTGAGCTGAGACGAATTTTAAAAATGGCTTGAAATCAACCGAAGGCTGCTCGCCTAAAACAATCCAAAACTTCACGGCCAGCGAAGGATTAGTTCCCAAGGTCCACTTTACTAGGTTTCTAAAGTTGTTTTCTTGTTCACGGTCTTCAATAATAGAGAAAATGTTGACACTTTCTTCTACGACATGAGAGGCCTCTACCCTGTTGTCATCGATTAATTTCACAAGCTTGACATAAATCCGCACTGGGGAAAAAGAGACAACATCAAAAGATTTTGAAGGCATATAATCAGCATTAGCATGCAATGAAAAAGTAGAGACCTTATAATCTGGAGAGCAACTTTCAACCCTCAACCCTCTGCCGAGGCGTTTGAGCTTGAACTGACCATAACCAAAAGTATCAGAAGTAAAGGCTGTATCTAAAACCTCATTCCCGTCATCAAGCAACTTCAAGCAAACATTCCCTATCCCCTCCACAAGACCTTTTGATGGTACTTCAGTAGCTTCAAACGCGTTTACTTCAAGAACGAGATACTGAAGCTCAAACTCATCATCTTTTTGTTGCCCAATATGCCAATATGATGGCCGATCGATGTCTGCATTAAAATTCATAGTATCGAGCTCAGTGATATTAGTGTGTCCTTCCTTCCAAATCCTATAGATGGGGAAAATTTTCAGGTCTTTTGTCGGCAACAGATGAAGCTGAAGGTTAACAAAGTCTAACTCGTTTAGTTCGGATATTAACGTTAATAGGTTTTGGGTGCGCTCTTCTAAAGGATCAATCAATAGAGTAACATCAACTTTCTTGGTTTCGCCCGACATTTGCAAAGAGTTGTAAGAACTGAAATCGATGAAGTCGCCAAGGCAAAGTCTTGAAATGGAGCCCTCAGCAGTAAAATCGATTCCATTATTATACAGCCGCTCGCCTTCGTAAAACATTTTCGTCATAATGCTACTCGCCATTTCGACAAAATCAGCATTCACTGCTAAGTCCAAGAATCCGGGCAGCTCTTCTTGAATTGCTTCCACAGCATCCAAAACTCTTAAAGCCTCACGTTGAAGAATCATCTCGTAATGCTTCGTTGAGGGAATCTCACCTAAGTCGAAATGAATTACTCTACCATTGACTGTTAAAAATGACGTTTGAGCCACCTCGCCCGGGAAGCGATAAAACCACTGGCTCAACTTGTTATGCTCAAGAACGTTGGTAGCATCATTTGCCTTCGACCTGGAGCGGACTGTTTCTAATTCGGAAAAGGCAAACTTGGAAACAAATTGTCGCACTCTATCCCATTGCTTACCGTTTGGTCCGGTGTGTATAGCCCTTAACCTTACTCCTAACAATTCAATTTTCATAAGATTGATAAGTCTATCAAGTCCAAAAGCGGTATTAAAATCATCAACGATGGTGATGGTATGGAGAAGATTATGACTTTCAGCCCTCGATACCTCTATCGTTCGTTTTCCTAAAGCCTTCAAAGTATTGACATCGGAAACAAAGTAGCTTGCATCTTCAAAGTAGTCTGGTAAATACTTCGAATTTCTTTCGGTAAATGATCTTCTATGAAGTATTTCTCTTGCATTTAAAACCCCAACAGCATTGATTCGACGCAATTCGTCTTTAATGTACGAGACATCTTTCTTCAAAACTTTGGCAATGATATAATTCCACAAATTGCTTTTGAAAGGGTATATTTCGCCATTTACAATGATTGACGAGCTTTTTATCATTAACTTTGAGCCCAGAATTTCCAAAACTGGAGGAATATTTTCGAACTCACTTTCCCTGGCACCTTCAGAAATAGAGAGCTCGTTAAGGTATTCGAGAACAGACCTTAAGTCCCTGTTTTTCAGCTCATAAATTCTGCGAAGGATGCCCATGTCTTCAGGATCCGTGGTCATCGGTAAGAGCCCAATTCTTTGAGGATATCCGTTTTTAACGACACCTACAGCTCGCAGTAGACCTTGCAAAGCTTCTGAAGTATCTTTCGAGGCCAAATCAGAAAAATTAACCACGAAAATCACTTCGTTCCAATTTTCTCTGTAGGCAGGTAATTGACTAAACTCGGACTCTTTAAAGAATTCTCCAATATCATCCTTTAACTTCTCCTTGTACTCTGGATCATTTTCAATATCATTGAAATAAATAACACTTTCTGAGAACCCAGAAACTCGGTGTAGATCATATTTCACTGGTTGTGAACTCTGAAGAGTTTTTGATGATCGCGAAGAAAAATTATTCAATAATTTCTTAGCCATAATTGTGGATGCTTGATCATCAAGGTTCTGATATGTTTGCAAAAGGTTTCTTAAAAAATCGATGTGTTTCAATTCTGTGGTGACAGAACGGATTACTGTACTTTTGTCTAGACTGGAAAGCTTAAAATACTGCCCATTAACGTAAAGTCCGAGCATGGTATGGTCAATTCCCTGCTCGACTGACGTCTCAATAGCTTCATCCAATTTATCGTAATTCGCAGGTAACTTCGAAAGCTCAACCGCCAGGACAGGCAAACTGTTAACAATCTGCTTTAAAAGAGCGAGAGTTTTTCCAAAATCCTTATTCTTCTCATGAAAGTCGCAAATGAGGGCAGTTACTTTCATGTCAAGACTACTCAGCTTCGATCCATCAATTTGGTGCGTATGAAAATGTTGGTTGCTAGAACCAAAGTCGCCAGGTACATCAAGTGCTAAGTCAACAGGTTCGCCCCAGTGTGTTTCTTTAATAGTCAACGCTATCGCAGAAGGCTCATACTGAAAAGGTAAGTCATTGGGGCATGTACTCCTCCAGATGAACCTTATTTTTCCAGCTTGTGATTCTATAAGCAGGTTACGATTGAAAGACTCCCAGCCGTGGAGCCGATCACATCCATAAAACTGCACAATTGGGGCCTCGGTATTAAATCCAATGACCACGTCTTTGGAATCCAAAAATTGCTGGCTGGGTATGGACTTTTGAGCATTCAAATCCACACTTTTCAAATAAAATAAGTCTTCAGAGGAAGAGAACCGTTTCTTGTTCAAAATAAAATAGTTATCATTATCAGTATTCATGCTAAATCCTGGTTCTAGAGCATAGTGTAGCGGAAACAGCGCTGCTGCATCTGGGTCATGTAACTGTAGAAAAGCGACAACTTGATCAACAAGCAATGCAGGTGTATCTAGATCGGAGTAGTCATCAAAATCCTCATCTACACCAGCAATCTGGAAATACAAGCGCTGTAAAAGGTCAGAATCGTCCACCAGATACCTCAAAGTATTCCATGTCCGTAGCGTTGTTCCAGATGTGGCATTAGGAAAGCTCACGTAAAGTGCTCCGGAAAAAATATAATTGAGTGATGCCAGGAGCCAAAACACTAGCATCTCGAGGGAAGAATATCAAACGACCTCTCTTGCGTCTGATGATATACACAATCACTTGGTCCTGTATTAAGCGCCAAAATAAAGAATGTTATTTGAGTAGTTTTATACGAGGTGATGATCATGCTCAAAAGCAGAGAACTGATGATATAGGCTAGAAAGCGCCTCGATGCACCGCTACACACACTCCAGCATATTGAAGTCATTACTTATCGAAGAAAAGCCGGAGGAATACAGAGTTCTGGTTTTGGAAGAAGCTTTTTTAAATTCATTGCATTCCGTAGCTCTAGGTATTAAGACAAATTGCTGGACTAGCAGAACCAGTCGATGACTGGCAACACGATTAATATCAGATCGCCAAACATTTATTATATCGAAGCTTACGGTCGACAGTTTTATATCACAGTTTACGATAAGTATATTTTCTTATTTCCAAATTTTTTAACTTGACGATATCAAAATATGATTCATCATGAAATAGCTCTCTTTGGCACCTGTAAAGAGCGCTTCGAAAGTGTTTTCTAAGTGTATAAGACGGATTACACATAGCGCTGTCAAAATGACTGTCGGTGATAAGCAAAAATGGACAGCTTCAAACGTCCGCTCCACGTTTTTGGACTATTTCAAAGAGCGCGAACACAAGTTCGTAGCATCTTCTCCAGTGGTGCCTTATGATGACCCTACATTACTGTTCGCTAACGCCGGCATGAACCAGTATAAGCCTATTTTTTTAGGAACGGTGGACCCATCTTCTGACTTCTACACTCTGAAAAGCGCTGTGAACTCGCAAAAGTGTATCAGAGCAGGTGGTAAGCACAACGATTTGGAAGATGTGGGTAGAGACTCGTACCATCACACTTTCTTTGAAATGTTGGGTAACTGGTCCTTTGGCGACTACTTCAAGAAAGAAGCGATCGAGTACGCTTGGGATTTGTTAACAAAGGTATATGGGATTCCGGCTGACAGACTTTACGTGACGTACTTTGAGGGCGACGCGAAACAGGGGCTTGAGCCAGATACCGAAGCCCGCGACTTATGGCTAAAGGTTGGTGTCCTAGAGGACCATATCTTAACCGGTAATGCTCAGGACAATTTCTGGGAGATGGGTGACCAGGGTCCATGTGGCCCTTGTTCCGAAATCCATTACGACAGGATTGGTGGAAGAAACGCGGCGTCTTTGGTTAATATGGACGACCCAGATGTTTTAGAGATCTGGAATATTGTCTTTATTCAATATAACAGAGAGCAAAACGGCAAACTAAGGCCTTTACCAGCCAAACACATTGATACTGGTATGGGTTTTGAGAGATTGGTGTCTGTTCTACAAGATGTTAGATCTAACTACGATACCGATGTTTTCCAACCTTTGTTCTCTCGTATTCAGGAAATTACTGGCGCTAGACCTTACACGGGCAATTTTGGTGCGGACGACGTTGATGGTATTGATACAGCTTACAGAGTTCTCGCTGATCACGTTCGTACTCTGATGTTTGCCTTGGCCGATGGTGGTGTTCCAAACAATGAAGGTAGAGGTTATGTTTTAAGACGTATTTTGAGAAGAGGCGCGCGCTACGCACGGAAATATATGAACTACCCGATTGGTAACTTTTTCTCGAATTTGGCTCCAACCTTAATTGAGCAGACTAAATCGATGTTTCCCGAAATTGCAAAGGACCCCAGCTACTTATTCGAAATTCTGAATGAAGAAGAAGCTTCTTTTGCTAAAACTCTCGATAGAGGCGAAAAACTCTTCGAAAAATACGCTCAAACCGCGTCTCAAACTCAGAGCAAAACTCTCGATGGGTTGCAAGTCTGGAGACTTTACGATACTTATGGTTTCCCCGTCGACTTAACTGAACTGATGGCTGAAGAACAAGGTTTGAAAATCGATGGTCCTGGTTTCGAGAAGGCTAAGCAAGAATCTTACGAAGCATCTAAGAAAGGTGGTAAAAAAAGTGCATCTGATTTGATAAAGCTGGACGTTCACGAAATTTCTACTTTGAATTCTGAGAATGTTCCAAAAACTGACGACTCTCCAAAATACAACTCAGCCAATATCGAAGCTACCGTTTTGAAAATCTACGATGGTGAAAGCTTCGTTTCTCATGTTAGCGAGGTCGGGAAACAATACGGTGTTATTTTGGACACGACCTGCTTCTACGCTGAACAGGGTGGCCAAGAATACGACATGGGAAATTTAGTCATTGACGGCGCCGTTGAATTCAAAGTTGAAAATGCTCAACTTTACAATGGCTACGTATTCCACACCGGTTCTCTCGCCGAAGGCAAATTGTCTGTTGGTGACAAGATAATTGCATCCTTTGACGAACTTCGTCGTTTCCCAATTAAAAACAACCACACAGGTACTCACATTCTCAACTTCGCTTTGAAAGAAGTTCTAGGTGGCGAGGTGGATCAGAAGGGTTCATTGGTGGCACCTGAAAAGCTCAGATTCGATTTTTCGCACAAGAAGGGATTGAGTTTGAATGAATTGCAAAAGGTTGAAAGTATCTGTAACGATCAAATCAAAGCTGATTTAACAGTTTACTATAAAAACGTTCCTCTGGAATTAGCTCAGAAAATTTCGTCTGTGCGTGCTGTATTTGGTGAAACTTACCCAGACCCGGTACGTGTTGTATCCGTCGGTATGCCAATTGATGACCTTTTGGCTAACCCAACAAGTGAAGAATGGCAAAAATTCTCTGTAGAGTTTTGCGGAGGTACTCATGTCGCAAAGACCAGTGATATCAAGGAATTCATCATCATCGAAGAAAGTGGTATTGCAAAGGGTATCCGTAGAATTGTTGCGGTATCTGGCACTGAAGCTCATGAAGTGCAACGAACCGCAAACAGCTTTGACGCTGACTTAGCAGCTGCTGAAAAATTGCCATTCTCTCCATTGAAGGAAAAGAGATTAAAAGAATTGGGTGTAAAATTAGGCCAGCTGACTATTTCAGTTGTTGCAAAGGATGCTCTCAAAACCAAGTTTAGCAAAATTGATAAGGTTGTCAAAGACGAAGTCAAGTCGAGAGCCAAGAAAGAAATCAAACAGACCGTTGATGAGGTTAAAAACTTCTTCGCTGAAAATGAGTCTGCTCAATTTTTCGTTAAATACGTTGACATCCCTACCAATGCCAAGGCCATTACAGAAGCTGTAAACCACATGAAAACATCTGCAAAAGACAAGTCTATTTATTTATTAAATGGTAACGACAAAGTCGCGCACGGTTGTTACATTTCAGATGTTGCCATCGAAAAAGGCATCGATGGTCGTGAATTGCTAGAAGCAATCTCCCGCAACATTGGTGGTAAGGCCGGTGGTAAGGCTAACGTTTTTCAAGGTGTTGGAGACAAGCCACAAGGAATCGAAAATGCTGTAACCGAAGTGGAACAACTTTTCATGCAAAAACTGTCCATTTAGTACTTATAATCTGTAAATTTAAGCCTATAAAAAAAGAGACGCAGGTAGGGGCTCACAATGATGTGCGAGAATGTCCCTTATATACTTCGATGGAATTTATTGTCAGGTATAGATATGTTTGTTCAATTTTTTTCATTTCTACAAATTCAATTAATTGGCAAGCCGCCTCGGCGATGAATATAGTCTGCCGCTTTAATAAGAACAAAATATTTAGCATACTCCCTGGGTAATGGTACGCCTAAAGAGTAGATACATCCTTTTCGAGGTGTTATATCCCGAAGCCGATACGTTAGATGGCACTTTGAAGGGGCGAGGTAACAAAGATATTTTGCTCCAACACCATAGAGTCAGTCCTGGCCAGATCACAACGAAAACCATTATATATGAGCTGCGAAGAGTTTTACAATTCAACTTTGGTGATTATGGTGCTGGCAAAGTCAATTCCTTGTTGCAAGTCAAATACTTTTCAAACCGGACATCGACAGGTATCATACGATGCAGTAGGGAGGACTATGAACTCGTCATCATAGCGCTTATGCTCATGAACAAATTAGACGAAGTTGAAGGCCTAATCATAAACCCTGTCAAGGTAAGTGGTACTATAAAAAGGATAGAGCAACATGCCATTAGGAGAAATGAAAGACTACTAGCTATTATTCATGACAACAAGGAAAGAGCGACAGAACATTTCGATAGTATAAGCGACGATGACACTGAAGATTGAAGTTTCAATATGTGATTATTAATGTGTCTACGACCTGCATAGATTTTTGATATGATAAATACGGTATGTCTTTCAGGAAGTATGATGCTTTTTTGGTGGGTTCGACTGTGAGTCATCTGCTTTCTGCTGCCCGTTGTCCGCTTCTGTAAATTCGACAGGTCCTTCACGGCTTCTTTTCTCGCCCGTGCTCCCGAGTAATTGTATGCCTACAGCTTTTTCTGTATCTTCAGCCCTTTGCACCTCGCTCATCTGTGAAAAGTTGGGACGATACATAGTATTAATACCCTCTTGAATAAACAGAGGATTCTCGTACACTTGTTCATCGCTCCTGCGGGAGTTAGCATTTGCTGCTTTTGAGAAAAGTCTCGAGTCATATTGAATGCCAGACGTATCGCTAGCCTTTGCGGCTCCGAGTATTACTTTATCCGAAATTTCTCGGTTTTGCTTAGCTGCTAGAGCCCTCAAACGGTCAGCGGTATTCAGCTTAGATTGCCGTAAGTCTTTTTCCAACTGTATCCTTCTATCTTTCTTCTCTGATTCTCTTTTTCTCAAAGCACCAAGCTCAACTGAAGCCTCGGAGCTTGAACCAACATAACGCTTTCTTTCCTCACGCGCTTTTAAAGCGAGTAATCTTAATTTCTCTTCTTTATCTCTGGCATCTTGCTCGGCTAGCATTCGTTTTGCTTCTCCTCTCAACTTAACTTCTTGTCGGGCTTTCTTTTCAGCAACATCTAAAGCCTCTGATAGTTTCGTAAATCCATCACTTATTTCACGAGGAGCAACAGAATCCTTACCAAAACGACCGTCCGATGCCACTCTCTTGTCGAGTTCAATTGCATACCCATTAGGATTTTTCCAATTGGAAATGGCTGACGGAATGTTCCACTGGTCGCGTTCCTCCTTGGTGGGCTGTGGAGTTTTATCATCCGACTTGTGCAGTACCGGTGCAAATGGTTCGTCCGCGGGCGGGGCTACCATTTTCTTGATCTTGAACAGCTTCGGTTGCAGAGGGTCAACCTGTTGATCCACTATCTGTATGGCCCTTGTCTTACTATCACCAGGCAATCCTGAACTATTGTATTGTATGGTTTTCACACCGCTTGGATGACCCGGCGGCGGATTAGCGTTAGTTCCTTGTGGACGAAGCTTCTCATTCATTATCTGGTCAAAAACAGCTTTGGTGCGCTGGTATGATTCACGGATTTCGATACCGGTGGGTAAGGGCAATTCCAAGTCTGGGTACTTGTGTCTTAATGGCAAAAAATTCTCCAAAGTAACTGTTTCTCGTTTTGTTCCTTCTGATCCAAAGTCGGCAACGTCATAGCCAACATTTTCCGATTTGGCAATAGCATCTACAACATCTTGAACATCATTTGTTTGCCTCAGAAGCTCCACGTGTGGCATATCATGCTTAGGACGAGGCAATAGAGAGCTTAGCGAATTTGCAAACGACATGGATCTAAAGTCTGCTTACTTTTTGTTCGTTATATGGTCACTTTTGATATACCTTTTGATGAATTTTAAAAACCTTGCGTACGAATGCAGATGATGTATTTTAGTGTGCGCCCTCTCCGGTAAACAGATGCTTTCTCAAGTATAAAAGCCGACGATGGTGGTGATCTAATTTCTAGGATCATGTTGATGTAAATTAAGATGATCATCGGAATTAAAAATAATGGATTTATATTTAGTGACAAAATGGTACAAGATGACAAAGACCTAGCCGACAGAGCTGGGAAATAATCACCAAAACTACAATACACTAAAAAGAGAATCCCTTTCTAAATTAATGACTGTAAAAGGATGCATTATTGGTTTGTGACTCGCTTCTTTAAAGTTGCTAGACGCGATGGATACCAATATCTCGATTGATGAGCCCGAAGGTCAAATCAATTCGTCAGCAGTATAAGCCTCCGCGTTTTACGCTATGGGGACTCCTGCAAGATGTTCTTGATGTTTTGCCGCTAACTAAAAGCAGTCGTTGGTCGCCACTTGGCCCAATTTTAGGATAAAACAGGGACATAGCCAATCTAAAGAGATTTGGAAATTTAAGTCTTTTGTCATACCGTCATTCAATCACCTCATTTCTCGTTCCAATCCAATGATCACCTTGTCGTGTTTGTACAGTACTCACTCATCGGTGTTGAAATTGGAGGCCAAACCTGTAGCCAGCTTGATATTGCACACATTTAAACCCAGAGCTTTCGAATTCTTCCTTGATGCACAGTTCCGTTTGCTTGTGCATGGGATGAACTTGACTGTCTTCGATGGGTTCTTAAAGGTAGCCAGACATGAAAGTATGCCATCTCATACTTCTTCCTGAATTCATCCTTTTGCATTCAATTTATATAATTGTTAAAGTTTGCGATGGCATTCAGCACCGCCGCGACAGAACACAAGCAACTACTTTTCATAATATCAAGATGCCCATCGAAAGCTCCGCGCACGATAAAAAGCGTTAAGCACAGTTTCTTTCCTTTCGGGAAGAACCCCCCCTTTCACTTCGAAATAATAATAAATTCATATTTCCATCACAATACTCAGGAAATGCTGTTTCCTTGAACGCCATAATACACATGTTGTAGAAATGATACAATCAGTAAAATACGGAGAGGCCATTAGGAATAGGAGTACTGCTTGTATCATCAACTTGCAGCATATCTGGTGAAGTACCTGAAAAATTGTTACGGGTGTCGATAAAGAACTGCAGAGCTTCAATAATTTGTCGCAGAAAGTGCAGTATATCTTCCACTTGAAGTGAATTTCTTTTTATTTCAGCTTTAGCTAACCTTTCCAAGCAGTCACTACGGTTCTTTGAGATACAATATACTTCCCACTATTCATAGATCCATCTCATTTCGGCTCCGAGAATCACTGGAGGGCCGAATTAATGGAGAGATGAGAGTAACAGCCCAACACAGTTCCAAACTTTTTACCGAAATTCTCTGGGAAGCTGCATTTAGTTCTTCATACATTCGTCAATTTCTCGACCACTCATTCAAAAAATGCTTCGCCAAAAGATCGCCGATACTGACCAACTTTCTGCACCAAAGATTTCCGTGATTTAGTTAGGGAAGTATAGGAAATCAATTCATCGAAGAAGTTACTGGAATATAATTCCACAGTATTGAAAGGAAGACTCCTTCTGTGATCACTGAAATAGCCGCAAATACATCATGGCTGTTCTTGATTTCCGCCACGATGGTCTTTAATAGAATGAAGGACTTATTCTTTTCCAGTAAAAAATCAAGCGTCCGGTCTATAGGTCTTTTCGCTCCTTGTCCTTTATCGACTTTTTGTGATATACTTGTAAGATTGGCGATAGGGTCGTCTTCTCTAGAGCTTCTTTTGATAGAAGATACAATTTGCGGCCTTTGTCCTTTCAAGGGTAGTGAGCTTGAGGGTGGCGCTTCATCTTTGGTATTTCTGGCTATCTATTGTTGTCAAAACTTTTTGGCATTAACTCGGGCCTCGAGTATACTTGCTTCAGCTTCCACAGTCCCGGAAACCTATATTTTTGTCGTCATTGTTGTATATCAGAAGAAAGAGACCATTATCATATTTGGCATTTCTTACCTTCGAGGTACATAGAGCGCGCATAAACGAATTTAAAAAATGTCTACAATGTCTATAACTATCTTATGAGCTTGTCTCGTAGCTTCGAGGCAAGCTTGTGGCCTGAATTAGTGGAATACTCACTCTGCATTAGTAAAGAGGATCTTTTCTGTACCATGGTACTGTTTTCGGTATCTTTGTCCCGAAGGCTGTTTTGAAAAGCTAAGCCTTCTTGTCTGAGCCTATACTGCTGAACAGCAAGTTGTGGAGGTGGTGGGGGATAGTGCAAAATAGCAGGCTTCTTGTACCAGCCTCTCTTCTTGGGTCTCGGATCTTCGTCTTGTGACATGGGAGGAACTCCGGTGAAACGCACTTTTTTGACCAGTTCGAGAACCTCCATACGCGCCTCAATGTCTGACTCCTCGCTATTTTCGCTTGATTTTCGTTCAGACTCTGTAGCGGAAACTTGATCCGCATTGGCGAGTTCACTATCAGTGAACTTATCTGCAGATTCCGTATCACTATTGGCGGAGCTTGTTTTTGTAACGAAAGCTAGTTTTTCCTTGTCTAAAACCAAGCAATCGGCATGAGGGGACTCTTTGCCCCGCAATTGCTTGCTTGAAGGCGACTTATTTTTACGAAGAGGAGATGGTGAACTTGATCGCCTAATTTTGCCTAAGCCGTTGATAGGAGTAGAAAGCCGAGATAGTGGTCGTTCTTGCAAAGAGTTCCCCGTTCCCAAAAGGTTGCCCGATACTTGAGCAAAAGTGTTTCGAATCATCCGTTGATTGAAGATTGCGCCTGCTTGGAGGGAATTGGAGCGCTGAGTATCCCCAGCTACTCCGCCAGAGTTTTGTACTAGTGAAGATTGCAAAGAGGTAGACCTCTTCCTTCCGGGGATGTTGTGTGGCTTTTCATCATCCCCGTTGGCAATTTTTGTTCCAGATGGTGATATTTCGCGGGTCGACTTTCGGTTAGCAAGAATCCCATTGGTTTCGGCCATTGATCCACGTCTAGAGGCCAAAGGCGAGGTCAAGTTACTTCCTGTCCTAGAAACTCTATTAGGAACTGCTGATTTCCTATTATTTAGAGATGGTGACCTGCTCATATTTGCAGGAGAAAGAGTTCCTGGTGAAGAGCTGTTGCTTGATATTGGTGAGAGCTTTGATCCTCCTATGGAAGACCTCCTGAAGATCGTTTTGACAGAACCTGTCTGGTTTTTTAACGCTGCTTCCTTTTCAGATTCATCCTTGGCAGCAGCCTCTTTCTTCTTCATTTCGGTATGCTCAAGTTTATCGTTAGAGTGTCTTTCCTCAGCAAGCTTCTGCAACTCAGAATCATCTAGGGCCTTCAGTTTCTCATCTATTGGTTTGTTTTCTTGTATGACCGTCCACACGGAAATCCAAGTCTCGAGAGTTTGAAAATAAAACCTAAGTTTCCTGATAGCCACAGTGACATCGCTGTTGAACGATTGCGAAATATTTGTAGGTTGTACTACTAATGAAGATCCACTTTGGTTATAGCGATCCAGATCTTTTACCATTTGATCAAGATCGTTGTCGTCAAAGCAGATGCCTTCAATATTCTGCAAAAGTTCGCGAAGCTCGAAAACATTTGCGGATCGCAGCTGAGTGCCCGGGGCAGCAAAATAACTTTTATTCGGAATGTAGATTTGCCTCAAAAATGCTCTCGTGATTGTTAAAATGTAGAAGAGTCGCAGCAGCAAGGCGTATATTCGATGCATGGTATACTGCCAATGCGGCAAGTTCATGATAATCTTGGCCTGACTCAAAGACGTGGCCCTAGAAAATCGAAATAGAGATGTGTGATACGACTTGATGGGACGTAAGGCTTTTTCGTTCATATGATCTTTAAATTTGGTCAAAACTTGCAAATTTAGTTTTTGGAACGACACGTCCGAGGTATCTGCAGTTGAATCTTTTATTAGTACTGCAAGGTCTAGAGCCATTGAAACTTCCGTTGGTACCACCAGCTCGTCGAAAGCAGCTTCGTCTAAGGCCGACGATCTTCCCGAGATGTCAGTCGGTCTGTTGGCGTTGCGCTCCATCAGACATAGTTGATACTTCCGCTCGTAGAGTTGTAGTGCAAGAGCTGTGATCTTAATGGCTACTTGTAAAAGTTTGCCTTGCAGTTCCGGGTTGTACACGTCGTTTTTGTACGAAGTCCGATCTGAACTCACCTCAGGAAAGTACGAATCGAGATGGATAGGCCCTGGAGTAGCTGTTTTCGTAAGTTCAGGTATTTTACAGTTCTTAAATTCACTTATGGTCGTGAACTTTTTGCGTAACACTTCCGAGATATTTAGTGTTGGACCGCCATACAGAGCCAGGATGTAGTTGATTAATGGTATTATAACTTTATTTTCACTTCTGCGTTTGAGAGTGCCCTCTAAGATCTTAAATATCCGCAAAAACTCCGTCAACCGTAAAATGGCTACTCGACACTTTATCAATTTGACATCGTATTGATCGAGAACAACACCTCCTTTTGTGGCAGAGTGAGATGCAGACACCGCTGCTTTGACGTACATTCGACAATAGACTTCAAGAGGACTAGAATTGGCAGCTTTAGTATCCTATATTTGTGCTTCGGCTACCCTTTTATTTTCTGTAGTCGAGCTATCAACTTTTCTGTGATAATAAAATAGGACCAGTTATACGTGACGTAAATGATGATATAGCTCTCATCTTGAGACTTCAGCCTTTTCGATTGCCTCGCCAAGGTTACGGAAGTACCTTTTTGAACGCTAATTAAAGCTTTTTTCCCTAATAAGGGCTCACTTTTTGTCGTCAACAAGCCACTTCCAAATCATGTCTCTTTCTTTTCCATTCTGCATTCTATAGCTATTTCCGCGCCACATGACACGCATTGCATGACTCCAGCGTCGGGGCAGCGTAGGTACCTCTGTTTCCACGGCGCTTTTAGCGTTGGCAACATGTTTCGCGGAGTTTACACCAGTGTGATTGTTCATCATTGTTAATTTTTTGACCGACCGCAGAGCTCTAAAATTGGCCCACGTAACCCCCAGAGCAGCTACGATCGAGAAACCAAGCACACTCCCAAATCCCCATGGACTGTCTTCAATGAAATTTTTTAGGTTCATACCATAAAAGGCTGGTACTAAAGTAGCAATTGTGAATCCTAAAGTGTGAATAGTTACTTTAAGTTCAAAAAGCATCAATGCATTTCGGTTCGCGTCTAATATAATGTTCACAATTTCCTCAGTAGACTTGATGTCTTGTATGAGAGTCTCTGACTGCTGCACGTATTCGTCACATTGTTTATAGTAGGTTTCCAGAAGCATTTCGAGATCAGCAAAATCGTCATTTTCGCTTTTATGCACTCCCAAGTACATCCCAGCAAGATCTTCGTCGCTATCCAGTAGCTCGTCTAGCACATCTCGTATCAATAAAGATTTTTTGTAAAATGAGGACAAGTTTTTGGATTTGATCAACAAATCTCGCAACTTATCTCTGTTAATTTCATCTTCGAGGTCATTCAAAATAATTCCACATATGGAATAATGCAGTTTATATTCAGTTTCGAGGGATGTCATGACATTCATTAAAATACTTTCCAAAGCACGGTGCTCATAAAGTTGTGCCATATGGCTGCCACTAGCTGATGAAAGTTTGGATTCCAAATCATACATGAGCACTCCTAACTTCATGGCTGCTTCTGAGTTGGAGGTGTCAAACACAAACACAGAATCTTTTTGAATCATGGCTTTGATATGCAATAAATTTATCAGTATGCAGGTAGGTTTTACTACTATACTAGGAATCACGTCAACTGCTGTAGCATCTATTTTACGCAGGTCTCGCGGGTACAAACTGTGGTCCTTCAAAAAGGCCCATTTCGGAAATTTTCTCGATACTGCAGACACTCCGCCTTGGTTGTTGAAGACGGTACAACTAACGAATGCATCGTTTGGCGTAATAGGCTTTAAGGATAATATCTCTGGGCTTTGTTCAGTCAATAGGCGATGATAGACGCGCCTTAGTGGTCGACGGAGCCCATTAAAGAGTTGGAAAGACCGCGAGCGGCATAGGAACATGCTCTATTGACGGAATTATTCTCTTCAGCTTATGAATCTTGGAAAGAATCCATTATTTTCAAAAAATATAATATAAGAAAGCGAGCGAGTTCATGAAAGGTATACTGGGTCTAAAAGAAAAAGAGACCTCAAGGTAACGAGTATCTTCTGCGGTAAGTCGCAAATGAGTCTCGATTTATCATTCATTTTATTTAAGTCTCAGTTTAATTGAAACAAGTACGTAGACTTACACTTAAAAAATTATGTCAGTTGTAGGCATTAGTCTTACAGCACTGCTGCTCTTAATCAAAAAACTTTCTACCTTCTGAAATACCGAAAAGCTCAAGTCTGATGACAGGCAGAGCCTCCTCGTTGAGAATGGTCAATCTCTCCTCAAGGGTGTTATCAACAACGATTTTTCCGGACTCGTCAGAGACGACGACACCACCAGCGGCGTCTTTGCTCAAATACTCTGAAGAAACAGACAACTTCGTTTGTCTCCCAGTCTTTTCGGTGTACTCCTTCAAAACGGCATCTTTGAACGACTCAACAAGCTTGGTGTCTTGTTCTCTGACCTTGATCACAGCGCTTGATTCAAGTAGACGGTACAGGGATTCGAGAATGACGGCTTTCAAAACAGGCTCGTATTTCTTCTTGTTGGAGGAAAGAGTCTTGAGCTCGGCTTTTGCGGACTCAAAGATGTCGTCCAGCAACTGTTCTCTAGTAGAAAGGACTTTGAGACGCATTTTGTTGGCAATGGTCGACTTGGTGACCTGCTGCTTCAAAGCGGCTTTCTTGGTCTTCTCCTCAAGAGCGGAGTCAATGTTGCTGATCTCGTTGCGGACCAAGCCAGTTTTTTCAATCTCGTACTCTTGATCGGCCTTCAACTTGATTTCCTTGGATTTCTCCTCAGCTTCTTTCTTGATAAACGCTTGCATTTTGTTGAGCTCATCGTTCACCTGTGAGGGTGTCAAGGAGGTGATAGCTGTAGACATTTCGGACAGTGACTAAATTGAGATTCAGGCAAAAATAATAGCAAAGTGTAAGGTCAAAAAGGACTGTAATTACACACTACTGCACGGAACTGACTGATTGTACCTAACTCGAAATGAAATTATCTTGATGCGTATCTTGATGCGTTATCAGAATGTGTGTACTGGGAAGTTAAAGGGGAAGTGAAGGAAAGTTCGAACTTTTCGCTATCTTCGTAGAAGGTGGTGCCACGTGAGGACGGTACCCGAATTTGAAAATTATAACGAAAATATACGGCAAGGTGCAAGGATTTCAAGTTGTGTCAAGAGTGATCATGAGAGGCATGTAAGCTCCGGCTAGTGACCACTTTTTTACAGGTTTTTAGTAAATAGTTTTCTGAACAGTTTTACGAAGTTTTGTTAATTTTTAAGATCAAAGTTTACTCATGGCACCCTTCTGGAGTCCGCCAACAAATAGATTTATTTTTCTAGCGTCAACCCTGAAGCCATGGACGGTTAAGCAATTAATCTTGTGGTGAAAGAAAACCCTTTTTCGACAACTTTTTTTGTTCTGTCAAAAACTTGTGGTGGACAAGACGTCGATAAACCAGTCCTTTAACACTGGCGTCAATTAATTAGCCCTTTAACACTCGCGTAGCATCGCTCTTTGAAATTATTGCATTCAGTAGCTCACCATCATAATACAATGAGATATTCTAGATTCTTCAATTTGTTCGAAAGTGACTGGTCAGAGTGAAATTCTGGACCCACAACAATGATAAGTATCCTATTCATCCCATTAGCATGAAGATTTGAAGTCCAATGAGTACTGTAACTTGAGCTGCTATCATTTACCTAGTTCACGTGACTATCTACTGCTCTTCGCTGGATTGTAAATAAACAATAAAGCACCAATTCATGTAGAGTTTCAGCATCAAATTTGCACCGCTGCAAGGCCCAGTCGACCAAATGAGCTTAAAAAGGGTCGTCTCTACGTTCAGAGTATGGAGAAAAGTACGATTCTACTCTATCAATGAAAAGCCTCGCATAAATCCGGTAGGAATCCAACATTTAAGCCAACATTTGCATAATCAAATATTTGGCCCTAGTACCGAACAAAGTCATAGGGAAGATCTTAACCCTCAAGATAAGAAGAGGCTTATACGACTATCACAACAATTTTTGAAAAAGCATGGCTTATTGGGTAAGAAAACCTCAATTTCAAATCCCATCTCGTTCGATTTACCCAAACTACAGGGCAAATCCCTAGATGAACATTTCCAAAAACTGGGTTTGTACGCGTCCCAGCCTTTTTTAGACAAAGCACGCAACAAATTTACTCAAATGCCGCCGAAGCCTCAAACCTGGTTGAGAAAATCCGGCTGGATACGATATTCATCAGGAGAAGAACCAAAACCCGTACCATTTCCTTGCGAAGAAACTATAGTTTTTGATGTCGAAACACTGTACAAGATCTCTCCCTATCCGACGCTCGCTGTTGCGGTGTCACAAAATGCATGGTATTGTTGGTGTTCTCCATTTCTATGCGGTGAATCCGAGGACCCGGCCCATTTAATCCCTTTGGATACTTTGAATCAAACTCGACTAGTGATAGGTCATAATGTCGGCTATGATCGCGCACGGGTGCTGGAAGAATACAATTGTCAAGAGTCAAAAGCCTTTTTTTTGGACACGATGTCATTACACATTGCATCTTCGGGAATGTGTTCGAGACAGCGACCACAATGGATGCAGAAACAAAAGGCTCAAGGGCTTCGAGAAGATGAAGAGCCTGGAATTTCGGAGGAGGATGATGTTGAGGAACCGTGGACCACAGTTTCTACACTGAACTCGTTGAGTGATGTGGCTCTCTTACATTGTGGTATTAAATTAGATAAGACCCAAAGAGATGCCTTTTCTACCCTTGACGTAAATGATATTATATCCGATTTCAATGCTATGGTTGATTACTGTGCCATGGACGTTGAAGCAACAAGCTCCGTATTCGACGTGGTCCTCCCGCTCTTTTTACTAAAGTGTCCGCATCCTGTGTCTTTTGGCGCATTAAGATTACTATCAACATCAATCCTCACAACCAGAAATGACGCTTGGAAAGACTACATTGAGCGCGCGGAGGAACAATATCAAAGCAGTAAACAAAGCATTGAAAAGAAGATTATTACAATTGTCGAAGAGGTAGTAAAGCTCAAAGACGACAAAGAAACTATCTCGAAAGATCCATGGCTTAAGCAGCTGGATTGGACTATTAAGCCTCTACGGATCACAAAAAAAGGCGTACCTGCCAAGGGTCAAAAGCTACCAGGATTTCCTGAATGGTACAGGCAATTATTTCCCTCGAAAGAAAGTAAGACACCTATAATTACCATACGGAATAGAACAATACCTCTATTTTTCAAGCTTTCTTGGGAGGGAGAGCCAGTTATTTGGACCTCTTCCAGCGGATGGTGTTTCGCCGTTCCGGAAGCTCGAACAGAGGAAATGAAAGACAAGAACTATCACCTTGCAGACTCTGTTGAGAAAACTGAGCTGGGGTACAAACTTTTCAAAGTGCCGCATCCAAATGGTCATCAATACAATTGTACAGCCCTTTTGAGTAAGCAGTACATTCAATATTTCGAGAAGGGCGTGTTGACTGCACACTCAGATCTTGCGCAGGAAGCCTTAAACATAAATTCGTCATGTTCATACTGGATATCGGCGCGTGAACGAGTCATGTCACAATTTATTGTTCCCACGGAAAAGTTTCCGAAGCAGTTTAAAACGTTAAGCGGGGAAAATTCGGGCGATGATGAAATGAGCATTATACTACCAACTGTTATTCCTATGGGAACGGTGACACGACGTTCTGTGGAGAATACCTGGTTAACAGCTTCAAATGCAAAAGCAAATAGAATTGGCTCAGAGTTGAGAGCTCAAATTAAAGCACCAGAGGGTTACGCATTCGTAGGCGCTGATGTTGATAGTGAAGAGTTATGGATTGCGTCCTTGGTAAGTGATTCAGTTTTCAACATTCACGGAGGAACACCAATTGGGTGGATGTGCTTAGAGGGTTCAAAAAGCGAAGGGACTGATTTGCATACCAAGACAGCCCACATTTTGAAGTGCTCTAGAAACGAGGCTAAAATATTCAACTATGGTAGAATTTACGGTGCCGGCGTTAAGTTCGCCACTCAACTATTGAAGAAGTTTAATCCAAATTTAACTGACACGGAAGCCAAGCAAATGGCTGAAAAGCTATATGGGTCAACCAAAGGCCTGACAAAACGTTCTAAGGTGTTTAAGAAGTTTTGGTTTGGCGGCTCGGAGTCCATCTTATTTAACAAACTGGAACACATAGCTGAACAAGACATTCCCAAAACACCTGTTCTTGGCGCTGGAATTACCTCCTCCCTTATGAAGCACAATCTTGGTTCAAACACTTTTCTTCCGTCAAGAATCAATTGGGCAATTCAGTCCTCCGGCGTCGACTACTTGCACCTCTTGTGCTGTTCGATGAATTACCTGATCCAAAAATATGCCATACAAGCTAGACTCTCCATATCAATCCATGACGAAATTCGATACTTGACTGCCGAAAAGGACAAATATAGAACTGCCATGGCGTTGCAAATCAGTAATATATGGACCAGGGCCATTTTCTGTGAACAAATGGGAATACGCGACCTGCCGCAAAACTGTGCTTTCTTCTCTGCGATAGACATTGATCATGTTCTCAGAAAAGAGGTTGACATGGATTGTATTACGCCATCGAATAAGATTCCTATCCCGCACGGTGAATCTGTTGACATAACAAAACTACTAACACTTCCCGATAGTAACCTAAGAGACGAAAGGGAAGATATTGACGTTTCCCACTTTCCATACCAATACAGGGAACCGGTATTTTCTAAACATAAAAAAGCATTTAGCAAAGACTATTTGGATTACTTTTTAAGGTTGCAAATTCAATCCGTAAAATGGAAGGTAGATGAACTGGAGCAGGATTACCTGAGACAAAACAATGAGAGAAATTCTGAACTGGAAGAAAACTCAAAGTACATGTTTTTGGATTATTTAACTGATACAAAAATTGGAAAGCATCCGAAGATTAACATCATGGCTGAATCTCCACCAAGCAATGCGCCTGACCTAGATTTACGTGGGAGTGAAGTCGAATCTCGTGGAGATTTGCAGAAAACGCCAAGCATTCATACACCCGAAAAGGCGTATCGCGCCGATTACCTACAGGATTTGGAATTGCAGCATCAATCTGCCATGGAAGCAAATTCGAAACCACTTAAATCACAAACAAGACGGAAGACACGCAGAACACTCGCCGCAAAAAGTGCTGCATACAAGATGTTCAACGATTGCATTGACTCACCTCGAGCGCAATGCACACAAAGAACGCTAGCAAACATGAACGTAGATATCGATTCAATTGTCAAAGAAGTTGTTTCAGATGATAAATTTCCCGACTCAACGATAAAAAGATCAAGAAGGAAGCCAGCCGGTAAAAGCAACAAGCAAACCATATCAAAACGATCCCAGCAAAGCATAATATCCCAAAACAATGAAACAGAATCTGATTCGAGTGGTCGTTTACATAACTAATTAATTCCATTCCGCGTCATCTAGTGGATCGAACGCACTTCGTAATTTTACACTATTGACCCTCACATTTTCTGATAACTTGCCCGATGCAAAGTGATTATAGAACTTTGAATAGCCTCCTCGAAAAGAGTTTCTCTATAGGGCGCATAGATGGGAGGCAGTTTTATTCAATTATAGTAATCTTGAGATGGTCGTAAGAGTATAATCGTGTTGTGTCATTCACTTCAATAACTGTCAGTTGCTGAAGCTCAACGGCCGCAACTTGACTTCCCGCTCATCCACGAAAATGTAGTTTTGAATATCCCGATGCTCCTCATATTTCGATCGATGAATAAATGGCCTGGGAGGGATAGATTGATGCGCCTTGGGACGGAGCACGTATAAATCAAGGTTCTTGACTTAATTCATGAACCCACTTTCAGCTTTCAAGCCCTATTCTCAGTAGGTAAAGCTGTCTTTGTTTCGCTATCTCTTCAGAAGTCTTATTTGAAGACATAAACTCTACGCTAAGCCTCTCGCGAGAATATTGCGGTAGCTTAGGCAATGATATGGGGTTGTTGTATTCCACTGTCTTGGCGTGATGATTTACGACATATATGTCATTTTTGAAAGGCGCCTTCTTGGTCAATGCTTGTGAGACTTTCTCTTCCGAGGGCAAATGGTGTGCTTCGGAAGCGTCCGGCTCTTTCTTGTCCATCAAAAAGGTCTGAAGCTGTACACTGGGGCCACCAAAGTTTTCGGCCTCTGTCGACTCCTCCTCTGCTGCTGCTTTGGAAGCGTCGTCCATTTCGTGTTTTAGACCCTTGTAGCTTTCAGTAACATATCTCTCGGACGTGCCCATCTTTTGGCCTTCAAGCTCGACTTTCAACGACTGTTGATGGAGTTTATCCATTTCTCTCTGGTTTTTTGCTGCCATGAACTTTCCGATAAGCTTCGAGGACTGAGGTTTTACCTTTCTGTCCTCCATGTTTCGATCTAAGGTACCTAAGTCGACGGTCTCTCCATTTTTAGGTACATTTCCAGCAATTGCACTAGATTTACGTTTCAAATAGTGCTCAAAGCCTTGATCAGAATCAGAGTCTTGAGAACTATCATCGCCATCTCTGAAAGCTCTTTTGACAGAGCCTTTTCTCTTGCCTCTGCCAAACTTCATCATGTACTTTTAAATATGTCGCCTTATGCAAGAATTGAACTAACAATAATTCAATCTTTAATTATATTAAATAAGGCTCTTCATCAACGTTCAAATAAAGAAGTGTTTGAGCTCACCCAGGGAGGTCAAGAGATTTTGTTCTAGCTCATACAAATGTCTTTTGATTGGTTAAATGTGCCTGGGCTCTCAGCAAATGATGCGGAGCAATTAGACGCTTCCGAGCCTCCGCCTCCGGTATCATTTGATTTTGGCCAGTTTTCAAGTGATCTGGACAATTGCGTTTCCCAACATGATATAAGTATCTTGAAACAGAACCCAACTGTATCTGAGAGAATAGGGCCCTACTCTGAAACTAACGAGGACCTACAAGTGCCTCTCTCGTTATCTAGAAGTCAGCTTTCCAAGGAGGAAGCAAGAACGTACCTGAGATGGTATGGGTACATCGCGACACGGAAAAATTCCAAGCTCATAAGGCTCGAGGATGTCTTTCATTTCATGGCGAATTTTCCCCTTTCTCACTCCGTGAAAGAGAGAATTGATCATATTTTCAAGACTTGCAGGAACTCGTTGAACATCGGTCAGTTCTTTGCGGTATTAAGACTCATATCGCGTGCTATTATAGATAATGTTCTTCCAACGAGACGCATGATTCTACACCGTGCCCCAGTGCCCAGACCGAAATCGATCTTATCGGCTGGAAACGAAGAAGTTTACGAAGAAATCGATGATTCGCAGGCTGGACCCGAATTGAAAGTCGATTTCGATAGTTTTGCATCTTTATTGCTCACTGGTCGAAAGAAGAAGCGATTGAGACGAAAAATAACTAATTACATCAAGAAACTGAAAAAGGTGCGCTTCTCGGACAATTTGATTACATTTCAAGATCAGTTACCCACGATGACAGACGATTCTTCTTTGAGTGATGAAGAAGCTCCTAGTTTGAATAGACCGCTTGATTTATCTCTACCAATGGACCAACTATTAAAAAGCTTAGCCGCCAGGAAAAAGAACTCGGCGTTGGTTTCAAGGCCTCCGTCGGAGCAAGTTCCCGAGTCGCAGGAAGAGAAGGATGTCTTGGAGGACATGAAAGAGTCCTTGAATCATTTTCAACAAATTCACAATGCTGATAGTGTCGCTCAAGGTGGTCTTCCTACTCAGTTGCCCAATGAAGAAATTGCTGACCATGAGCTGGAGCCCCTTAAGCCTACAGCCACAGGGTCAGCCAACCATTTGTTTCGATCCAGTCAACCACCTATTCAGAGCGTGCATCAAGAGCCTTTACAACCTTTAAAACCGACAGCAACCGGATCTGCTAATTACCTCTTCCGTACAAGCCAAAATCCTACAGAACATTTGTCTCAAAGAACTCACGAAGAGTCTACACAACCATTGAAACCCACAGCAACTGGGTCCACTAACAATCTTTTTTTATCTCGCCAGCAAGCGAATGCTCAAGTGGAGCCACAACCGCAGAAAGCAACGGGCAGCGGCCCAAATTACTTCAACCCAAACCATTTGCAGTATTCTTCGGGTGTCGCCGAGACTCCGGAGCGGACGCCAACTTCTACTGTCAACTCCCCTTTCCACCCACAACCTCCACACTTTCAATCCATGCAGTCCGCTCAACATGGTTCAAAATCTCCCGATCATTTTGCACAATCGCATAATCCATCGCCTCATTTACCAACTTCATATGGATCTGGATTCTCAAATCCTAATTTGGTGAGGCCACAGGGTACTGGCTATGGAAACTCTTCACAAATGACAAGTCAGGATCATTTGAGACCCAACTTTGGTGCTAACAATCAATTTCAAATGTTGATGTCAGGCTCTCCTTCTCCGAACGCTAGTACGATGCAAATAAATCAAACAAGCAGCCCAACCACACTGAACATGCAGCATGGACAAATGTCTCCGATGATGAGTACAAACGGGGGTGGTACATATCCAGCTAATAACAATCATAGCACATTTCACTCCCGGCCAGACATGACTTATCTACATGCCAATTACACAGGACCGCCAAGTTCAAGCTATACCGGCAATAGCTATAATATTCAGCCGCGGGAGTATCACAGCTTTTCGCCATCGCCCGTTCCCCAGATGCCGTTCTATTCTCAATCCCCCGCAAATGGTTCTCAATCCGAAGACATATTGGGTGATTTGAAGGCTCTGCAAGCGCGTGTCGATCAAATGCAACATACTTACAAGAGGTGATGCGGAGACCGCATATGGCTTTTTTGATGACTTCGGTCTTTTAAAGTGCTGGGCGCTGGGAAAAACTATTATTAAGAAGTGGGCTTGGGCGTGGGAGCTGATAGTGTGGTAGTTTTAAAAGCAATTTCTAGCTAAAAGGGAAGGAAACTACGATTTCAACTCAAGTCTCACAACAGACTATGTGTCAAGTCTTGCCTTAAGTTATGAATATACTAGTAGGCAAAACAAAACTGTTAGTTCGGTTTTGCAATCTAACTAAAGAATGACACGGAAACCCAAATGCAAAAACGCAGCTGAAAATTATGAAAAGACAGCAAGGCGGGGTTGTTGTCAAAGTTTTTTCCCCTGCCGCCGATGTTGCCACTCTCAGGGAGACACATCAGGCCACAAAATCCCACAAACTGGTCAATAACTTGACTTATCATTGGAAGATCAGAGGCAACGACAAAAAAGTGAATGTGCGTAGCCGCTATTTTCGATCGTCACAACACCCACTTGGAGCGGATCATTATATACCCTGCACATCACCTAATAAAAGCAAATGCGTTAGTTGAATTACTAATAAAATTCATTACTTGGAGCTTTTGCATTGAGATTTGTATCGATCATTTGCCTTCTAAAAGCTTACCCACTATGTTAGTCGGTTGGCTCTGTCTCTAAAACGGGGCATCGGTAAAATCGAAAAATAGAAACAACTTAATCCAAAGTTAACATCTTTCCGCGTGCCTCAGAACCCAAGATCTGGAATTGGAAATCAGTTAATTGCATGCATCTTAGTATGAATCGCCTTTGTTCTTGTGAATTGTCGTATCGCTTATTTCCTTACTGGCAGAGCTCGTCATAGGTGATAACAAAGTGTGATGTATTGATGTATTAAAAATAAGAATAACAGTTACAGGAATTTGACAAATTAAGTATGTGTCGATATTATATTTAACTTTATCGAAATACCAACACAAATGTCATCTTCTGTGCCCTATGACCCATATATTCCAGCTGAGGAATCCCACTCGCAAACCAAAGCGGCTGCTTTGAAAGCGGTAAGTTTCGATACGCCATTCTAACTCATTAAAAGTTCGCGATGGCGATTTAAGGCTTAGTTCATGTTTGGTTACTAACAAAATACAATGACCAGGAAATCGATGATACTGTTGGCATAATGAGGGACAACATCAACAAAGTAGCTGAGCGTGGTGAAAGACTCACATCGATTGAAGATAAAGCCGATAACTTAGCTGTTTCTGCCCAAGGTTTCAAGAGGGGGGCAAACAGAGTAAGAAAGCAAATGTGGTGGAAGGATTTAAAGATGAGACTATGCTTGGTTCTGGCAGTAATCATTCTGCTCGTGGTGATTGTCGTCCCTATCGCAGTCCATTTTAGCCGTTAAAATTGAGTCCAAGCCGAGTTCGGAATAAATAAACTCGCTCTCTCATTTTCTCTATGTAAAGCCCGGGTGCTATGTATATTAAGTTTTGGGTAAGTTTCTCATGAATTAAGGTAACTAGAGCACTGCGGTGTCAAAACACTTATTGCGTTTTTGACGAATATAGTAAAACATCCTGGCGAGTACATCAATTTCATCTTTGATGATAGCGAGTCCAAGACTATAGCCTGTTAAAAGTGGCTACATGATATAAACTAAACTTCGATGCAATAATATATATACGACCTTGGTGCTACAAACTAAACCGCCCTTTGTACTTCCTGTACCGTCACATGCTGGGTGACTAGTTCAACGACTCTTCTAGTGACAGGTAAATTCATCCAGGCAGGAATATACGCTTCGATCTTGCCAAATTTCCTGGTCTCTATCAAATTGAAAGGATCTTCAAAAGGACCACTCTCCACCGTGAGAAAAATGTCACTGCTGTGTGTTTGAGACTTACCATCCGATGATAATGATGACTCGCTTTTGACTCGATTAGCCACAAAGGTCAAGATTTCCTGAGGAATTGGCACTTCGTAATCTGCCACTGCGTATTGTGTGATCAATTTTTGAATCTGGGCAGGTTTCAGAGAAGAACATATTTCCCAAATGATATCAATGTCATCCAAATTAGCCTTCTTTAATTGTAACAGCTTAGAAGCTTGCAGCATATGCTGAAGACAATCGGTACCTTCGGGTATATGATGAGATTTGCACCATTCCTCTAACCTTGTCACGTTGTAGTTAAGCTGTAGTCCTCTCTTCCAAGACAAGAAGTTCCTTTTCATGATCAAGTCATTGAAGCAGATCGAGTCAACATACTTCAATAGTGTTATGATGACCTCGCGGAACACTTCCTGTTCAACATGGTAAGTTTTCATGGACCAGTAGATGCTATTGAAAAACGTTAAAATATCATCCATCTTGTAGTAGTTGGATTGCGTGAAAAGTTTGCCCAAAAATTGAGTTGATTCGTTAGCAATGAAACCTGGCAGCGACTGAGACATCACAACTGCAGAAACAGCTTTTTTCTCCAGGTCCTTTTGAAGCTTCTTCAACCAGATATTGTAAATGTTGTAGCTCAAAGATTCGAAGTCATCCTTGAGTTCTGTAACTAAGGTAACATATTCTTTGTACTCGTCTTCGTTCAATCCGCTATTGTAAGAATCATCATTGAGGATGCTCTCCTGAGCAAAAACGACAAAGGAGTACAGCTCGCGAACGTTTGTTAGCCAAAAAGCTCCATGACAGACCATATCGTCACCCTTCAAGCTTGTAACAAGTTTCTGGATGGTAGACATAGCTTCCGCTAGAAAACTTTCGCTTTGCTTGGTCAATCCCAACCTCCACATATCACTTAAAACTATGATCATTATTCTGGCAGGATACAAGACTTCTTTCCTTGTCAACTCTGCGGCTACACCAGTTTCTGGTATTTTAAAGCCTTTCAGTAGCCCTTCAACAATCTCTGTGTTCAGGGTCTTTGTGTCTTCAAGAATTTTGTAAAGCTCATCGTTGATTTGAGATAGTGCGCTTGCAGTGGACCTAGCATCATCTTCCATTCCGTTGTTCATGGAAATAACATTCAACTGTCTTGGAGAAGTTCCATCAGTAACACTGCTATGGCTACTAAACCTTCTACTCTTAGTTGGCGTGTTAATCATAGTGCCGTTGGTACTGCCACTGCGTATACTGCTCTGCAAGCGACTAATTTCATCCTTAAGCGATTTCACCTCATTCTTCAAGTCTGAATTGTGTGTCTGTGAGTCTGTGTATTCTTGTTGCGCTTGATGAAGTTCTTCAATTTTTGAACGTACTTCGTTCTTAAGCTCCTCTTGTTTTGACAATAGCACGTCAATTTCTTGTCTTGCAGCAACGATTTCAGCTTTGGCCTCTTGAAGCTGGTGAGACTTGTTGGCAAGGTCAGCATTATGTGAATCGTGCTGCTCTTTCAAATCTCTAGAGTGTTCCTCTTTTTGTGAGTTCAAGATAGACTTTATATTAGCTGACTCGTTCAGCGATGTTTGCAGTTCCGTAATGCGCGAGCTCATTTCTCTATTCTCTTTCACCTTATCCGCCAAATTCTGAGTGAGTTGAATTACCTTGTTTTCCAACTTGTAACTGACCTCTTGCAAGTGATCAACGGATTTTGCATCAGCCTTCAGTTGCTTCAGTTGTCTCTGGGCCAATTTCCTTCTGACTAACGATTGAATACGGACAGATGATCCTTTAGTTGTATTGAAGTTGTTTCGTGGTTCAAACCCTCTAATTTTCTTCTGAATGGACACAGCTGCTTCCAATTCTTGTTTCTGCAACACTTCTTTTTGTGCAATTTGTCTTCTGAGCAATGATTGAACCTTAACGACGGAAATCATTGTAGTCTTCACATATTTCTGTTGAGCTAAAGATCTGAACAGGCTCTGCAAGGTGATCGCTGCTAAAGTTCTAAATTCGTGATCAACTCTTCTACGACGTGAATGGCCTGCAACGAGCGCTTGGACGTTATAGATCGCACTCTTAATGTCAAGATATTTTCTGCGGTAATACAATCCCTTTATTTGTTTTTGTATTAGAACACAAGCATTGTGCATCTTGGTGGTTCTTAATTTCTCCAAATATGCCAGCATACCTGCTTTGAAAAAAATCTTGGTATTACCAAGCTGATACTTTTCCTTATCCTTGACTGTCAAATCTAGAATCTGCTTGCATAGGTCTCTGATATCATTTTCAGAGGGCTCGGACGTAAACATTTTGGTCCAGTTATCTGATGGGATTAGAATGTGATACCTCAAAACAAACTCATTATAAGTCCACCTAGACGGAAACCCAGCGCATGAAATTCGAATGGTTTCCAGAACACCACAAGCACGTAGTTGAGATAAAACCATAAGGTTATCAAATCCCCAAGCTTCTTTTTCCTCATTCGGCTTTATACAACGAATGTAGTGAACATTCGTGGAATTGATAGTGTTCATTAGTTCAATAAGCGATTGCTTAAACATGGAGCCCAGTGTGGGTTTTCTGTTTACCATTCTAGCAGGACCTGGTTTTTTGTTTGCTTCTTGTTTTTCTGCCAAAGCAGCGGCAGTTTTGTCAATGATATCAAGAATAGACAAGAGAGTTTCGTTCTTGGTTGCTTTTAGAACTTCAAGGTGACCATCAGATACAGTGTCTCTGTTTTTCTCTATAAACCCATCGACGTCATATGCAACGTCCAACGCGTAATGCGAGACAACAAATTTAGTTTGACCAAACCTTGGTTTCGAAAACACAGAATTTGTTGGAGGTTTATCCAGCGTTTGGTAAAGTTTCTGGGTCCAGCTTTCATCAGAGCCGGAGGGTAATCTGGATTCTTCATCAAGCAAGGATAATATACCTAGCTTGCTTTCAATCAAATCAATACATGGCTGATTATCATTAAATTCGATGAAAGACCACTCAATTTGCTCAGCAACATACTCTTCCTGTTCTAACTTGAAAACATGCTGATTGAATTCTTGCTGCAATTTTTCATTTGCATAATTAATGCAAAATTGTTCAAAAGAATTCTTCTCAAAGTGTTCGAACCCATAAATATCCAGAACACCAATGAACGATTTGATTTGATTAGTGACTTCAGGGTTGCAAAGCACCGTGTTTATGTTTTCCACCAGCCAGTCAAAGAGGGCAGAAAATATAAATTTGGCCACAGAATCTCTGGCCACAATGGCTTGGTTGTAGGATAAATTCGAAACAATTTTTTCAGATCGCGTTGTGATTTGTTTTTTGGTTATCCATTTCGCAAAATTGGAAGCATCAATTCCTAAGAGGTCACAAGCAATTTGTAGATTGGGCTCATCCGAGCTTAGAGAGGCGTCATTTCTTGTCTTTTTCACTTCGATGTTACCAATGTGCAGTAGTGCAGCTAAGATCTTAAAAAGTTGATGTTGCGTATCGCCCGAGAAGCCAACCATTTTGAGAGCATCGATAGTCTCGCGGTAGTCAGCAGCATCGTCTACGCCTTTGATTCTGTAGTCTCCGCCTTGATTCAAATAGTGATAGTCCTCTACTTTGGTTAACTTAAGCTTAGTCTTTTCGTCGTCGGTAAGGCCCGCTAAGATTTGGTAGAAGATATGGTAGTTTCTTTCTGCTCGTGGTTGGAAAACTAGCCTTGAACGCTCCAGTAAATAGGTTCTGATTCTTGCACCTATGATGGATGTATGGGAATCAAATAAAATCTCGAGATACTTACCAAATCTCGATGAGTTGTCGTTTCTAGTAGTTTTAGCGTTACCAAAAGCTTCCATAATTGGGTTTGTAGCCAGAATCTGCCGCTCGGTCTCTGACATCTCTAGATGGTGGTGATTCGAGCTCGACGAATTGGAGATGGCTTGTTCTACGGACGCGAAGTATCGCATGATGTACTTGGCCGACACCGTCTTACCGGCACCAGATTCGCCGCTCACCACAATAGTTTGATTCTGTTTGTCGTTTTTCATCAATCGATATGCCTCTTCCGCTATCGCAAATAAATGGGGCTCCAGCTCACCGCGGCGACGGCCGGCATAGGCCTGAATCATGTCCTGAGAGTAAAGCTGTTCTACACGGTCGAACGGGTTCGTAGCGATCAGTACAATCCCGGAATATGTATAAATGTTAAGTTGGCCGTATCTGGCTTTGATGGCATGTAGCACGGCAGGTTCGTTCAAATACGACAGCGACGTCAGATCTTCGATCGCCTCCAGGATCGGCGGGTTTCTGAGAAGCGGCAGTTTGTCGTTGCTCTGCTGTTCTTGGAGGGATTCAGTCTCGATATCCACGGTTTCGCCGTTCTCTAACGTCAAAGTCAGACAGTACTTGTTTTCCGCAGGATGTGCAAACTTAGATACCTCGGCTCCTACCCATCCCTCCTGCTTGTCTGGATACCAGCATCTAGTCCCTACCTCGTACGACATAATTCGAAATGCGTGCCTTATTCTTCTTTCTGATTTTCGTGTTCTTTCAAAACACTGATCTGGCGACTTCTAATAAGCACTTTGTAGCCAGCACTTCGATTTCCGATCTGCTGTAAAAGCTCCAATGCCTCCAGCACCTCGTTGTGATACTTTTGAATTCGTCGAGAACCTGAGAAACAGCTGTGAAACGCCTGGTTTCTTGAATATCACACTGATTTAGACTTTTCTTTCGAGCAAGTGTACAAATTTGTACCAATTTTTTTCTGCTTGAAACAGTTCAAAAACACTAGGACACGTTAAAGTACACGAATCTAGTAGACCATTCCTCAAGATGCCTTAAAGATGGCCTTAACTTGAAGTGATGGGCTACGTAATTTGTGCTTAACGAGGCAAATCTGTCGAACTTCTCTGATACGCTTTTTCATCGATGTCAACTTTTTAATTTTGACCGTGAAAGACGTTTATCCTAAACGTCTTTGCAAGCTTGGTAGGTTTGCTAGCATGCTTCTACTGCTGATATCGCCTTGATTCCGCAGCAAAAGCTATGCCATATCTTTTCGTGGCACACGCTTTCAGTTCTGCTGTCTTGGCTTGTAATTTTGTAGAAATACTAGCTATGAATATGTTTCTTCGGTCATTATACATCTACGTTTCCCGCTACACTTGGAGGCCGGCTCTCAATGACTGCTTTGTCACCTTATCCTCAGATTCATTCTTGTGCTTGAACTTACACTCTTGTAAGGTGTCCTTAGGTATCCTTGTGACTTCACTGCAACTATACTTTTCCAACTCATAGTAACTCAAAGTTCCTAGACACACACAAAAGTTCTACTGCAAAACTCTCAGTGGTATACACCATGCAAGCCCAGCTCTCGTCCTACGGTCAAGACCTACGCAGAGCTCGACACTCGTCTTTCCATCATGGCGAGCTGCCCAAGCACTCCTTTCACAGTGGGCGCGATGTCGAACGCTACGCCATGAACACAGGCGACTACACTGCTGCGTCCATGGGCAAATTCAGTGAATGCCTATTCCAATCGGGCCTAAACCATTCCTTGCCACCCCAGCTTTCCTCCAAGAGCGACCTATCTGTGAATTTGGAAAGAGCCCCTAATAGCTCATCTGCGTCTTTGCCAGCCTTCACCAGATCTTCATCCAGCCACCTAGCGGGCCGAAATACACGCTCTGCAACCGCTTCCAAATCTACTAGAAACTTACATGAAAGAGATGACGGCAAGAGACTAGTGCATCAGTTTTTCAACCTAGATGACGATTTTCCTGACAAACCGGATGTACAAGTGTCACACGCCTCCGAACCATCGTCGGTTTCGCTGCATTCTCAGGACGAAAGTTTGTGTCATCTAGTATTGGCCGATCTGAAGGATCGTGCTGCCATACACGAAGGCGCGCTGCGAAATAAGACTTGCTGCAGGCCCGACTCTCATTGTGAATCAACCCCAACCCTCACCAATGAGCTTTCCAAATTCAACTTGCTTATGAGGAGCACGCTTTCAGAGCTAGCTAGCAGAGAGTCCGCGATGAACCAGTCCTTCGCGGAGCTTGAGTCTTTACAGCGGGACATAGCCACGACCCAAGAATCTATACGACAAATTCAAGATAAAGTTGCTCAAAAAGGTATTGAAAAAGTGCGTTCTGCCTTCGAAACCAACGATAACAACTCTTTCATTTCCAAGTTTACCAAGAACATTTCTTCATATAGCGAGGACCTTACCGCGTTTGAGAAACACATTGGCAAGTGCAAAGTTGAATTGACAGACAACAAGGCTACAGTGCATAATTTGGAAATTACCATAAAACTCAATGAGATGTTGCGCGATTCGCAAAGCAGCATGTGTGTTGTAGATCGCCTGCGAGAATACAGAGGTATAATAACAGACGTATTGACGCTAATACTAATTGTCGCTTTAGCGGTCGCGTTAAAACGATATTGGCACCGAACATGAACAGAGTATCGGACATGGTGTTACAAATTGGCTGGCTAGTCAGATAGTACACTGGAAGAGTGCGATCCAAGTTTTCTTGTGGTCGCCTCAGCTCATTGATTGTTTTGCACGGGATCTGGCTATAATATTTACCTCTCGATTCAACATAATTTAATCCATATTTATTACGAAGGAGAAAGAGACGTATTTACTTCACGTCTCGCTCTGTGTTCTCTGTCCACGCTCTTGTCATAACCAACATGGCACCGAGGTATGTTTTTGTCCGTCGTTTTCAGTTTGAAACTAGCTCTTATGTTGACTAACCGATCGAATAGTCTTGCTATGGTTCAGGTAATTCCTGGTGTCGTTTTACCCATTAGGATCTTCATCAACCGGAAGCAGGTTGCCAAGAACATCAAAGAATGTATGTATGAACTCGTGGTCCCGCAGTTTTGTCACTTCTAGTGCTAACAATTATGCACAAGCTCGCACATCCTTTGAGACTCCTGTGCTGTCCAATAACTCGATAATCAGGCTGAAATCTCCGCTCGTGAGACTCTACTTATCTAACACCGATGCCAAGAATTTGTGTGAGGACATCAGAAATGAGCTCATGCTGGTACTTTACGAGCTTACCGCCAAAAACGTCAATGACGAAATAGTCAGTAAAGTGAAGATCGGCAATCTCGTGGAGTTCAAAGACGTACTGGAGAGGATTCCTGCTATAAAGAGCATGTTTGGAGCGCAAACTGAGCTTTGCCATCTTCTCACGCTCGAGAGAACAGGTAAATATCAATACAAACTGCATTACGACCACAAATGGGGTTTGGACATATTTATCACGGACATCAGAAAACTCGTACGAATTCGCAACAGTCTCTTAATGCGGCTCTCACCTAAAGCCAATGCTATTCCAGGTGTGCCCATGGTTAGATTTTCCGGAATGAAAATTCTAAGACGCATCAGAGAAGAGGTTCCTACGACGTTGACAATCGATGATGAGCAAGGGATTTTAAAAGAGAGTGATGAGGAGCTCGATGTGTCCCAAGTTGATCTCGGTGAACACAGTTCTCTAACGGCCTCGAACTTGGAGCCAAATAAACAAGACAAAAAACCGCAATTCAAGTACGTTCATCAGCCAATGCTCAATTTGGGTAACTGTATCGACATTCATGTTTTGAAGAGACCCAGGCGAGGTAAGGCTAACTCATGAATCATCTTTTCAGTGCCAATTCTGTTGATTCTATATACGTTATCCTGCCGTCCAAAGGTACATGAAAGATTGGGTTCTGAGCAGCACTGGGGACGAATCACGAATCCACTTGACGAATCCATCCGTCTACGGTGATGTTGGATTCGAATCCAACGTTTATAATGATTAAATATTTTTAAGAATCCGACACGAATCTGAAAAACTAAATGCTAACGCGTTTCGCAAAAGCATGAAACCATCCTTTCTCAAAGCTTCTCAGACCTTTCGAGCTCACGATGTTATCCAAAAACCACTTCCTTTATCTCGGGTATCATTTACAGAACTATGTACAATCTTCGAGAAAAAAGGAGGAGAGACTATAAAGAGTTAAATAATGGTCTTTGGAAGAAGCAGAACCTGCAAAGCACACCATCTCTCTCTGATGTCAGCTCTGCTGATACACTAGTTAGTGAGAGTTTGCAATCGCTGTCAAGTCACGAAGAGTTGATTGATGATAATGAAGCCTTATTGAGCGATGACGGTTGCGAACAGACTGATGAAGATGAAGGGCTAATTAGCGAGCATGAACAAGGACACGTTTCTTCTGAAGTCCCTAATGAAACGGATCCTCAACGTGGTCGGTCACATATCAGGCTGATTCGACTACTGATCTTGCCGTCAGCGCTCGGCAAACCTACAACAGAGGCTCCAGTGAGGACTCAACCCCCGCAATAAGTCAAACATTGCAAATACCTTCTTCTACATATGCCAATGAGCCCATTATTTGTCAAAATATGTCTGGTCAGCCTTTACAAAGAGCCAAAACAGCAACTATCAACCAGACTATAACGATTCCTACCCATGACTGGATCTACCCTAGTGGGCCTAAGAGAAGCGTTCATGATTCTAGCCTTCAGCCCGAGCATTTCTATCATCATAGTGGGTCTAGTGACTCAGATGAGCAGCATACAACCAGGCTTAACGATGACTCCTTTAGAAGTGTTCTTGAGGATCAAGGTCCGAAACCAGAAAGGGCTTTCATAGAAAAATTCGGATTTGATTTTGAAGAGTTTTCCATAAATCCCTTTGCTAAACCGTCCATTAGCGGAAGCACACAGCAGATCGGTATTAGCAATCAGGACAAAAAAAGGTTTGAGACTTGGCTAACCACATCTCCATGGCGTATTTGGGTTACTAAAGTTTATAGCCAACATCCATTCGCATTGTGCAAATTTGATAAATGCGAGCACCGGTTCACTTTACATGGCAATCCTACTTCGTCTAATATCATTAGGCATCTTAAGCGACAGCATAATAACGACTATGAACTCTTCTTCACAGGCCTGAAGGGTAAACAAAAAACATTGGAAGCATTTTCAGCTGTTCGTACCATCGTTTCGAAGCCCTTCCCCTTTGCGAAGAGATTTCTCAAGTTCTTGTCCCTTAACAATTCGAAGCTTCATTTACTTAACGTCTTTATTGAAGGTTTTATAACCTTTCAGCTTAGTGGAAAGCCAAGGGTTTCGACTTCTTCTCGATAACTATAACAGCGTGGGGCGTTCTTCAATTTCATCTAGGAAAGGTTTGGTTAGCCTTCTCGCACAGTATGAGACCGAATTTAGTTTACAATTGAAGCAAACTCTTCGGCAATCTTCCAACTTTAACCTTTTGATAGATATGTGGACTTCCTCAAACCAAAGGAGTTATTTGGCTGTTATGGTCTGCTTTTGTCCCAACTTGAACGGAAAATCAAAGTTAAGTAAAGATGATGTGAATACGGGCAAGAGACCTAATACTCATATTCTCGATTTCATCGATTTGAGCAGTCAGAGACACTCGGGTGATAACATAAAAACGGCTTTGTTAAGCTGCCTCACAAAGTATTCCATCAGTCATAAAGTGAGCAGCATTACGTTGGACAATGGTTCAAATAACATCTCAATGCTTGAAGACTTGGATAAAGAAATTCAAAATGGTTTTGGATCAAATGGTGTTGGGAGTATTGTCAAGGTAAGATGCATGAATCATGTGTTGAATCGAGTTTTTCTCGACTTACTGAAGGGCTTTGAAATGCACCACAAACAATTACTGTCAAGAATTGACAAACTAACTTACTTTACAAAGAGTAACGTTTATATTAGGAGTAAGATCCAGACTTACATTCCGTGCACTATTCCAAAGCACAATAATACAAGGTTCATCTCGCGTTATCGTCAGCTAGATGCTTTTTTGAAGGTTTCAAAAGGTGCCAAAGAGTTTTTTTTCGAGAATCGCTTCGATCCTGAATATCAGCTTACACAGGAAGACTGCTCTATATTTTGTTATGATCAAGCAGAAATAGAATCCATTCTGTTTTTGCTGCGGCTCACTCGAATCTTTTATGAGTTCACGATGTTGTTACAAGATGATTCCATGAACTCTTTATATCATGGAATTGAGTATTACATGCAACTCAACCAGTATTTTGATTCTTGTGAAAGCATTAAAAATGGTTCAATGGATAGCGATCATTTACAATCCGCGGGACTGAAGCCAACTCATTTTAGTGCACCCAAAGAAACACAGGATGAGATCCTAGGTGCAATTATAGCGGCGCGTCCCAAATTTGAAAAATACCTGAAGGTCGCCTATGGAGAACCTGGCTATTGGGCAGCACATATCTTGCAACCGCACTGCAAATCGCATTTGTTAACTAATGTTTTGATCAGCCGTTCTCAAACCATGTTTTAGAATTGGTTAATGGGTATGTCACCCTGTATATCAAAAAGTTCAACGAAAATTCCGATTATCATTCAAATGATGAGCATCTGATTCCAGCAAGACTCAGACCCGTCGAAGGCAAGAAGTTCAAAATTATGAGAAACCTGTCTAAATTTTGTGAACAGAACCTGGCAACCTGTAGCCGTGCAACAAGGAATGAATGGCAGATTATTTGAACGAGCCATTGAAACTGAAAATAGCTATTTGGATTACTGGCTCGCGAACCAAAACCGATTTCCAGCTCTCTGCTCTCTAGCGCTTTCTTTTTTCCACACAAAGATCTCGACTGCTGACGTTGAAAGGTGCTTTTCTATAAGTAAGAGGGTTCTGGAGAGTAGGTTTTCACTTGCGAGCGAGAATTTAAGACGGACCATGATTTTAAGAAACCGGATGAAATGCTTCAATATCTACTCAGAGATGTTAGTGGCTAAAGATATTGCATGGGATGCTTGGACTGAGGATGAAGAAGCATTCGAATCTACCAGTGATTTAGCCTCAAGTTCCAAAAGACCTTCAAAAAATAATTCAAAGCCAATTTTGATGGTCTCATCTAGTGACGAAAGCGATAATAACGAGCTAGAAAAAACGAGCGATCTATATAAGAGTGATTAACAGAATGTAAGCAGATTGATGGTGTTAAATGGCCTATATAAGTACGTGAAATCTACAGAACGACTAAATCATATACGCTGACCACGATAAGGATTTCTATACCCGTACACAGTGCCCAGATTCGTAAGTCTTCGCGAATCCGGACCGTAGTAAGCTACTGGATTCGCGAATCACTGGATTCGTGGCCCAAAAATGCGGATTCGCCGGATTCGTCCCCAGTGCTGGTTCTGAGCTATGATGAATCATCTAATCAATTCAACTGACAGACAATTTGAGATTCGTGAAATTCACTAATACCGACCATTGTATCAAACTGCAAGGTAGCTAAGAAATGAGTTCTAGCGCCGAAACCATTGCTAAGAACGCACGTTTAGGCGGTAATGTTCTGAAGACGATTACGAATGAAAAGCGTTCATCACTTCTATACAAGATTCACGATGGACTAAAAGCCAACGCTCATTCGATCCAAGAGGCAAACAAAGAGGACCTGCGAAATGCCAAAGAAGGACAACTGGCAGATTCGCTTTACAAGAGACTCGATCTTTTCAAAGGTGACAAATTCGAAACCATGCTGGCTGGAATCATTGATGTTGCCGAACTTGAAGATCCTGTGGGCAAAGTCAAACTTGCAAGAGAGCTAGATGAAGGTTTGAATCTGTACCAAGTCACTGCTCCAGTCGGAGTACTTCTGGTGATTTTTGAGTCTAGACCCGAAGTCATCGCAAACATCACTTCTTTAGCTATCAAATCCGGTAACGCTGCAATTTTGAAAGGTGGCAAAGAATCGGTCAACACCTTCAGAGAAGTTTCTCGTATCATCAATAGCGTTATAACCGAGAACCAGTCTACCTCGGGTATTCCCTCTGGTGTTATTCAGTTGATTGAAACGCGTCAAGACGTTTCAGACCTTTTGCAACAGGACCTTTACATTGACTTAGTCGTTCCGCGGGGCTCTAACTCCTTGGTCAGGCAGATCAAGTCCAGTACTAAGATTCCGGTTTTGGGTCACGCCGATGGAATATGCTCCATCTATTTAGACAAAGAAGCAGATGTTGATATTGCCAAGCGTATTACCATAGATGCCAAAACCTCTTACCCAGCAGGTTGTAATGCTATGGAGACTCTCTTGGTGAATCCTGAAATGCCACAATGGTGGGATGTACTCGAAAACTTGTCTAGAGCTGGAAACGTCTGTCTGCATGTCACGGGTGATGTGAAAGAAGCTTATTTGAGCAAATTACGGGAATCAAACAAATTAGATGACCAGATACAAAGTTTTGTTGTTGATGCCGTTAATTCGAGCGATTTTGACAAAGAATTTCTGTCTTTGGATTGTGCAGTGAGATTTGTTGCATCCACTGAAGAAGCTGTTACTCACATCAATCTGCACTCCTCAAAGCATACTGATGCCATTATCACAAAAGACAAATCTAACGCAGAGTATTTTATGAAGGCTGTAGATTCCTCTGGTGTCTACTGGAACGCGTCCACTAGATTTGCTGATGGCTTTAGATATGGTTTTGGAACTGAAGTAGGTATCTCCACGAGCAAGATTCATGCCCGTGGTCCCGTGGGTTTAGATGGCTTGGTCAGCTACCAGTATCAACTGAGAGGTAACGGTCAAGTTGCCAGTGATTACGTTGGTTCTGGCGGCAAAAGAGCATTCTTGCATAAAAATCTTGACATCTCCCAAGCTCCATTTTGAATAATTTTTCTTCGATTGTGATCAATAGTTATAGAGATAATTACAGAAACAAGGATACTCATGTCGTTATGCGTCGTTTCTTTGAAGCGCAATGAATGTTTTGATTTAGACTCTATATAGCATATACATCAATCTCGGAACGGATTTGCAGAAGCATCTTGTAATTCTCCATGCGCCCCTCTCTTCAAAGTGGTGTCATACATTCTTATGACTTTATCTTGGCCACCCGCCTCACTTTGAGAAAAAGCGAATCCTCTTTGCTTCTTCATTCTTTGAACTTGCCGTACTCTACGAATAGCCTTTTGAAATTGTTCAACGCGAGGTCTATAATCACCAATGTTGTATTTTTGCATTTCTTGAACGACGTGGTAGCTCTCTGGTGTGTAAGTCCGCTTATAGTATTTCCAGACAAAATCTCTGAGAAGAGCGAAAAAAGGCAGAACTATGCACATAAGCCAAAACGTTCCTGACCCGTAGACATGTGGCACGATGCCGTAATACTCTTTGGACACGTTGGCGTGGGGAAAAATGCTCGCATATATCGGGAAAAATACAAGCCAAAAGAGTAGAGATCCTGGGATTGCAAAAGCTGTAAACTTTGTCCATTGATTGGTGACTAAAGCTGCTTTTCCAATTACAATAATAACGCTACAAGTGTAAATTGCCACACCCCATGTCCAATGATCTGCTGTTTGGCCATGGTCATTCAACACATTTCCGCCACGGTAGATTAAATAGGATCCAACAAAAGTGATCGCAGAGTGATAAAAGCCATTGATTACCCATCCCCAGAAAATCGTTACTGAAAAGAATTGTCCTTTTTGGCCCAATTTGTAAAGCTGTGGGTAACGATCTAGAAGACGACTGCTCACAAACTGATCGAACACACCCATGACAAAAGGTGGCAAAACGGTGAAGAAAACGTTGTAAAATGTCATCGTCCAGGACTCCATGAGTGACTGTCCGGAATAAGCGTTAGTGAAAACATACCAGAACTGAGTCATGTACAGTGCGATATTTTTGTAAAATGAGTACAAAATAGCCTGCGATATCCGCTGATATGACCATGAACCATGAACCAATAGAAGTTTCTTTAAGTATTTGAATTGCGCAATTGCAAAATCGGCAGAACGAGCAGCCTGCATACCTTCCATTCCGCTGATACCAACCCCAACATGAGCCGCTTGGATCATACTGACATCATTCGCACCATCGCCAATGGCCAAAAGTAATGATTTCGTTTTGCGTTTCACCATCTTTACCACAAGGGCTTTCTGCAGTGGCGACACACGGCAGCAAATTACGGCCTTACACATCTTCCCGATTTCTAGCAGGTAGTCTTCAAGATCGCTTTCTAGCGCGAAAGTCAACGACTTTCCATCAATGACTAGTGCTAAACTGTTCATGTCTTGCTGTGAAATTTGATGATCGCCAATGGCCTTCAGCTTTTCAGTCAAGTTTCTTCTCGTTGCTTCCTTTGACTCTTCATTTACAATTAAAAGATTCATGTCCTCACTCAACAAGCGACAACTCATACCGATGTTAATCGCCGTCTCCTGTCGGTCACCAGTCAAAACCCAAATCTTTATTCCGGCATCTTGTAAAGTGTGAATTGCCTCAGGTACTCCATCCTGGAGTTTGTCCTCTATAGCAGTCGCTCCAATCAAGAATAAGTTTTTTTCAATCAGCTCCGCAGCATCATCCATCTTTTGAGCTCTGTCATCTAGTGTCGTTGAAGCTGCATCATAAACTTTTTTCCACTCGATGTATTCGGGCTCAGGTATAGTTCTTGCTGCAAGACATAGGGTTCTCAACCCTTCTGCCGCGTAATCTTCTAAATGGCGCATTGTAGCTTCAGTATACGGATTGTTTTCATTACTCAATCTCTCCATTATAACAGTATCTGCACCTTTGCAGAACAGTTTTATTTCGCCATTTGGCATTCTGAAGATACCACTCATCCTTTTTCTCGTAGAATTGAACTCGCAAATGTCTAATAACTGGTAAACATGTTCCTCGCCTGTGCTCTCTATTAGGATAGTCACAGAGTTGGGCCTACGGACGATGAACTTATAACCAAGGGCCGCGGCACCCTCGACTAGCGCTCCTTCATCGGGAGAGGCAGCTTGATACTTGATAGAGCCATTCTCTTGAAATTCAGGAATGACAGTGTGGCATGTTGCCAGTAAAGTCAAAAAGTCATTAATAATTGTCTGATCAGAGTCATGAATATCCTCAAGTTTTGACTGTAAGTCATCAAACTTCCTGAAGCCAACTTCTATCCCGTCTTCCATCCTTGCGTTATTCTCTTCGGGTATTTTTTCGATGTAACATTTGCCTGCAATCGAGCAGGATTTGAATTCCATTACATTTCTTGTCAACGTACCCGTTTTATCGCTAAAAATGTACTCGATTTGGCCTAGTTCTTCAACTAAAGAAGAAGTGCGAACAACCGTTGGAGTGTCAGTTGATTCATCGTACAAGTCCAAATCTGAACCGATCATATAAGCCTGGTAATACTTGATCATTTCTACAGTAACGAACAATGAAATAGGCACCAAGTTTGAAAAAAGAATCCAATACGTCAAGATATCTTTGAAAAATAAACCCACTTTATTCGTACCCTCCAGATACAGATAGGATAAGTTTTTGGCATCGCTGGTTACCTTAATAACATTTCCTATAGATGAGATCAAGGCCAAAACGATTAGAACTCCAAATAATGCAAGAATTTGCATGTTTATAACGCGCTCGACGGCTGTTCTTTTAATTGGCGTGGCAGTAGCATTGCGCATCAGCTTTGTTTCGTGCCCAGTGAATACCACGAAGCCATATATCCATGCGGTATTTCTAAGAGTTGCTCCTCTCAAGACCAATTGTTCGGGCGTTAGTGGTACGTCTCTACCATTTAGATTCAAAGTTCCTTCATAGGTATACAGACTAGAGTTTGGATGCTCCGAAACAACCTTCCCTTTCATTTGCGCAAGTTCGGCAGTATCGAGAATTTTAGAGGTTTCGACCTTCGCCTGTTTTATCTTGAGGTTGGTTTCGCCATCTAAGTTAGCAGTCTCGATGTAACACAGTCCCTCAGGTTCGGATGAAGATACAACTATGACATCGGCAGGTATCGCCTCTTCTGAACTAATTTTAATTATATCACCCACAGATATATTAACCCACTTAGTGGGAACAAACTCTCTAAGCTGCTCCGAAAAGACTTGGGCTTTAGAGTCATTCAAATCTCGGTCTGACCCAGCACGCTTCAAGTCCTCGACACTTTCCTTAACCGCAGACACAATCAACACTATTAATAAGGTACCGATGGTTGTGTAACGATTGGTAGGTGTCACATTGGGCACCTGTTGTATAGCAGATGTGAACAGGAAGAACAGGTTCGCGTATTTGGAAAATTCTTGGAACAGAAATTTGGGAAGAAACGTGGCCATGTTGTATTTCGTGGTGGATATGTGATTATCTCCGAATCCTTGAGCCTTGTTAGCTTCTCGGTCGTTAATGTAGATAAGTCGTGGGGCCCCATTCTCACTGTCCTGATCACCAGGCCGACGTAAGATGTACCGCTTGAAAAGTATGTTGATATCAAACTTATTTCTTGACCTCACGTACCTGTCTTCGTGGCCCAAGTCGTCGTAACTATGCATTTCGAATCCCTGGTAGGAATTTGATCTGTTCTTATTAAACGTTAGCCCATTCCTGATGTTTTGAAGGATTTTTTTCACCCCGGATGGTTCAGATAAATGCATTTGCATCCCACGGCCATTGCTGTGAGGTTGGGTTCGCTGATCGTCTAGAAATGGGTTCTCCACTACATCATTTTCAATGTTGTCCTCGTGGCCTAACCTCGTCGAACGCCTGTCTAAGTCAATTGTTTCCTGTGGTATAACTCCATTGCGTAAGTCGTTTAGAAGGTCGAAATCTGAATCTACAACCTGGGCCTGTGTGAATGGGTTGTTGTCGGTGTTTTCGATTTCGCCAGACGGGATTTCGTCGTCCAAAAAATCAATATCGAAAAGCGTGTCCTCAGCGGACATTCGACGATTATTACTCATTAAAGATCCAATCGTGAAGTCGATGGCTGAAACCTCAATTGCAGAACCTTGTGCTATTGAGCCTGCTTAACTTTTTGAACTTAGATATGTATAATATTATAAATAGTGCACTAAATTTCACTCTTCCCGTGAGTACCTCAAGTACATAATGAGTAGATAAACTTATATAAAGCTCTGATATGGAAAAACCGAGTAGTAGACGATTTTGGTAAATATATGCTACGTAATGTACATGGTGGCTGGACGCAAGTATCAATGCTACTGTGCCAATTCACGTTGAGCCGGTTGAGTTTCTTCTTCGTACTCAATTTCGACTCTAGGGCGCTTTTTACGCGCAGCAGCGAGTCTCTTCTGTTTCTGAGTCTTGCCCTCTTCGTCGTCGTCAGATTCGTCGCTACTGTCCGCCTCTGAGTCTTCGGCGTCGCTGTCTTGAGACGCGTTTGGATCATCAAGCCATCTTTCAAGGTCTTCCACGTCCACCAGCTCCTCGTCGTCTCCGTCATCCTCCACATATTCGATCTCGGCGTCACTATCCTCTTCCTCGTCCTCGTATTCGTCCTCTTCCTCTTCCTGGTCGTCTTCGACATGGCCCAACACCTTTTTCCAGATTTTCTCATCCACATTCAGAGGTTTGTCGCCATATGCACCACTCTTGAGTCTCTCAAGCAGCTCCTTCTCGATGGCTTTCTCGATCTTGGCCGCTGCCAACGCCTTACGTTCGCGGTTCTCCTCTCTTCTCTTCACTTTGGGAGCGACTCCCACGTAGTGTCTTTCCTCTTCTCTGAGCTCCATACGTCTTTCCGTGACCGCTACTTGCGTCAGGCGGGTCAGTCTTTGTTTACATTTGTGGATTAAAAACTTATTCCAATACAGCAGGTGGTCGTCCACTTGTTTTAAAGCTTTCGCATAGTTTTTCGACAGCCTTATTCTCTCCCATAGCTTGGCCGGCGTGTGTGCTCTTTCCGCGGTTTTCATGTAGAGGTATAATCTGCCATCCACATTTTTCACCGTTGCGTACTTGGCGTTTGCCAACGGGCACGCCTGTCTGGAGCAAAGTCCAGTGACGTTGTATTCATTTCTGCAGAAGTTTTGGCCCTTATCGGTTTTCAGCTTGTAGGCACAAAAGTGCTGATTTATAACCTGCCAAATGATCTCATCAGACATTGATAGGTACTGTTATATCAAATAGTTCAATAGATGGGTTCTTCAAATGACTTTCTATAATTCTAATTGCCTTAGACTTTAGTCGGCTAAATATCGATTTTGAAGCTCATCTCATCGCATCGCAGAAATTTTTCAAAAAATTTTCAACTTTTAGCGACGGGTAAAAGAAAAGCGAGAGGTAGAGACAGACAAACAGAGCTGTAATTATGTAGCATTTCGATGAGAACAGAGAAGAACTCAGCTTCAACATAACCCAGTATTAAAGCAGGAATCGGCATTCTGTGAATTTCTATTTGAGTGGTTGAACTATGCGAATAACTCATTGCTCAGAATGCATCAGGTGTTAATTTGTTATCTATCATAATTGATTTTCTATTTCTTAATATTACAGGATTTCTTCGAAAGAATGTCTCCGGGCTTTGACGGTGACCTACTGTTTTGTTTCTCTCAAGTGAGAAATCTCTTCTTGGGAAAGGCAGCTTATGTAAACGCATTTGCTCAACAACTCCTCGTTGATCTTGATAGTGTAGAATTTCGACCACTGAGCTCGCTGTATGAAGTTCTTCACAATTTGAACATTGGTCTGGAACTTGCTGTAGTTTAAAACTTGCTTCATAACAATCCAGTTGTTTTTTTCTGAGTTCAGGGTGAGATCAGACAAGTAAACGACAATAAACGGAATACAACCTCTGATCGGGTCAATGTCGTTAAGGAGCATCCGAATGTTGTAATAGTTCTTTTCTAACGAGGGTATGTTCTTCAAGGACTCCCATGTGAGAACATCGCCCGGTTCGATAAGTCGCCAGGCGTCTCTAAAGCTCTGAACCACCAAAGAGCTCAATGCCAACACAATCTGCATCAACGTGTTGTAGTTTTGAAAAACTTTACAATGTTCAGCGACGTGAATGAATTTTTGAATTGTGTTTCTCCGCAATTTGTTGTCAGTTGTCAGAACAATTTCGGATATTATCCAGTCGACTGTAAGATTAAAACGCGCAATAGCTAAATCAATGCCGGAAAGGTCAACGTTCTGGAGTAGAAGCTGTAGCCAGCTGGTCACCGATAACACTTTACGGTTCACTTTTAAGTCTAGTAAATCCTTCCAATCAATCTCGTTCAGAATTTCTCTCTCTACAAGGGTCAACTGCTCGGCAATCGATTTAGAATCGTACATCAAAATGAACGGAACATGCTGATCAGCATTAGTAACATGCAGTCTAGTGTCATGTAGCTTGTAGTTTTGTAAAAGTTCTGCGATCTTGACCTCCGTGGTCTTGCCATTGTCTTTATCATTCTCTTTAGCGTGAGGTGTAAATGGTATTTCGCTCTTTACCCGCCGTCTTTTCTCTATCAGAAAAGAGCGTCGTTCTTTAGGTCCTAACCCTGAAAGTCGTCTTTGTCTCAATTTTTCCATGTCTATGCTCTCGTCATTTTTCCCTTTATCCTTTGAAGTGAAAGTACCCTCAAGTTTCATCAACGTTATATTCACAGGATCACCATGTAGTGATTCGTCGGTTAACTTCGCAAATTTATTCAATCTACCATCTACGGTCTTGTAAGGGGACACAATTGGCGTAATACTGCGCCTATGGTGTTCATTTTGATGCTTTTCCCTGTAAAGAGCATCGAGCTGTTGTTCCTCGTTTCGCTCATCTTCCTCTTTGGTTTCTTCCTCATTGAAAGATTGTGTTTCACTACCTGCAGGGCTGATAAATTTGTTTTTGAGATCCTCCACGTTCTTTTCAGGAGATGCGTAGTCCAAGCTTTCACTATCGGGTGAAAACAAATATTTATTGCCCACTCTTTCAGTAGCATCTGGAACTATCAAAGAGTCATTTGGTTGTGTAGCCAGATCACTGGCCTGCAAAGATGACGCGACTTCTGAACGTGTGTTATTTTTGCTACTCGTCGAGTCTTTCTCGAAAGTGCCCATGGTGTGAAATGATGAAAATGAATCGCCGCTTACAATTGAGTGTATACTTGGTATCGAAGACAAACGAATAATTTTGTTACCAGGCGGAAAGCAGTCACTTATTGTGGACGCCCTTCCATTGATCTTATTTGGACTAGCATTTCTAGAAGAAAACAAGCGATCGGTAGGCACTGACGAGACCAAAGATGTCTGTGAATACTTTGGTTCTTCATTCTTTTTGCTAGAAATCATGAAAGCAGAAGTTCTTTCTTCTAAATGCCGTATTTCTTCTTGATTGGTCATTAATTCACCATCCAGCTTCACATATGTCTCATCATTCATAACAAAGTTCAATTGAGTGAGTGCTCTGGATTGACTGACTATCTGGCTTCTTCTTCCCACAATACTTATGCGCCCGCTACTGTTGGTCACAGATCTTTGCGCCACTGAAGAGGCGGGCGTGAAATGTTTGGATTCCTCCCGTATGCTAATGTCGTCATTAGAGGTGAAAAAGCTTGAGTTATCGTCTTCATTGTCACTGAGATGATCAATTTCGTGTAGTAGCCTATTTTGAGGTTTTCTTTCTTCTTTTTGAGGTTCTACTATATTTTGGGGAAATGTAGGGATTTGTTTGTTTGTATTGCTGTCATGAGTATCTATGTTTTCCTCGAAATTGAATTCGCGTAGATTTTGGAGCCCTTCTTTTCTCTTTATAACTGGCGAATGGTGAATACTGTCTCGAACTTCACTATCAGTCGTATTAATTGTAGAAGCATGGTCACTTCTTGAAAATGTGTCGTCAACCTCAGCTATGTCTGAGGAAATTCGCACCAGTCTAGTTGGAGAGTTTCCCCCACTTCTGTCATTCAAAGTGTTTGTTTTTGTTTGGGCAACTGACAATGCTAAATTTGGTGTAGACCGACTTGAAGAGGTCGCTTGAGTTGGGCCAGTGGGCTCGCCATTCTTCGAATGAATATCAATTGTTTTTTTAAGACTCATACCTTCTCCATGAAAGACGAGCTTACGGGGGCGGTCAGCAGCCACGGGTGATATCGTATTTGATCGAAGAAGAACATCGGTAACCTTGAATGCGGATTTATTGGATCTGAAGAAGCCATCTGTACTGTTGACTCGGCGCCTTTCTCTGGCAGCGTAAGATGGGGAAGTAACTTGATGATGTTGTAAAGTTTTTGAAAGTGAGATGACGGATGATGCGAGAAAACTGACAGTTTTGTAAAGGTTCAGATTGTCCATGACGCTCACTTCTTCTTTGCCGTCCCTGGAAGAGCTCTGATGTGCTTCGTTTGGAACATCGAAGGGACCTCCGAAATTCGATATCTTTGACAGAAGATCATTCTCCACCGCCACAAAGTACTCCACCTCATCAATGGTTCTTGCACTCAAAATGTCAAACCTAGAGGATGCATTATTGATCAGTTTTTCGGCATCGTCCTCTTTGCTATCCAGAGAGGTAATGGAAAAAACCAATTTGATAAAGTTTTCGATTTCAAGGCTAGGTGATTGTTGTCTGGCCTTCTGGTTTGCAGAACTTATGTTATGATTATGTCTCCATTTGGAAAGAAGTCCCATCATCCCGGTATTTGAGTGAGAATCCTTTTTGCGCCGGGTGTTATCATCTGTCGCTTTTTCATCATCCGAAAGTGTTTGTGAGGGAAGATATGAAGATCTGAGAACAAATTCAACATTTTTTGCAGGTGTTGGTGGTATCACCTTGTCTACTGAGGGGGTGGCTGGATAATGTAGATCCTTCATAACATCGGATATACTGTTGCTTCTCGGAATCACGTAATTTGCATTGCTCTGCTCTATTGTTGGTTCGCCAATGGCTTTTAGTTTAGCCGCGGGTAGATTGTCCTGAGGAAATAAAAACATGCTGGCGGTCCGTTCTTTGAGTTTAGCACCTAGTTTGGTGTTCAGTTGTGCGTTATTCTCAGGCAGCTGAAAGTTTTCCTTACTAACATATAATGACAGAACGCTTCGATTACGAAAATCTGGGTTTTGGGAGCTTTGCAATGCATAGAAGCTTAACCTTTTGCCATCCTTATTAGAAAGAGGGTCGGATTCAATGTCGCGAATCTTGAAGTTCAGCCACTCTGACGCGTTTGGTGGCCAGTGATTGGCGGCAACGTCTTCCCACATGAGTTTCAAGCAGAACACCCACGATTTTTTTATGTTAATAACAATGCCTTGGATCAGCTTAGGAACCGGATTGGCATCTTGCCAATGCAATGCGTTTATGGCTATGACGAAGCGCTGTCTCAATGGCGCATCCGTGAGAAAATCCTGGGCAAAATAGTTGAGAATCCAGTGTCTGAGCACAACGAAAGTACGAACTGAGGCGATCTGACCGATCTTTTCACGCTCTGCATTGCCACACAAGCACTCGTCGAAGGCCCACTGCAATCGGCATTCCAGCAGATCCAGTAGCTCAGCGGGCACTAGAAACTTCCGATACGACAGAAAAAAGTCCGACAGAAACGGATAGTCGATAGCGTCAACTGGGGATGTAAGTTTTACAATTAATGCCAGCAAATCAGTTCTTATAATTAGCGCGCTATTGTTTCGCCTGGAGTAGCTTAATTTCGACTCGCACGGCACGGGGTAATAGGCTTTTTCACTGAATACCTGCCCATTGTAGCTGTTTTCATCCTGGCTATCATTGCAGCCCATTATCAGCGTCGTTTGCCGCCTCTTTGAGTGTTTTTCCAGCTTTGAATGCTTGAAGAGTGTTTTACGCCGTTTTTGATCTCGGCATGCCAATACTCTGTTTACTATAACCGCTGAGCATTTGGTACGGTACCACGAAAATTGAAATACCTAACAGTTCATCGAAGAATGTTCGAATCCGATGAGGGATGACAAGTTAACGAATGTAGCACCCAAGATCTATTAGGGCGAATTTTTAATGCTCTGGAACTGTTAATTTTTAAGGCATCATACTCAGCATTGGCTATTTCTTCAATACCACGAAATTGATCGAAAGTGATGGCAATTAACTTTTGATAAGGGCAAGACGGTACGTAGCCATTGTGGGTCAATCCATGGGTGGCCAGGCAATCGAAGAAGAGTCTTAGATATAAATTCTCTCACCAAAGCAAAGATTCCTTCCTCGAGTTTGCGGGATGTATATTGTTGATTCCAATTTCCACCTCGGACGTCATACCGATCACATCACTACTTTTGGTAAGAACAACATAACACATGGACTGCTTGGATGTGCAACGGGAGGTACGAGAGGTATAGAATTTCGATAGTATTCTGTCAAAGGCCTTTTTTAATTTTACTTAGCGGTACTGGAAATTCAGTCATTAACGAGACCAATAGTGACGAGGTGATGAGGCGTTCAAAGGTTTCGAGCCTGTTACTATCAGAAATATCACAAGCCTTCGGAAGATACTGCAGCGCTTACACGGAGTGTGGTAAATTGTACATAAACTCGCTAAAGCGTTCGCGGTACTCCGTCACAGCTTTATTTGCATAAGAAGCTGTTACATACTGTCTAGTACGCTAGCACACAGCTGTTAACTCTCCGATGACAAAGTGCTCCGCGACACTGTCAGAGCGGTTACCTTCGTCCCAGCATCAATCGAAAATGCATTTTGCCAAGCCTTCGTGTGTAGTGCTGCGTGATGTGTAAGTAAATTGATCAACTACCCACAGGTCCTAATATCCATGCCAGCAACTCAAAGGCACGTTCCTTTCGTTACTGGATCGTTGCAAAACATTACAATGGCCAAGGCTGATAGAATCAGCTCTGTGTCTTCAAGCTCATCGGATCGTGGTGATAAAAATAAAAAGAGCAGGACTAGGTTGTCGCTGGTGTGCCGACATTGCAGAAGACGTAAGATCAAATGCGATAAAAAACAACCTACGTGTGGCAATTGCGCTAAAATACATGCGATATGTATTTACGACTACCAAGACCAGCTCCAGCGTAAATTGTCGTCGCAACAACCGTCAACCTTGCACCACCAACTGGACGATCTCGAGAACAAGTTTGAGGAACTGCGAGAAAGCTTGAAAGCTAGGCAACTCGAAGAATGGAGTCAGGGCTCGAATACTCGCAAGAACCTAATAAGAGTCAACTTCTTCGATGGTCTGCAACCTAGTTGTCTCGAGAGCATCTTCAAATGCGACTACAAACCTTTTTCGGACATGGGTATGATTACAAAACACATTCGTTTGAACCCGTTTTTGCTGTTTGTCACTCGATCTTTCAAACCGTTGAATTATGCGGTGAAAAAGATACTACAATCCGTCGGAGACGCCATTGATCCCAACTCAGATGAACTGGAGTCTGTGGCACAAGTCTTGTTCCTCACCCCAGAGGTACGTGAGATCTTGAAAAAGCATACTATGAACCCAGAGGGTCTTACTGTCGAAACTTCAGACGCCATTCGACGCTGCATTCTCCAAAATGGTACTCAAGATAACCAAAAAGCTTTGTTCGAACCCATCGACTTGCAATTTTATGCCTCTAAAACCACTCGTGCGGAACTTATAGATCACGTTGTGTCCATTTTGCCATCCAAGGGCAAAATTGATAAATTAGTCTCCTACTTCATGACTGTTATGTACCCACTGGTTCCTTACATCAACAAAAATGAATTTGCACAAACAATTTCCAAAACCATTCAATATTCGGCTACAGGCGAGGTTATAGGTGTGAACATAGGGGATCACCAAGATTTTGCTCGAAAAATTGGCTGCCTTGCAGTACTCCTAGTCTTGCTGCGTATTTCCTACACTGCAATGATACTGGATAAGAAACCTTTCGACGAAGAAATAACAAATCGATTTATTGTGATAGCCCAAAAATGCTTGGCGCATCTGATTACTCTCTCTCACAAAACTAACGAGGACATTTTGTCTTGCTTGATTCTCATGCGGTGGTCCTTACTTTACTTCCCTACAGAAGGCGACGTTAGGGCAGACTCGATCACAGACATGCTAATGACTCTGATCACAAACCATGCGTTTAAGATCGGTGTTTATCGAGATTGTATACAAGCCACGTCTTGTAATAAAACCGAGAAACGACGAAGGTACTTTCTTCACTACAGGGCCAAGCTTTGGATGGGAACACTGATTTTTTTACGATCAGATATGTGCTTGAGAGGTAATTTTCCTGCTGTATGCGTTGATTATGCACATATGACCCCAAAAGAGGACTTTCCCGAAAATTACGAGGATAAGGCAGAGTTTCAGATTCATAGAATACTGCATAAACAGTTGGAAATATTTACCAAGATGAGTGTTCTGGATAAGTTATCTCTTCAATTGCATGAGGGAATTGACATCGACGAGATTTATTGTAAAATCCGCCGATTGGAATATGAATTGCAGGTTTCATGCCCATTATCAGAGGTACATGTTTTAGCTAGAGACAGCACCGAACAAAATGTTATACAGAGCATGCAAAACACTCTTTATTTCAAAGTGAATGTCGTGTCCAAAATCTACTTCCTTGCAATTCGGGCTTCAATTTTGTGCAACTTGGAGGCTCAGATCATAGATTCGATGGGTAGCTCAGAGCATTTATTACTGCGCTTTAAAGAGGTCACCACGGAGTGCTTCGAAGCTGCAGTGGATTTAACAGAAATTTTGCAAGACTACATGAGTTCAGCCGGAACTAATCAAACGAGTTCTGTTTTGGCTGACCACCGCTATACTTTGAATCAACTAGTACAAATTGGAATATTCAGAGTATCGTATTATTTTATTGGTGTGATTTTGAATATCCTGCGCGCAAAGGAGGGACTTGAGAGCTTTCAGTGGCACAATGACCGCAAGCGGAGTTTGGCAGCAGAAATTGGCTACAAAGTGTCCATCATTAACTCTATTTCGAAATCGATTTTTCAGTATGTCCAGAAACTAGTTTATTTAGGTTCTCATACCTTGTCGGACACATATTTCACCTCCTTCAAGCAATTCCTATTTTTGGAGTACGCTATGCAGGTGATTCAAAACGAAGTTAATCCAAATACGCCGAGTCGTCTGAAAGAAATGCTGGGAGAGACTAACATTCCAGCATGCATAGATTACTCGCCTGATGACTGGGAGAAACTTTCAGATTACATTACCAAGGCCTTAGGTCAGCAAGAGCATGTTCCCTTTTTTCCGCCGGCGGAAGATTTATTGGCCACTGCTGTGCCTGCGCCTTTAGAGCAAACTTTCAATCCAATGTTACTCCTGGACGATGACATTAACATACAGAACATGCTCGATGGAGATTACACTTGGGCGGATTTCTCACGATAGGGACAGTTGTCCACAAAGATTCTCTACAAGGTTATAAAAAAGAACATTGGTAGTAGACGCATAAGTCCCCTTTCCAGTCCCCGTATCGGCTTTCGTCTCACACTTTTCAAATGGAGACTATGAATGAATATCATGACATTAATTCCTATAATAATCGCTTTTTACGTAACAGGATCGAAAGTTCTAATCACCAATTTCAGCCAACGTCGAAGCTCCGTGATTGCAATTCAGGACAGTCGACGAGAGCCAATAGCAGAGCAATAGGTTGATTAGCTCTATTATTGCACAGCTACCTCTGTGATTACAATTGCGTTCTTTCACGTCACTGACTTTGCTGGTTGAAAATTAGCAAAAGGTAAACGGTTCAAATTTGGCTTTAAGAGACGTCTTTTAAACGTTGGCTAACGGCTGTCATTATCGATGGTTTTTCCCAAAAAAGGCCACAATAATGATAAAAAAGTAGCTTCCAATAGTTCCTTGGCCTCGATGAACACCGATCTGGCAAATGACGGTATGGTAGAGATGTTGATTGATGTTGAATCCCCGCCTTGTGTTTTATATGGATCGGTAACAGAATCCACTGGGTCTCTACTGAGTGGGTTGTTGAAATTAAGAGTAAGGCGCCCGGAGGATGCGATTTCCGCCAGTGAACCGCTGACTCCCGTCAGCTCGCATGGGCGCAAGAAGAAAACCAATACAGGGTTTAATTCCCTTTCCCAGACTTTCTCGAGTCTCTCATTAGGGAATTCATCCGTAGGTCTGGCGGAATCACCCAGGCCTAATAAACCTCCACCTTTCAACGTCTCTAAAATTATCGTTAAATCAGTGTCACTTTCCCTTGTTCAAAAAATCCACTATGCTAAACCGTACGTTGCGCAAGTATCTGCAATCCAGTCGTGTCCAGATTGCTACAGTAAGGTGACTGAGCTTGCTAGGTGGGATGTTGTCGTCAAAAAAACGGAAATACCAATTGGTGATCATGTTTATCCGTTTTCACACTTAATTCCTGGGTCAATACCGGCAACAGTTTCTTTAGGTTCAGAGAGCAAGACTGAAATAAAGTACGAATTAGTTGCAGAAGCATCTTACAAGCCGATGCACAAAGATGAAACCAAGGGCGATCCGTATAGTAATGTTCTTCTCAGGCTACCGGTTCCTGTAACTCGAAGCATTTTACGAGGTCCAGACAGAAACTCTTTGAGAATATTTCCTCCAACCGATTTGGTAGCTACAGCTGTACTTCCGAATATAATATACCCTAAGTCTACATTCCCCTTGGAATTGAAGCTTGACGGTATATCGTCTGAGGGCAGGCGATGGAGAATGCGGAGACTTAACTGGAAAATAGAAGAAAAAGGGCGTGTAAGGCTCCAAGCATGCGATGTTCATAAGTCCAAACTGAAACACTTCCAGAAAGAAGTCTCAGAGGCCGACGCTCGCAAGAAATCCAGCAAGAGCAAGCCTATAAAAAGGAGTCACGACGCCGCGCCTCAAGTTACCACTTCTGTCTGCACTCTTGAGGAAGCTTTTTCAATAGCGCAAGCGCCAGAAGATCCAAACGCTGCACCTGCTCAACCCGCCGAGCAGGATGAGAGCAACGTGTCTGAAGAGAATGATTTAATCCACCCTAGTGACTATGCGTTGCGTCAGGAAAGAGTGGCTGAGCAACAGCGCGTAAGAAATGAAATGCTACACCAAGAAATGCCTCAAGGAACTGCACTCTTTACTGAAGAAGTGCGTACGATAGCACATGGTGAAATTAAGAGTGGTTGGAAAAGCGACTTCACTGGCAACGGTAAGGTTGAGGTAGTGACAGAAATCAACTGTATGGGTCTGAACTCTGGTGTGAGTAATCCCATAAATCGAGCATCAAGCACTCGCCCCACCTTTGATAGTGTGAAACAACCGATAACTGTTGCTTGCGATGTCGAAGATCCGCATCTGGGCATATACGTACAGCATCTGCTTATTCTTGAGGTAATTGTCGCAGAGGAAATGCTCCAGTACGCAAATGGTCAGCCTCTTCACCCTGAACACAACTCATCATCTAATACTATTACGAGCAGTGGGATTCCTGATCAGAGATTAGCGGAAGTCTCACCGATGCTGGCAGCCCGTAATTCAACGCCTCAAAATGTTGCTGCTGAGCAGCAACACAGTGCTGAAATAACACCTACACTTTCACAATCCTCATCTAAAACCTCTGGAAGTCACCGTGTTGTTGGTGTTCCAACGGGTGCTGCCCGTGTGTTGAGAATGCAGTTCAGGCAGAATATAACTGAGAGGTCGGGGCTTGGCATATCCTGGGACGATGAGGTTCCACCCACATATCAGGACGTCAGGCTTTTGTCCCCCCCTAGCTACGCAAAGGCAACGAACAAGGCTACAACGAAATTCATGCAAGCCACCTTAGATGGTGAAGATCATATGAATGAGACTGACATTATCACACCAATGATCGACACACAGATGCCTCTTCGTCCGCCACAAGCGCATTCGCATGAGGGTAGCGGCGAGCTTTTGTCACCTGTACAATCCCCTCAGTTGGAGCATATCATCAGTATCCAAGGTAGTGCCGCTCTAGCACATGTTCTCACCCCGATGAACACACAGGAAGTCCATTTACCCAGTTTATCTGAGTTGATGGACACCGATAGAATCACGCAGTAGGTAATGCGGAAGAAGCATATACTTAAAAAGTCTTAAATAACCATTATAGTTCTAAAGAGAAATTTCAGGTTTTCTGACGCCCAACTGAGGACTGCAAACATGCTTCATCTCGTGGTCCTTTTGTAGAGCGCTGAATTATGATAACGACAGGTCTATGTTGATAAAGTTTACTTATGAGATTGTCCAGGACTTAAACCAATTCATGTAAGAGAAATCTCTTGAAGGGCCGTCCATTCCGAATGTGATTGGGGCAAAGTAGTAAAAGCCATATATCACAATGGAGGCGTAAGTAATGTAGATTGTTGTCCTGGCTAGGCTTCCTAATTTCGATTGACTCAAGCCCTTTAGGCCAGCTTCGAAAAGATACGATAGAATTAGCAAAGCAAAATAGAGAGCAGGGAGATAGTGGTGAACATAAGTAACTCTACTCATGATCACAAAAGGCATATAATGCAAACCCCATCCTAATAGCGGATAAAACCCACCCATCATGAATAGATTAAAATCGCGAGATTTTGATAGATCGACGTACTGTCTTTGCCATCTAATGATCAATACAACGACTAGGGCCATAAAAGCTATAACTGCTAAAGTGGACAACCAAGTGGAGGCGGGAGAACCCATCAAAAAATACTTAACAGTATCGTCACCCCACCCACATAGTCTAATACCAACATTCAAAGTGGGCCATTGCCAGGCAGCTGAAGCCAAGTTGTCAAGCTTATCCGCATCGGGAACCAAGGCATTATTTGTTGCCATCATAGCCAAGTTTAGATGAATGAAGTTTTTGATAAAGTTCAGCTTTGGATATGTGAAGTCAGCAGGTCTTTCTGGTAGTTTATCATTGGTGTGGGTTTCAATGTTCCACCAAGTTCTTTTATCCCTTTTGAAAGGATTTTTTAAGCATGCGACTTCGCTTTGTCTGAAGCCCCACTCTGGTAAACTGTTACCAGTTTGAGCTAAATAACATCCAAGTTCCGCATTTTTGATGCGGAACGAACTAGTCAATGGATGCAAACGGGATGAGTTCTCGGAGCCATGTTGAGCGACAACTTCCAATACCCAATGATCTTTTGGATCGCCCACATCGGCCGTACCGTACCCTGAGACTTCCCACGCAGACTTGGTCAAAGGTGCCGGAATAGGGTGAGTGTGTAAATTTTTGCCAGTATTTGGATGAACGATTCTGTAAGAAGCGCCAGGTTGAACAAATTCCACATCAGTCTCTTCTTCACTCCAAGGTGGAAAAGACCTGATTCTGTCGAAAATCCAATTATTATTGCTATCCTTGTGGCCATAACAGGTAACTTGTTGTTGATTCGATCCCTCTGGGAATGCTTGGACGTGAGAATGCAACAATGCCCCACCCAAAGCTTGATTCTTTATGCTTACCAAAGAGGAGCCCACTGCAACGTCGCGAGGACCGTCTCCGACATCACTACCAATTAAGCCGGCTTGAAACAGAGAAGGCATGTTTGCATCACCAGTTCCAGTATGAGATAAAAGATCAAAATGAACTTTGAAACAAGCCAAAAACACTAAAAATGGAACAACGATCAGACAGACGATTCTGGAAAGCCAATGGTTAACATAAGTAGTTCTCGACATTTTCATGTCACCAAGCATATTCCACAAGTCAATCACGGTATAGATGCCAACCAAAGTAATCACGAAAAGTCCAACCATCTTTACAGAGATAGAACATCCGAGAGATAGACCGGTCAACAGGAGCCACTTCCACCATTTTCTGGAGAAAGGTTTGGATCTCTGATTATGAAACATGACAAAGCAGTATACAGCGAGAACTGTGAAGAAAAGTAACATTGAATCCAATAGAATGAATCTGCCCAACGTGGCGTACGAGTTTTCGAAAATGACCAGTATAGTGAACAGCCAGACTGTTGGCAGCGAGAAGCCAATCGCCTTGGCTGTGAAATAGGCAACTGGAACACATAGGGCTGAAAATGTTGCATTGAAGATTCTCATTTTCACGTAGTCGAGGTAGTCTGGGAACTCTTCGCCGGAGGGAAAGTCCCAAGAACCGTTGTAGCCAGCGATAAATCCGGAGAGACCTACCAGCATCTTTCCAAGTGGTGGATGCACGTCATGGTAAAATTCGTGTCTAAGGTAGTAAGACCCGAATTTTCCAAAATGCGCTTCATCCCACACGACATGATTGTTGACACCGATCTTGTACATTCTAGTGAAAAACGCCAGTATTGTGAAGACCACAGGCATCACGAAACGTTCCAAATTTTCCAAAGGGCTCTGCTTGGTGCTGTTCAAGCTTTTTGTCTCGTCCTCTCGCTCCACATCCGGAGTTGTATCTTGGAGCCTAGAAGAGCCAATTCGCTGTTTCAAGCCCCCATCATCGGGCCCATTGTGAAACCCCGTAGTAGACATTGTATGCTTTCGAGGTTGAAGCAATATTCTGCCGACTACTAGCTAATCTTGAAGCTTGAATCTCTTGTTTTAACGTGTTATGGTAAAATAGAACGTAACTTGAAAAAGAACACGATATGCATTTGAAAATCGATATTTTGAAAATTTAAAAGTTTGAATAGTAATATCACGTCACATGCAATGGATTAGAGGTGACAACGACAGATTTTGAAATATTAGCACTTGGAATTGGTTCGTTCAAGAGACACTAGAGCCTGTTAAACCTACCCGTAGACTTATATAGGTCTACTTTTCAGATTTAGTTTCACGAGTAATGTGCACACCAAGATTCGATTACACAAAAAGAATGAGAATGCTAGAAACCAACATTTGGGTGTACCTAGCGTCCTCAGTCGTGTAGGTCAACTAAACCTCGCATTGTTTCGAGATATACTTTTTTGTAGTTGACATGAATAAGTACACCCTCTAAGCTTATTAGGATCATATGGAAAAGACAATTTAGCACCATTTGTCAGACCAGGTTCGCTACTCTCGTCGGTTTGCTGCAAATTGAGGTGTCTGAAATGGAAAGAAAGACTTGGGGCTTCTTTCACTTATCTTTTTGCATGGCTTTTACATCCTTGTCTCGAAGTTCGTCAATAACATAGTGATTGGAACCGCACAGGAAGCTGGCCTTACAGGGAATTGCAGGCATTTCTCATCACAGAAAAATGAGAACAGCTTGCATCAGGCTCCTCCCGCCCTGTAAGTACTCACAATATAGACAAACACATAGCTTAAGAGACTCCCAAAAGCTAATCCCGAAGAGAGAAAAATGTTCGTGAAACCACCTGCGGCTCTACGCTCTTTATCTGAGCCCAGCTGGGGACTCACTTTCATAAAACACACCGAAAGCACATTGCCGTTAGTCAACCCGAAGACAAACTGCAGTATAATATACCCGAAGTCTGATAAGACAGAGGTAGAAGGTTTCATGCTATCATTGAGGTTAAAGCAGAAGAACAATGGTACCAAACCTATTCTAGAAATTGAGTACAAGAAGGTCTTATACGGAGTGAATTTTGCAGACTGAAAGAATGGGTAGCCCGAGATTGCCCTTCCGTACAAGTCACCTAAGTTCCACACGGTGAAGATGAATGGAATATACTGTGAGTTATGCATTGGCAAGCCGGCCACAAACGTATTAGCAGCAAATACCGGAAATAACAGAGTTACAACAAAGGTAGTGAAGATCGAGAGCACCAAAAACTTTAATTTCTGGTACAATATGGAGAACGATACCGTGTCATCCGCTTCGTTGTTGTTTGTTTCTCCCCCAAGCAATTTATGCTTATCTGCCCTTCCGATACCACTGGCACGATACAAGACAATACATGACGCAGAGACAACCACAGTGGTGCAAAAATAAGCAAATATTCCGCCAACGCTTTGATCTCGTGGATCTCCGATAAATGAAACGGCAAACAGGACAAGGGAGGGTAGTACGCCTGCGATGCCTTGACCCATCATCACGCTTTGGCTAAACTGCGGTCCAAAAACATTGGCCAGTGCCATAGCACCATTTTGAGTCATCGCCGTTCCACACGAACTCACTAAAACCATGCCCATCAAAAATACAAAATTAAGCCATTCCGGGAAAGCTCCATGGACCAGTACAAAAACACACAATAGCCCAAACACAAGAACCTCCCAAACTAGGCCTCTGACAACTCTCTCGGCATAACTGTGCTGCCTTTTTGAAAGCCAAAAATTGAAGGCTACAGAGGAGATAGTTGAAATGGACATCATAGTGCTGATGTAAATCTTGGCATAGATAGTATCGTCATGAAATACATCATGTTGGAAGTACAGCGAAGCACTTAGAAAGCAATTCCAAGGCCACAAAAGCGCTATACCTATCAGCATAAACGTCACATAGCTTAAATTTTTCATTTTATCAAACAAAGAAGCATTTTCAAGCATCAATTCTTCACCGCGGTGCCTCCCATACTCTTCAGATGGATCCTGGCGACTGTCAAGGTCGGCCATTCTTGTTTATATATTTTAACTGAGTAGCTTGTCATGTGGATGTTCTTATCTTTCGTAGTGACTTATTGAATTTTCCTATCAAAACGAAAAGACGACGTTCAACAATAATTGTAAAGCGTAAAGAAGTCTATCGAGGTTTAATCTTATTATTATATGTATGGTACAGTAGGGTTTATTCGTGAGTGAAAACGTCAGACAGCGGGTGGATGCTTTGTAGAGCCCAAGCAGTGCTCATGCTTTTCTGCTACCACCCATGCCCTTGGTGAATTCAAATCTAGTGACCAGCGGAATATGATCACTTGGAAACTTGTCATTAGGAAATCCGATGAACTTGGAAGCATAGTCAGGGTCAATTTCGCCAAGCACGCCACGTACACGCAGACCTTGAGAGGAAAACCATATATAATCGATGACGTCCGTAAAGATGGGCGAGAGGTTGGTAAATGGCAGCTCTCCAATTGCTTCATAGCTTGACTTCAAAGGCAAGTTATGAGCATAGTTTTTCTGTGACATGTAACCAAAATCGCGACCTTCAATGTCTCGATGTTCCCGAACTGCACCTGTGCTTAATAGCTCGTAAACGGCTGAATCAAGCATAGAGTTAAAATCTCCACATATGACAACAGGAACTTTCTTTAGCTCTTGAGAGTTATTGCAGCCATTATGTTCCTTGATGATTTTTTCCATATGATCCAAGAGAACGCCTACTTGGAAAGTTTTTACGTCGTTAAATTGTGGATCCCAATGCAGGTGTGTGGTAGCCGCCCATATGTGTTCGCCACTTTTTACGTGCTGGAGTTTTACCACTAGGGCCACATTGTCTTTATTCATAGCACGGTTGAGGTAGTCTTCGGTCCTTTGAAATTTTTTGTGTTTCATCCACACGCTGCTGAAATCAATAGTTTCCTTGAAGATGAGCTTGAAATCTGATTCTCTGTAGAAAATGCAGCAACCATCAACTTTCTTAGAGTCTTTGGCATGCATAGTGCGGGCTCTTGTCTTAGCATGGAAAACACCAGCGTATCCGTGTTCGCGCAGCAATGGGGCCCAAAACTCTTCGTAAGTCCTACACTCAACTTCTTGCAGACAAATCACATCAGTATTGTAGCCCAAAATCTGTTCCTTTAGTTTTTCCCGTCTGTAGTCCCAACTCAGAGCCCAAGAGGGCGTGAAGCGATACATTTTTGGCGTTGCGTAATGTTGGCAAAGAGTATTGTAAGATAGTAAGGTGAACGATTTTTTCAAGGTCTCGCGATTCAAGTGAGACTCGGATTCTTGTAGCGAGTTAAATTCTTGAGTTGGTTCCCCATCGACATTTATCTCGATGAATTTTCTATCGCTGGGTAATGGTATCTCCGGAGCGTTGTCTCTGAGATAAAAAATAAGCCCTGTAACAGATTTTTCAGTCAAAATTTTAATCATTTGACGATCCATGGGATTCCCTTCGAGGCCTAAAAATTGCAGGTTGTAAAGATTCCCAAATTCCCAAGGAAGTGAAGAGACCATATTGTCAAAGAAGTACAAATACTTCAACTCGTGACAAAGCCCCAATTCCGCTGGAAGTTCGGTCAACTTATTGTGGGAAAGATCTAAAACCCTCAAATTTTTCAACTCTTTGATGGCTTTAGGAAGTGACGTCAGATTATTACCATTAAGGTAAAGTCTTGTTAGAAATTCGTACCTGAACAAAGAGTTGCTCAAATTAAATACTTGCAAGTTGGATAGGTCCAATGCATGCCAGAGTTGATCGTTGTGTTTGGTATCCGCTGGAGCTCCCATGCGATGCTCAATTTCGTCGTCTTCATCGATATTGTACTGCGAAAGCTTTTTATGTTGCAAAAGAAGCGAAGGAGTAGTGGGATTGTTACCACCATTAAGCTCGGCACTTGGCGTTATTGGGGTGGATATGGCGCTAGAAGAACCGCCAGGGTTTTTCGCCGCAGTCGGCTCGCTGGCCATGTCTAGCAGTAATTGCTTGGTATTATCGACAAGCGATGCAGACATCTCGTTCAAAGTACCTGTATTAGTGGTACCAGCAGCAGAAGTGGAACCCGCGATAGCACCTGGTCCTGGAACTCCTGGTGTTCCCTGCGTTTTGTTGAACAGATATTTCCGCATCGCACTTTGCCGCGCGTAAACGTTAGCTTGCCCCACGGATTGTCGCGATACAGCCGCCAGCTGAAGCTGCAGCTTCCAAATGGGATTGTTCAGCATAGAAGGATCGCCCTGGTGGGGATGGTAAAGTGGATTTCCCGCATTTGTCACAGCTCCCGAAACAGGTAGGTTGCTCACTTGAGAGCCCACAAGCCCAGGAGGCAATGGTTGTTGCGATTGACCAGCTTGTTGGCCTTGCGATAGCTGAGAATTAGGTCCTATTTGCGAATGTGGTTGTTGCAAATGAAGTTGTTGATGTAACGTGCCTGGAGTGTTCAAAACAGACGGCATATGTGGTTGAACCGCTCCAGGCTGTCCTGCCAGCCCAGAGTACCCCATCATGGGTCCCGGATTGTTCATTACCACGCTTTATTTCCGGTATTTTCCTAGCTTTTTGTTGTTGTTCGTGGGTCAAGAACATAAGGAACTAAGTGTGATATCTTTCCAATATCAAGGCGCCTGCATTTCTTGGTCGTGTGTGGTGATGTATTTATTAAGACAGTTAAGGTTACAATAAGTACAAGACAGCATGGGGAAGGCTCCCTGGTATAGCTGTAGCCATATTTTGATTTGATAGGCATTTATTTACAGTATTCAACAGATTTTAAAATTTTCTTAGCATCAAAACTGCATTTGAGTAGCATTAGTTTAATACAGAAAATGGAAGTGTGACTCAAGAGTCTAATAGATGCATACGGCAGCTCGGTATTATATTTGGACATAATGTTTTACAAGTGGGATCTCTATTTCATCGTTAAAGGTACTTTCATCTCAATTTTCAGGTAATTTCGTGAGGAATATTTATGGCGATCACAGTAGTGTTGTTGCTCGCAAAAATTAGCCTATGTGTATAGTTTCTTTCAAGCAAATTGTCCATCTACTGCATTTCTCTGAAGTTTTGATTGTGATATTTTATCGCACGAAGCGTCCGACTAGCAGGTACAAAAAAATCGCACCAGCACTTTGACAGGGGCCCACTCACAGCATGTCTCAGCACTAAATGAACATATACCTACCTGATCCATTATTGAACCGTTACCAATATTATGACAAGACATAAATCTCTTTGGTGAAGATGGCCCTGATGAGTATCTTAACATCCGAGAGCGAGATTTCCTCCAAATTACGTGGTTTTCACTAACAAGATTTGGTGATCAAGAGTTCCTCTCCTGTTGTCTTTTACAGCTTCCTAGATTACGGCGCCAGGTCCGGTTCCGGTATAAGAAAAGGCCACGATCAAGAAAGCACTTCCATTGTAGGCTCACGGAAATCAAAAAGTAAGTCTTCTATACATCTATATAGCACGTTGCGTTATTTTGTCGCCCATGCGCACCACAACCCTGTCACAACTGCGAATACAAGACTTCTGACTGAAGTGTGGTAGTATCTGATTTCTGTTTATTATCTTAATAGATCAAAGAGACTGAGATCGGGATATTGCGCGAACGCAGGCAGCCGGATTGATCGATTACTGTAATACTTCTCGATTTTGCCGTGAACACATAGCCCAGCTAAATTTTGTCACTTCATACTAATGAGACGCGCTAACGGTGAAGTTCATATCTAACTACAGTAACAAGCTACTAATCCCACCAACGGCATGATATTAGTATCCAGTGGAGTTAGCACTAATATTCTGGTAGCCCACGTATCATTGCCGAACCCTTGAGTCTATTTTCATCGGCACTTATTTGTACTTCGCTATTTCCGAGCATCAGAGTACCAACCTGCTATATTTGATTTAGGTGGCAGCGAATCAAATGCTGCAGCGGCTTTAAAACGAGACAGTTTGTAGCTGGACGTTCCCTCAAGCTTCTGTATTGCCAAAGATATGCTCCTGGTAAGAAGTTTGAGCCCTGTGTAACAACAGCTTATTCTACCCTTCTTCGTCCACAGTTATATGAAGGACGTATATAAAGAAGGAAAACTTTGTATAGTTCTCCATTCTTTAAGATCTTATTTAAGAATCCAGCAAACGCATAAAGAAAAGGACGAGCATTTGAGTCCTCTGCGACTCATTCATTCCACTGTTGGTTCTTGATACGCGTTTTCTAGAGTAATAATCAAGGAGTCTTTACATATTTCCCATGTGAAACGGCAAATCACCGATAAATTGGGATTTGGCGTGTAAATGAACTAGGGAAAGGTACTTCTTAACATTCCAAGTTGCTGTAGAGCAGCCGTTATTACCTAATTTGTAGAGCTCTTATTTACAGGTTTCGGACTCGCTAGTAGCTGTGCATATCCAGGATGTAGCACACCCTCCAAAACAGGCATACACGATGGAGTCCGATGCGGTCACTTTGTATACAGAATTAACTTCGCTGTTGACGTTGGACTTGTCATTAACACCATTGATCGCACGAGATGTTGCAATGCTTCCGCAATTGCCGTGTTCGCCCCACCCCCAGCAGTACACCTCTCTCTTGTCGATACACACCATGCCATGCTCGCTTCCAGTGCTCCAAGCTGTCGCAGGTTCGTTGAATGAATGCACAGCGACTACGTCTTGCTTTTGACTCGCTTGTCCGTAGAAATAAAATTTTTGATGCAGCAATACGACGATCGAAGTCCACATAGAGTTGAATTCGAAATTAGTGTTCTCTGACATGATATTACGCAATTCGGCCTCATATTGCGCCATTGTCCCCATGACACGAGCCTGACCTTTCTCTACAAAGCACACGAAGTTTTTACCCACACAAGCATGTGAAACGGGGCCCGCGGATACGATTGTTAAGGAACAAATGGCTCGAGATTTAGATTCCTTCAGCTGGCTCTTGCTATTTGAACCACATCCGTAGAGCTTGCCATCGTCAAGGACGTAAGTATTGTAGAAACACGCAAAAACTTGGGCTTCGCGAGGGTTTTGGAGCGTCCATATTGGCTGTAAAGAGAGAGAATGTCTGGTGTCTAGTTGACCCAACTCTCCCTTCTCGCCCACTCCACCGCTAACCACAATGTCCTCAGAAGTGATAGCTACGACGTGTGACCAGCCGCAAGATACATCCTTGAAAAGACCGCGAACCTGTATCCAGTTGTCGTCACTTGAACTACGCTCCAGCGGCACGTCTCCAGCTAGATACAGCGATCCATCTTCCTGAAGCAAAGCAGTAAAATTGCCACCACCGCAAATCTTGATTGGTTTGTTTGGCCCTTCGAAGCTCAACTGCGGCTCCATCATGTCATTATCGTGGCCTAGGCCTAAGCTGTCCACACCCATTGGATCCTAATGCCAAAACCTTGTATTTCATGATGTGTGTATGTGTTATATTCAAAGTTGGATACCACTTTAGAAGCCTTCTGCACCACTGATGTGAGTTCTGAGGCCGCTACTCGTTACGCTTTCGAAGTTTCGATATGCTATCTTTCACCTTGTTCCCTTGACTGTGAAGATTTTAAGGTTCCAAACACTTTTTCTCAAATACCAACTCACTTCCGAAAGTTACCAAAGCAGGGCGCCCTTGTTGACAGCTTCTCGCTTCTGTTCGCGATGGATATATCTGTCCCTGACACGAAACTAAATAAAATAGATTTTCGATGTATTTTGAAAAATTTTGAAGCTATGTCTTCACTCACAAACGAAACCGCAGGTTTAGAGCTTTCTACGAGCTTTTTAAAGGACGGGATGGAACATATGCGTGCTGACACGCCCATCAAAAACGGATACGTGCAAGTTCCCGAGTCTTCGCCCTCCGAAGACGCGAAAGTGACATCCTCTTCACCACTTAAAAACGAAAACACACAGGCGTCTATATTAAGGGACAGATTCGTGTATAAACCTTCTGAGACTTCGCAAATGGACGCTGCTAGTGGCACAGGACCTCAGTTAGGAGGCATGGATGCAGATGTGGCTACGCTGACGACGGAATACCCGGATTTTTCGGAAACGCTGATCAAGGCAGTTTTCAAGTCTAATTCGTATAATTTGGAGTTAACCAGGGAAAGACTGGAGAAAATCCAATCACAAAAGAGCTCGCGCTCTTGGGCCTGGCGGCCTGGTGAGAAAAAACCGACTAGTAGGTTGATGTCACTCGGATCGCCTTCTGAAATTAAAAGCACCAGTAGCAGTACAGCGTATGACAGAAGCTCCGGGGTCATTGCTTCTCCGGAAAAGTCCTCTAAAATTACAGTAGAGAAACAGAAAACTTCCATTTTCGATAGATACTCACACGTCATGAACCAACGTCATAGACCAACCATGGAGTCGGTGGTCGTGGATCCCTCCACGGTTGTACAATTGGAGCCCACCACACGCAAGAGACGGAAACTGGTTCGTGCGGATAATGTGCCGCAAATGTCCATGGCCAGCGGTAAGAAAAGTTCCGTCTCTCTGTCAGACGAGGATGAGGACGAAATCAGTGGGGACGAGGTCGTCAGTGGGGAGGACTATCAAGAAACAACGCCAGATGTAAATATTGATGAAGAAATACTGAAATTTCTCAACGAGGCCAATGAAAGAGACATTGCAGACCTAGCCGACACATCACTAGACAAAGCAAGTATGGTTGTCAAAAACCGTCCCTTTGGTAGCTTGATAGAATTCAGCCAGGCTAATTTTGTAACCGAGGATGAACTGCAGAAACAAGAAAAGAAGAAATCGACAAAACGGGGTCAAACAAAGAAGGATGGAGAAAAGCTGCTTGATAAGGTGATTCAAACTATGAAAGGTTACAATGCTATTGACTCCTTGATCAAAAAATGCTCCGCTTATGGGAGCTCTATTGCTTCTCAGATACAAAAATGGGGAGTTAATGTTGAAGACATTCAAAATGGCGAGCTAAATTTCATCGATATTGGCGAAGATGACGAAAGTGAAGCTAGCGACACCGAGTCACTAATTAAAGATACTCCATCCGTTACTAATGGAAACACAGTTACTAAAGCGAAGAAATCTAACGGAGAAGGCGATGACAGCGATTTCGAGGATGACGAAGAAGAGGACTACGAAGAAAGCGAAGATGAAGATTATAGAGCCACCAGAAAAGCAAGAGCTTCTGGCCGTGGCAGGGGAAAACCTAAACAATCAGATGTGAAGTTTTTCAAGCAAAAGCCCAAACTTCTCTCTCCGGACGTATCACTGAAGGATTATCAACAAACAGGCATCAATTGGCTTCATCTTTTGTACCGCAACAACTTGTCGTGTATATTGGCAGACGAAATGGGTTTAGGGAAAACTTGCCAGGTAATCGCGTTCTTGTCGTATCTGAAACAAAATAATGAGCCAGGCCCCCACCTGGTGGTAGTACCGTCTTCGACTTTGGAAAATTGGCTGAGAGAGTTCACAAAGTTTTGCCCAGAAATGAAAATTGAGCCATACTACGGGTCTCAGCAGGAAAGAGCAGAGCTTCGTGATATATTAGAAGATAACGATGGCAAATACGATGTTGTGGTGACCACTTACAACTTGGCGTCTGGAAACAAATATGACGTTTCTTTTTTGAAGAACCGTGGTTTCAACGTTGTAGTATACGATGAAGGCCACATGTTGAAGAACTCTTTGTCGGAGAGATTCTCCAAGCTCATGAAAATTAAAGCTAACTTTAGACTCCTATTAACTGGTACACCTTTGCAAAACAACTTAAAAGAACTAATGTCATTACTAGAGTTCATTATGCCATCGCTTTTTATTTCCAAAAAAGATGACCTGTCGGCTGTCTTTAGACAGAGAGCGAGAACCTCTGACTCGCATAAAGATTACAACCCGTTGCTAGCCCAAGAGGCTATTGCTAGGGCCAAGACTATGATGAAACCCTTTATTCTGAGAAGAAAGAAGGATCAAGTACTCAAACACTTGCCACGGAAGCACTCGAAAATTGAGTATTGTGAAATGACTGAAGTCCAACGTTCGATTTACAATCGGGAAATTCAACTTGTCCTTGAACATAAGCGAACGTTAGCTGAGGGACTAGAGGATGATGCGGATTCGCCTGAGCCCAAAAAAAACGGAAAGCAGATGAAAAGCAAAATGAACATTTCCAAGAATTTGATAATGTCTTTAAGAAAAGCATCGTTACATCCACTTCTGTTCAGACATATTTATGACAATGATGTTTTGGATCGGATGAGTAGAGCGATTTTAAGCGAACCAGAGTATGCCGAGAATGGTAACAAAGATTATATCCAGGAAGACATGAGTTACATGACTGATTTCGAGCTTCACAAACTATGTATGAAATTTCCAAAAGCCCTAGGGAAATATCAGCTAAAGAATGATGAATGGATGAACTCCGGCAAGGTTGAAGCTTTGGGTAAAATACTTAAGGACATCATTGAGAACAAGAAGGAAAAAGTGTTAGTATTTTCTCTATTTACCCAAATGTTGGATATTTTAGAGCTTGCATTGACTACGTTGAACATTAATTTTTTGCGTCTGGATGGGTCGACACAGGTTAACGACCGCCAAACACTAATAGACAAGTTTCACGATGACGATAGCATTCCAGTCTTTATCCTCTCCACGAAGGCGGGTGGTTTCGGAATCAATCTTGTTTGTGCGAATCATGTCATCATATTCGACCAAAGCTTTAACCCACACGACGATCGGCAAGCGGCTGATCGCGCACACC